AACTGTACATATAAGCATTATTAATAGTAGAAGTCTATTATGCCAAGGACCCGACCTAAATAAGGAACAAGTATATATATTTCCAAGGAAATGGCCAGAAAAAGAACATTCCAATAAGTATAGGTAAGAATTTTCCTATTTTTTTATGCAATTAGTTTTTTTCTGTTCCTCACACAAATTTGTTTACGAACGAAATCCTATGATATCAAGGCAGTTTTTACACATCACCTGTCAAGAAAGGGTTAAATATTTTATAGGCAGGAAAGGAAACACATTTTTTTTTTTTTGCTCTCATCAACTCAAAAAAGGAAATAACAAGGAAATGAAACTAAAACATAGTTGGAGGTCTATAAAACAAGTGCAGTATTTTCACAATTTCCACATCACCTCTCGATCTGGAACTGGTGAGTACAGGGTGCAGTGAAGAGTTGGGGAATCTGGGCTTTTACCCAAACCAGTCAGCATTTCCTCTGGTTTGTATATATTTGGTGCATAAAAAAAAATATTAGAGAAGCACCCGGAGCTTAAACACAAAGTTGTGTTATTTTTCTCAAACAGGAATGGGAAAATTCATTAAATTGCTTATACATAATCCCCAAATTCTGTGCTATATATTATATTTTGTTATTCAGTAGTGTCCTGGGACTTCAAACAAATATAGGAATCGACATACATAAGTGCAGCATATTGCACCAGGGATTGCTTTGTTCCAATGATTGCTTTATTAAAAGTGAACATTACTCCTTCAAAAAGGACATTTAACTGTACTCCTGAAACAAATACAAATGTATTTACCTCTTTAAAACTGCTCCTTTAATTTTACTTAAACAATACGAAATAAAATAATGTTCAGTTATACCAAGAGGTATCTACTAAATTTGGATATTTGGATCCGTCAGAATCCAAATTTTGGCAGAATTTTCAAATTTAGAATCGAGCTTTGACTGGTAAAAACACTGTGACTTTAGAGATAAAATTGACAGATACACATTGACAGACAACACATACAGTGACAGACATACTTACACACACACATTAACACGCTGACATGCATACAATAACAGACGTACTGACACACACAAACATACAGACACATACACTGACAGACATACTGACATACACAGACAGACATACTGACATACACAGACAGACACGTACACTGACAAACATACTGACATAGACATACACCGACAGACATGCTGACACAAACACAGATACATACACTGACAAACATACTGACTCAGACACATACACTGGCAAACATGTTGACACAGACAGGCACATACACTGACATATACACACATACATAAATTAACACTTTTAAACCCACCCTCTAGTTTCCTACCTTGGAGCGTGGATTCCCTGGAGGCTGGGGCTGTTGGGAGTTGGGGGTCTGCCTCTCCTGGCCCAGCCCCCATCCTTCATCTCCCACGTGGCTCCTCTCCTTAGTGGGAGAAGTGACTTGCGGCCGTCACTTCCTCCAAGCGCTGCTGAAAAGCAAAGGGTTCGGTTGCGCTGTTAAAGGGCTACTGTTTACAAGATCCACCCGGTGGCCTCCTTAACATGCGGGTTGGCGGGCCCCTTGGGGGAAAAATTGTTTAGAGCAGTGGGGCCCACAGGGCAGCTGCTTTGGGCCCCCCAAGAGTAACTGGGCCTAGGGCAGCTGCCCCGTTTGCCCCGCGTTAAAGACGGCCCTGACCATAAACCAAAACAATATATTCAAAGTGCATTATTCCTTATTTTTGAATAAAGCATTTGCAAGATTCATGTAGCCAATGGAGCAGCATAACTTAGTGGAATAGGACCTTGACAGAGGTAGAAGGCAGGCATTCAGTTAGTATGTTTGGATTGGCTAGTTATCTGGGATGGGCAGGCAGATACACATAGGGGTCCCCCATATTAAAACACAGACCTTGTCGTTGTCCCTCTCACCCTCTCTGATTTTGTGTCAGGTTTGGAGTTATCCTCCGTCTGGTCACAGCAGCGGGGGGCTGAATAGGTAAATTGGGGGGTGGAATAGGTTGTTATTGTGGATTTAATTAATTATATGTTTTAATAGTTGGTAAGTGGTTTAAAAATTGGTATGGTAGGTTTCGAGCTGGCCCGTGGCTCTGATCCTGGAGGTGTGGGGGTATCTCAGAATACCCCTACATTGGCTCATTCGTGCAAGTTGGTATAGCAGTTTTTTCGAGCTGGCCTGTGGCTCAGAACCTTGGGGTGTAGTGGTATCTTAGTATACCCCTACATTGGATCATTCAGGCAAGTTGTTTGTACTTTATTATGTTTTATGATGTTATTTATTTGTTATATTGTTATGGTGTTAATTTTGGGGTCATTGTCATTGTAATGTTGTGGGGGGTTAGTTATATGCTGTGTCATAGGATTTGTTTGACAATGACTTTTGGTAATAAAATTCTTATTATATTAAAAGCAGTGGGCAGAATTTTACTCAACATATTGGTGTCCGTGTATTATTGGGTATGAATGGGGCGATTTATTTTTAATGCCCAAGGATGAGACTATGTGCCTTTCCAGATAATCTGGCTGTTTGGCATAGGCGTGCGCACGGAGTGTGGCGGGCAGGGCCGTCTTTACCGCGGGGCAAACAGGACAGCTGCCCCCGGCCCAGTTACTCCTAGGGGGCTGAAGCAGCTGCACCGTGGGCCCCGCTGGCCCTCAAGTATTTCTTCCACCCGCCTGTACAGCCACACACTAAGGAGGCCCACCGGGTGGCCCATGCACTAAGGGCCACCTGGTGGGCTTCTGACAGCAGGGGCCCGGTCTTGCGCTCTGGCCCTCTTGCTTTTTGGTAGCTGGCTGGGAGGAAGTGATGGCCGCAAGTCACTTCCTCCCAAAAAGAGAGGAGCAGCACAGGAGGAGGAAGAGGCAGAGCGGAGGGGGTCTGGGCTAAGCAAGCCAGACCCCAACTCCTAACAGCTTCAGCCACCAGTGGGAAAGCCATCCTCCAAGGTAGGAAACTGGAGGGTGTGTTTAATAGTTTGAATTTGTGTGTGTGTGTGTGTGTGTGTGTCAGCATGTCTGCCAGTGTGTGTGTGTGTATCTGTGAATGTCTCAGTATATGTCTGTATGTCGTTATGTCTGTCAGTGTATGTGTCAGTATGTCTGCCTGTGGCTGTCAGTATGTATGCCAATGTGTGTGTATCTGTAAATGTATCAGTAAATGTCTATGTCTGTCAGTGTATGTGTCAGAATATCTTCCTGTGTGTGTCAGTATGCCTGCCTTTGTGTGTCAGTATGCCTGTCAGTGTGTGTCAGTATGTCTGTCAGTGTGTGTGTATCAGTATGCCTGTCAGTGTGTTTGTGAATGTATGTCAGTATGTCTTAGTATATGTGTGTGTCAAAATGTCTTGTCAGTGTATATGTCAGCATTTCAGTATGCCTGTGTGTGAGTCTGTGAATGTGTGTCAATATGTCTGTCAGTATATGTGTGTGTGTCAGCATGTCTGTTAGTGTATGTGTCTGTGTGTGTCCATATGTATGTCAGTGTGTGCATGTCTGTATCAGTATGGCTCTTTGTGTCAGTATGTCGGAATGTGTGTGTTGGTGAATGTGTCAGTATGTCTGTGTGTCTCTCAGTATATATCTGTCTGTCTGTGTCAGTATGTCTGTCAGTTTGTGTCTGTATAAGTATGTCTATCAGTGTATGTTTGTGTGTCAGTTTGTCTGTCTCTATGTGTCTATATCAGTGTGTATCAATATGTTGCCATTGTGTGTATCTATGTATCTGCATGTGTCAGTGTTTGTTTCTTTGTGTATGTCAGTATGCATATCTGTATGTTATTAGTATGTGTATCTGTGTGTGTCAGGTTGTGTATCTACGTGTCAGTTTGCTTGTTTGTGTGTCAGTGTGTTTGTATATCTGTGTATCTGCATGTGTTTCAGTGTGTGTATATCTATGTGTGTGTTTGTGTGTGTATATGTGCATACATCGCAACATTCACACGCTAACTCTACACACAAATACACCCCTGCATTCAAGCTTAGGCACTACATACAAATAAACATCTGTGTTGAACACCAACATTATATGTATACACACCCCTGCATTCAAAAACCAACACTACGCATAAATACATGCTTAAATTTAAACACCAACACCACATACAAACACATTCCATACAAAAACCTGTTTACATTGAAACACACAAAAACTGCTTAGTGCAAAATACAAACCTGCAAACATAGGTAAATGGTAGTGCCCCAGCTGTCAAGGCATTGCTGGAGTTGTAAACATCCTTGCAATAGGGAGGCCCAAAACAATATTCTTGTACCTCTCTACTTTAGGTTGCCACTGTGTTAAAGGGTGATAACGTGATTGCATGCCTGGGGAGGGTGTACAGGGTCCAGGGGGCCCAAGCAAATGCTTTGCCCAGGGTCCAATCAGTATTAAAGACGGCTCTGTGTATGTTAACACATTGACTCCAAGCATGCATGTGTGTATTACTATGTTAAAAAATATATCATGTGTTCCAGAGCTGGCCTTCACCCAACAAAAAATGAGGTTTGTGACTTTGACCAGTTGGTCTGCATTTTTCAATGTCAATTATGTTTACCTTCCTCCCCCCAACCCCCCTCCCCACTGTTCAGGAGTGATGGAGCAGCGATGGAGAGAGCTCAATTAATATTTTTTTCAAGACATATGTACAGGTTGCAATAGCAGCTTGTAATACCATCTGAAATACAGAACTTTGGTTTTAGCAGGATATTACTATTAAAAGAAATATGGTTTCAGTTGGTCAGAGGTTTAGGTAGAAAATATTAACGTGGGTTGCATTGTTTGAGGCCTTGAAGGTATTACAAAATGTTAACAAAAGGGCCATACCATTGAAATATTAATGTAAAGTGAATGCAAGCCTTGGGTCGATGGTCAACTAGTGTATGTTCTACAGTTAACTAGCTTGCTCTGCCAATCCTGGTGACTTTATTATTTTGTCATTGCAGGGTAGAGATTTAGCACTGAAGTCCGGATAACCTGAATAATGGCAGCTTCATGTTCTGGCAATATTACGGAGCCGAATGGGAACTTTAATGACGGAGAGAATGAAATTATTTTAGAAAAAATCATGGCTGATTGGGATATATTAAATGCGCATGGCTCAGCCAGCTCTAACAAGAAAAGAAATATCTGGGAAAAAATAACAAGAAGAGTAAATAAAAATGGTACCCATAAGCGTACTGCTACTACCTGCAAAATTAGATGGAATCAATGTATAAGAAGCATTGAAAAAAACATAGATAAAAAATCACCTCTGAATCCTCTTCAGCGCAAAGTATTTCATTTTTTTAAGGATAAAAACAATGGAAACAAAATAACTTGGGAAGATGTTGTTTTCAAAATACGTAAGTCCAATATAAAACATATATACCAGTTTGCCTTTCTAGATCACTCTGATGTAAAATTTTTAAATTATTAAATGTTTTTCATCTATGATAGTTTTTGATATTATGAAAAAATAATTTGGAAAGCGTATCCAACGATATTAAATGTAGGCCTTTTAATGAGTCCTTATTTTTGGCGGAACTATCGGACTCACATTGAAAGACACATATCGAATTTTACAAATTGCGATTTTAGAGTCATCGATGTGCAGACCTTGTAGACTAGGATTAAGTTTACGATTTGAATATTTTGTAGTAATGATTATTTCATATATAATTATCCACTGATTTATGTATATTTTTTTTAAAGAGAGTCAATCTGATGTAAGGGGTAAGCAAAGGCGTAAGGATTCTACGAGAAGATCCACTGGAAGCATGCCTACTGTATCTACGAATGGACCAGAGTTTTTCAGAAGATCTACTGGAAGTGCACCTACTGTATCCACTTTACCCCCTACTCAGGCCAATGTTGAAACTGCATTGGAGAAGTTCATCTTGCTTAAAAATAGTTTTGAAAAGGAAAAAAAAGATGTTCTTTCAAGCGTTCTAAAAGAAATGGAAGAACTTCAAGATGATTTAACTAAACACACAGCCAAAATTAACTCCTATTCGAAAGAACTCAGTAAAATGATTGATGAGCTTACAAATGTGACATCTGATTCTGATTCTGATTTAAGTCAGTGTGAATCCTAATCCTCAACTGCAAAATATAAATAGATGCTTAAAGGACCACTATAGGCACCCAGACCACTTCAGCTTAATGAAGTGGTCTGGGTGCCAGGTCCACCTAGGATTAACCCTTTCTGCTGTAAACTTAGCAGTTTCAGAGAAACTGCTATGTTTACTTTAGGGTTATTCCAGCCTCTAGTGGCTGTCTCATTGACAGCCGCTAGAGGCGCTTCACGTTTCTCACTGTGATTTTCACAGTGAGAAGACACCAGCGTCCATAGGAAAGCATTGTGAATGCTTTCCTATGGACTGGCTGAATGCACGCGCGGCTCCTGCCACGCATGCGCATTTAGCCGAGGAGGAGGAGAGTCCCCTGCCCGGCGCTGTAGAAAGAGGTAAGTTTAACCCCTTCCACGCCTCCAAGTCCAGCAGGAGGAGGACCCTGAGGGTGGGGGCACCCTCAGGGCACTATAGTGCCAGGAAAACGAGTATGCAATTCATTTATTTTTTTGTAATATTATATAAAAACATATACTCTTATATGGTACAAAAGTATCATGTTTAGAATCATTTTGTTTTAATATAATTTAAGTAACCAAATAAAATGAAAGCTAACTATGTTTTATTGTAACAATCTAATGCAGCAATAACACAGGTCTTATTTTTATACCGTTCGAGAAAAACAAGATGTTGTCTTGATGATGAACTTCCATTTTCCCTTCTTTACAATTGCTTCCCTGATATTTTCTACTCGATCTTTCCATGCATCCCAACATTTAACCCCGCATAATGTTAAAGGATTACATTAATCTTTTGCAGGGAGATTAAATATTTTGTGTAATGTGCCCTATTGAGCACTATGGAGAAGGCCCCTTCCCCCACCCCTCCATTTGCAATAAAAGCTGAAAAAAGCTTTTTACTTACCTGGAATCCAACATCGGGCAAAGCTCTTGGCACTGATCTTCCACGCTCATCCAACTCCACAGGGGTCACGCACCGGCCAATCACAGGCTTCTCATAGAGCCTGTGATTGGACTGAATTCTGGCTCAGTGTGCTTGTGTGTGCTCCGGGATGGCAAATGTAGGGAGAGAGGGGTGGAGGGAGGGAGGAAGAAAGAAACCTGCCTGCAACGTAGGGAGCAACAACAGGGTGGGAGGGAGGCGAAAGTTATCTTTCTCATGCAGGGTGCTCTGTAAGCCAGTGTGCAGTGCGGGCTGACAAAAGGCGCAAAATATGCACATTGCTCCTACCACCAGGACCACTTCAAATAACTGAGGTGGTCATGGAGGCTGGAGTGAACCTTTAAGTCCTCTTATATTTGTGTTTTCTACATCACTCTATTCCACCCTTCCATCCACACCATATCATACTCTCCTCTCACCACCTCAGATTTACCTGCAACTTAGGTGCCTTCTTAGACATATTTCTCATCTTTGATGGGCACATTACCTCCACCTTCTTCCACACGTTCACTTTCTGAGCAAACTGGTCTCTCATGGCCCTTTTTGCTATTAACGTCTTATCCAGTCATAAACTAACTTACTAGCATACAGTAACTTACAATTTTGATTGCTGAGATTTCCACTTTATTTAAATTCTGCAACACTCCGTGTTCTCAACAAATGTAAAATGTTACAGCCAATCTTTCTCCACAGGCATTCTTATGGTAATGTCTCTCTACTACACATTAACAGTTCACATTTACGTCATACTACACCCCTCTCTCTTCCGTTACCTCCATAAAACAAAGGCATCTATAGATTCTTTCCAATTATGATCATTTTTCTATACCCTGAAACAAACTCTCCATCATATGCAATCTACAAAGTTATACAGTGTTTTCAAATCTCTTGAATACCTACCTCTACACAAAAATGTTTCTTTAACATCCCTTGTTCAACTCTGTTCCTAACCTTGTCTTACTTTCCCTTCACTTGGCAGCCCAATTTTCCTAATTTCACTACCTACTGACATTATACCCCATTCTCTGCCATGTGTACCCAACACGCCTACAATTATTATTATTATTATTATTATTGCCATTTATATAGTGCCAACAGATTCCATAGCACTTAACAATATTATAAGAGGGGAGTTTAACTACAAATAGGACAATTACAAGAAAACTTCGAGGAACGATAGGTGGAAGAGGACCCTGCTCAAACGAGCTTACAGTCTACGGGAGGTGGGGTATAAGACACAATAGGACAGGAAATCGCAATCAAATAAGGTGGGAGTGAAGCAGAACTGGAGGAGAGAGTAGAGTGCTGCCCTTTAGGAGAAAGCAAGAGACAGGTATGTGAGGTAGAGGTTACTCTGGGAGGCCATAAGCTTTCCTAGAGAGATGGGTTTTAAGGCACGGGAGAGTCAACAACCTATTCTTCTATGAGGAAAGTCTATAGCCACCGGATTCCATTATATATATGACCTTTAATGACTATGTTTTATACACTCTTTAATTGTATAAGTGATTTGTAAATGTGTGACCTTTTTTACTATATCAACCAAATCTGATGCAAACTGATATTAAGTTTCAATGTGCTTTTACAAAGTTTATAATATCCCATTGTTTTATGTATAATTTTTGTATGCTTTTTCCTGTTAATACTTTTATTATTAACCATCTAAGGAAAACCTATGATAAGAGCACGTTGTAAAACATTTTAGATAAATAAACTTTGGATAAAATCCACTTTTGTCACAGGTTCTTTGGATTAATGTATACTATTTTAGTCATATCCATTATTCTAGGTAAATTAAAAACAATACAATTAACGTTATCTCACTCAAGCTCTCTGTAGACAATGGTTCTGTATAGTATATCTTCTGATATTCTCTAGTAATGCTCAGAGAAGGAATACGATCCAACAAGTCCACAGGGCCCTAGGCAGGTTTCCAGTTTGGGGCCCCCTTCATTATTCCCCCAGGCTGGTAATTGGGGGCCAATCAAATTCATGGTTCTAGGTAACCCATGGGTCCCATTTGACTGCCGAGGGTTCCTTGTGGTGAATCCTGCTCTGGTGAGGCCATGCATTGTGTGTTAGTAGCCAGTTTTGAAATTGGAAGAGTGTAAAGAATTGGAGACAGGAGTCTTTAAGAACTCACTTTTTGATGAAACCCTTAAAGGGACTCTCTACTACCCAAATAGAAAAACACAATTTTAATAAATCACTTTTTAGTAGATATACACCTCAATGAAAAACTGGCATGCACTTAATTATGCTTTTTTTTTATTGCGGGTTTATCTAAAAACTGTTTGCAAAACCTGCAGATCTCGTGTTTGCAGCCTTTGCAAATGATCCCCTTCTAACCCCATCCAGACTTGCTGTGGCTGTCCAATCTCAGACTTCCCATTGCAGCTCAATGAGAAATCTTTGCAAGGCAGGTGGTCTGAGCAATTGCTGCCTCTTGAGTTTAGCCTCACTGAGTGAAACAGCCAGGAAGTAACAGGACAGATTATGTGATTGACAGCCAGGAAGGTGTAACAAGGTTTATTTAAAAAAGTACCAATTTCTATTTAAATCTGCACTTTTTGTAAAATTAAATAAGAGGACGCACTTTTCACATATAAAGCATTTCAGCAAGATAAAGTTCTTTCGCAGTTTGGAGTCTCCCTTTAAAGACCAATTAAATATGTTGTCACCATAACAACATTTGATAAAATGTTATTATTAAAAGTAATCATTTGCTGACTTGTTTTGCACATTATTAGTACATTTGCATAACCTTCATCGGCATTTTCTGTTATTTTTGGAACTACATTCCACTCCTAATCCTAAATAAATCCTAACTTAAAGGGACACTTCAGGCACCCAGACCACTTCTGCCCATTGGAGTGGTCTGGGTGCCAACTCCCACTACCCTTAACCCTGCAAGTGTAATTATTGGAGTTTTTGCAGGGTTAAGTCCTCCTATAGTGGCTGTCTACTAGACAGCCACTAAAGGGCACCTCCGGGATTATAGCACAGATTTTCTGTGCTATAGTGTCGCTGGACGTCCTCACGCTATGTGAGGACCTCCAGCTTCGCTAAAATCCCCATAGGAAAGCATTGAAAGCATTTTCAATGCTTTCCTATGGGGAGGTCTAATGCGCGTGCCATTGCCACGCATGCGCATTAGGTCTCTCCTGCCTGCGGGCGTGATCAGTCTCCCCCACCGGCTGACGTCGTGACGGGGAGGAGCGCGGGCGGACCAAGAAGCAGCGCCGAGGGATATCGTCGATGCCTCTGGTAAGTCACTGAAGGGGTTTTGACACCTTCAGCAACCAGGGATGGGAGGTGGGAGGGAGAGGGGACCTGCAGTGCCAGGAAAAAGGATTGTTTTCCTGGCAGTTAAATCTGCCTTTAAGACTGTGGAAAGTACAGACTCGTTTACTCCTTTCAGTAAGCCCAATGCTCTAATCACTATCCCCTAATCACTATGTTACTCTGTAATGACACCAGATGGCACAATAAATTCATATTTTATGATCTTACTTCCCAGACAATACTGGTAATATAATTTAGCTAAGACCATATATAATGAATTTAAGGGGCAATTGCAAATGGCATTTTTGTGGAATTGCATAGAAACAACAATACATATTTCCTAGGAGACTAGGAGACTATTACAATATAGTTACTATATACACACACAGAGAATGATAAACCACCCTAAAAATGTGTACCTCACAGATACTCCAAGGATACTGAGACAAAAGATTATATACGTCCCTAAATAGGGAAGTATATAATAGGATAGAGGGTTATGTGGTACATAACGTATCTACAAATAGAAAAGACAAAATATGGTAAGTACATAGGAATAAGATAAAAACTCCACGAGGTAGAGAACTTACAAAATGTAGGAATAACGCACCTAGCTCTCCTCAAGGGTATTTAGAGTTGGTGATCTTCCCAATGGAGCCAAAAACTTCAAAAGAATAGATGTTGCACTTACATACGAATAAAAAGACAGGCTTGGCACCACTGACAAGTGGAAAGAGTGTGCAGATCTCCAATCCAAGATGTGGGATAAAGAAGCTGGACAACTAACACAGAAAAAATATAAAACAAGAAATATCATCTGATCACTCTCAGCCAAAAGAGTTAAGCTTAGCTAAAGCATAAAACTCCCAGCTCACAGTTAGACAAGGAGCAGTGTCAAGCTGTTGCCTGATATGAAGTCAAACTATTCTAAAATGGTTTGAGTACTTACAATGGGGGTGGGGGCACCATAACAACAACAGCCTGGTTTTTGATCACTCTTTATCAGTTGCTCTGCAGTCTTAAATATTTTCTCCATTTTGTGGAACTGATGACCTGAGTTTGATTACCCATTAGGAGGCGTAGTCGATGCAGTGCCCTTCTCCTGCTCGAAGGAGAATCGTGGTCTACACCTCTATCAAGTGTAACAGGGTGCTGAGTGGTCTACACCTCTATCAAGTGTAAGTGAGTGCTGTAAAGAATGGCTTCCACCTGACCATCAGGGATTATACCGCCTATTGACAAAATGTACGCATAAAGGGGACAAATGAAAGAATTCCTCACATACACTGACTTTACGTACACACTCAGGCTCCCCTACAAACACGCACAACACTTAGACTCATCCACACACAATTCAGGCACCACTCATACACAACTCAACCAGCACACACAAGCACACTCAGCCTCTCCCACAAATACAGCTCTCAGCCGACAACACAAACACACAACACTCAGCTACAACACACAATTTCAAATATACAGCACTAAGTATTCCGTACATGCATACATACTCAGCACACCCACACACCCCAGGGCTCAAGGAGGAGGCCCCAATTTAGCATCTTTTTGTGAATATCTTTTTTATTTCTTCTTTTTAAAAAAAAGAAATTCACATGTGGGTAAATATATTAGGCAATGCAAATTATTGCCAGGCAGGTTTCTGATAGACATTGATATGGGACATGCAGGTCTCTGATTTCAAGAACCCATAACAGAAATTAAAAATAACATATAACGGATAGAATTTCAGATGTGTCGCCAATCTGGCATGTTGCCAAGGTCCCTGGGCAATCTTAATCCAAACTGGCCTGGAATTGATCATTATAAAGTATACATTTGTTCACAAAACATTAGCTTATGAAGAAAGGACATATATTACATTTATGTACCAGTAAATGCTGTACAATATGTTTGGAAAATAAAACTGAAAGTGCAAAAAGCATGTTCTGAGTTGGCATTTCACCATTTGAATAATTTTGTAAAATATGATGTTTCAGAATCGGTGCTACAAAAGGAAAGTGAGACGTAAAAATAAGTAAAGGTACTTTGAAAGAAAACATTTTGTTGAAAGTTATTAGACACTTCCCGATAGGCAGAAAAAACAAATCCAGGGTTAGATTCTAGAGAAAGAGAAACTTAACTTTAACGGATGAGACCTGTCTTTCCAAGTAAGCAGTAGATTGGCATATTATTGTGTTAAGGTACATACTGTATGTTCAAAATGACAAGTATAATCAGAAGTTACACACACACATATATATATATACATACACACACATGATCCAACGCACTCACTCATCCACTAGCAACTTCAAAGATCACAGATTCTTATTTTATTTAAATTCTTTAGAAAAACACCTAATCTAGGCAAAAATAATTGGGGGTTCAGTTACAGTTTATGATCATACATAAGAGCAGACATTAGGCTGATATAGTAGGACATATCAAAGATGGGGTACATTGACGTTGTGGCAGGCTTATGCAATGTATGATCATTTACTGTAACTAGTACCGATATTGGGGTACTGTGGAGCACATGTTGGGGAAAAAAGTGATTAGAAACCCCTTCCATCGGAAGTCAGTGGACACATTGCCAATACATTGTTAAACACAGATCTGCACACACCAGTCAAGCCATAAGACTTTCCTTTCCACAAGAATGTCAGATTTGCAGGGATGTTACTAATGCAAAGGATTCTGGGTGGGCATATGCAAATGAGTTCAACAAAGTATCACCTTTTGCATATATATATATATATATATATACATACATACACACACAATAAAAAAAAAAAAAAGAATATATATATATACATAAAAAAAAGTCAGATAGTCGATGTTTCAGTGTGGTATCCCCACACTTTCATCAGGACCTGATGAAAGTACTGAAGAAAGTGTGTGGATACCACACTGAAACGTAGACTATCTCACTTTTTTTTTTATGTAAGGTAATAAAAGTTAGGTTTTATTTTTATAAGTCCTGAGAGTGCTATCATATATACCTCTTTTAATCGTCGTGGATAACGTCCAAATGACTCGCAAACCATAAGTTGACCTACCCGCTACGCCAGGCAACAGTATCATGGCATCATTCACGGGTCAGGTCCTCACTTTACAGTTATGTTTGTTTCTTAGCTGCTACACTTTAACTGTTCATGCAAACCGTTCGTTTACACAGCCGTTCATTTACACAGCCATTTCATTCACATGCCATGCTCATATGTATCTTGCCCCGCTCGGGCATTCGCATACTCCCGAACGGGTAACTATCCAGTATTAATACATCTCATGTATGACATCTCCGTTCGTGCATTACAACCACATGAACGGAATCCATGTGTTTCTCATTTTCTGTTAATGGCATGTTCGTACAACCGGACGGTTTTACAGCCGTTCGTTTCAAATTTTAGGCTACATGTATCTTGCCCTGCTCGGGCATTCGCATACTCCCGAACGAAAACATTCTGTGTCATTATTTTTCATGTGAGGCAATTGCTGTTGGGGCGGTTCAACCACACGAACGGGGAAGCCTTGGGGTTCAACTTTCTGTCTTGCTTTTACTATTGTATTAAGCACACATTTCGTGCTTTTAAAACTCATGAACAGAACACTGGTTGGCATTATGTTCACACATGGTATATTGTCTAACGGGCACTGTACGTTTCACTGTCACCATACAACTATTACACTGGGGCATAGCTCATGAACAACTGTTTATCATAACCACACTGACCCCTACAGGTCACTCGTAAGATCTCAGGTTAACCTTGCATTTTTAATTAAGGGGAATTTCACCATACAATCACCAATTCTGACCCTTACTGGTCAAAAGCAACAGCTGTCTTCACATGTCACATACAATTTTACCAGTCGATATAAAATTACACATAAGATTGTTTTATACATAACCAGTCACCATTCTGTACAATTATGTAACTACACTGAATCAAATTAATGAAACACATATACAGCAAAGCGCTGATTACAATCATACATTCTCCCCAGCAGGGGGTGATACAACATACATAATTTTATAAGGGCACTTTTCTACCATCTTGTATACGCTGTACAAAAGGTTAAGTCTGGTGCACGCTTGTAACCATCATGACATAAGGTGTTTAAATAATTTTATAGGTTACGGTACTTTGCTTTTCACAAACATAACTGCACATATTCGGATAAGCTTGGAATATGCCATACCCATTATGCCATACGTTGTTTTATCTATTCAGATTACAGGTACTACTAAAATCTATACAGATTTTAGAGGTTAAATACCATACTACCAGGTACGTACACCTGCTCACATAGTAATTCAAATCCTATATTAATAGTTAATAGAGTACAGGCAATTAGGGATATAGGGTCCAAAAGGTATTGCCCTTTCTCTGCATTACGCTTTCGGTTAGTGGTCCCGCGAGGTACAACAAAGGCTGGGCCTCCCACTACTGTACAACCAGTACCAACCGAAACTCGGTTACCTGGTACTATCAATTCTTCTGACACTCAGGATCTTAACCCTGCACATATGATCCCAGCACACAGTAACAGAGATATCCTGGAAGGTAAAATGTCAACTTAGCATCTCTACTAATGGCCATACAGGCCATGCTAGCCTCACTCATGAACTCCATGAGCAAAATTAACAACAGACTGGCAAATCTCGAGTCGGTCACCACAGCCCTCACAAAGGCTGGGCCTTCGCTATGTACAACCAGCACCAAACGAAACTCGGTTACCTGGTACAATCAATTTTTCTGACATTCAGGACGTTATCCCTGCACATACGATCCCAGCACAGTGGGAAACAAACATATATGTATTACGATGTATCTGTGGTGGTCAGATCCAGGGATTCCAGGTAAAACGGAAACTGACCATCCCGGAGTTGTTTTGGCTTTTGCATATATAGAAATGTTATTTGCGCAATGTACTCTAACAGAAGGTAAGCATTCTATTTATGCACAAGCTGGTAGACCTAGGGAACATATGTTGGTTCGGCCTTTTACGACTATCATAGGTCATTTTCTGCCAAAGTGTCTGGCGCTCTCTCCCAGTTTGGTAACAATCAACTGGAACAGACTGGATACAGAGATCTCCTACAGACACTTTGCAGGTCTACATACACCAGCTTGTGCATCCTGCTCTTTCACTAACCACAACAGAATTTTGTCCCAACCCAACGGATGATCACTCTCAGGCTCCAGGTACTAGCACCTCTGTGTCACGACACACTCCTTAGTTGATCTTCCCTCGTGCAGTACCCATTCACACCTCTATCTCTGTTTGGCACTGTTTCTAATTTATTTTCATTAGCACTTCACCTGGTCCTTGTTTAGAACCTAAATAGTTTGGTTTCCCCTCACTCCTTGTCAGATCATTGTCTCTTGTCTCCTGTTTCCCTGGTTCCTGGTACCCTGTGATTCTGACTCCTGACTCCTTGATCCTGCATGCTGTTCTTTGGTCCTGTATCCTGCATTTCCTGGTCCTTTGTCCCTGTGTCCTCCTGCTCTTGTGTTCTGGTACAGTGTTAGCTGCCTTGTTGCCAGTGATCCTGACCCTGCAGCCTGGTTCATTTATTTTGCCTATGGTCTTGCTTCCTGGTATATCTGCCTTGTGAACTATGGATCTGTGCCCTACCTATTACTAGTGGTGGCTGTACAATCCTGCCTTAATACCAAAAGACTATTAAAGTATTCACTGCCAGCACTATTCATGCTTATCCTAAATTGTTATATACATTTGTTCTGTGACTTTGTATATATCTATTATGTTTTGTTATCTTTTTTGTACTTTTGATTCTCTTTAATATATTTCTTTATTTGCACTATTCATTGTGTCTTTTGCATCTATTCTTTGCTAACTTGGTTCCTACATTTAAAGGGATAGTGCTGTCTCTGGGCAGCACCCCTTCTTCCCATGACACTCTGGTAGAACGGAGCAAACTACCAGAGACAAATTGGGTCTTCTCATTTTCTTTTGGCAAATCACAGATTTGCAACAATTTTAATATGGGTATGTGTAGTTACAGTGCATATAGACTGTTGCATACATGTTCTAATGGTTCAGGGCACATGACAAACCATGTGTCCAAATACAACGTACAAAAAAACTTACTTAACGTCTGTAAACATCAATGCATTTTCACACTACTGACTCACCCATACAGGTTTCATACATATACTTCCAGGGAATCTAGAATGCCCTAACTTGTGGTCAGCACAACAGAACCAATGGCTGTAAACACACTCATAGCCCAAGAAATTGCAGAAGGGTTTCTACTTGGGCTTTCCCAATCTCCACCATTTACATCATGATGCACACAACCATTGGGATTATCACAGGGAAGTCTTCCCTTAAACAAAGACTAACCATGGACTTATCGGCACCACACACCTCTGCTACCCCAAGTCTCAACTCCCTCACACCCTCCGAGGAGTTTCCTTACAATACGCCACCATTGATCTACCTTTACAGCTACCACTCAAGCATGGGTTGGAGCTTGATTAAGTAAGACTGATATCATCAATGCATTTAAACTGCTATCAGCCACCCTACACTCTGGCACTTACATGGCATAAGGGGCAGGCAGTTACTAATTCTTCTCCCGCTTAACTTTCGGGTCACTTAGTAGCCCAACAATCTTTGATATTCGCAGAAACTCTGTGCTGGTTGTTATAACATAACCAAAGGCCTCACAGTCATACAATCTAGATGACTTCTTGTTGGTCAAAGATAACACCTTCTTCCCTAGAAGCCTCAAGGAAGCATTAGTCTGGTTGACCACTTGGGAATCCCAGTATCCCATAAGAAACAGAAGGCACAGACACTATCATCACATTCCTGGGCATACAACTTGACTTGGCATCCATACAAGCAAGTTACCACAAGACAAAATAGGAACTACAATCCCTACTAGGTTCCCCAATTTTGCCAGGCGCATCATCCCACAAGGCCGCACTTTTACATACAGACTACTTTTCCTTTTTCACACTTCCACCATGACGATCAGAGGCTGTCCCTAGATACCCTAGCCACAGCAGACATGCACATGGGGGAGAATTTCTTAACCACTTGGCATGGTAAAAGCATGTTCCTCCCAGGATTGTCTGACACTCTTCCAACCAGATGGTCAGAGGCAGCGTCTACCACGGGTTTGGCAGCAATCTACAGGAACGATGGCTCTGGAGCAGTTGACCATAGCATTCAGGTTTGGAAGGTTTTCCACCACCTCAGTCCCTTTTTGAGATCTACCCTATTGTAGCAGCTGCTGTGGAATAGGGTCAATCATGGTCAGGGTCATCAATCCGTTGTTACTCAGACACTAAGCAACATGCCATATCATCAATAAGAGTCACTCATCATCCATCCATACAATCATGATAATTCTAGGGAACTCACTTGATTGGCCGCTTGTCACATTTCCTTTGGTTTGCTTTCATGTACCAGGCGGTTGCAACATCCCTGCTGACAATTGTCTCATTTACATTCCAGTTATTTTCATAAAACACTCCCCACAGCCGCTCATGCAGTCACGTTCCAGAGTCTAATAATGGATTAGACATACTCATGCAGCATAGCAGGAACTGTCCCACTTAGGACTTTCGTCCAATACTTGTAGGACGTATAACAGCTTTCACCTTGCTTAAAGATTCCTGTTGGAACACAACATATCTCAACGTTTGTCATGACATCTCTCCTAGGTGGCTTCTTTTTGCCATCTTAAACTGGAACTATCTCACAACTCCATTAAAATATATTTTGACAGGCATTCAACACCACATGCTAACCCTATGGCCAAATAACCATAATTTTATGTCATCATATCAGACAAAGAACATACTCAGAGGTTTTTAGGAATCCATTCCCTCACGTACCTCTCAGAGATTACCATAGCCAACCAACTTTTCCATCACCACCACTCAGACAGATCATTGTCTTCAACGATCCCACCTACGTAAACACATTGATCACTACCTGTTGGCTCTACCACATTCCAAAACTAGTCAACAAGCACCACCAGTAGAGATAACATACTATCCTACCCACAACACGTGGTGTCCAGTTGTGGTCCTAGATTCCTACCTTTTATATCCAACATCACAACCTTTTTGCACTACAAGGCTCTGTACTCACCACCACTACTTGCATGAAATACATTAGATCCCTGTTAACCATGCTAGGTCTCAACCCTCTACCTACTCAGGTCACTTGTTTCGTATAGGGGCGGCCTCCACAACCTCCAGAGCCAACATACCAGTACATATATTGGGACGATGGAAATCTTCAGCTTACACAAGTTACATACCCAAACCAACACATGAATTAAGTAATGTATTTAAGGAAATGTCTGGTTAATTTGGATATAATAGTTTACTGTATTAAATCTTTGATTATTCACTTTTGCCCTCTTTATTTACAGGCCTACCGTATCGTCAGTCTCGGCACACCACAACCGACTTGCTCCTTTATACTATCCTACGCTTATAATGGAACCTTACTCCATATATGGCTATTTGCCCCTAACACAAGTATTACAGCCATTTGGCCTGTAATTGTGGGAGGAGCTTAAATAACACACTTACCTATATAAGGTACACCCCTTACCTGACTCCATACCGCTTGAGGTCAGTATCTGAATGACCCTCCCACCACTCCACAATCTCAACACTTTCTTTCCATTTACTTTTCTTTTCTTACTCCTTGGTGGGCCTTTTTTATTTACAGGCCTACCGTATCGTCAGTCTCGGCACACGACAACCGACTTGCTCCTTTATTCTATCCTACGCTTATACTGGAACCTTACGCCATATACGGCTATTTGCCCCTAACACACACACACATATATATATATATATATATATATATATCCAAGGAAATACCGGCACTCAAGGCTTTTCAATCCAGACAAATTCTTTTTAATCCAAAACCACCGTCAACGGTGGTTTTGGATTAAAAAGAATTTGTCTGGATTGAAAAGCCTTGAGTGCCGGTATTTCCTTGGATATGTTAGTATTGCAAAGAGAGCACCAGGTACCATGAGATTTAGGTTGGAGTGCAGGAATTGGTTTTGTTATATATATATACAAAAATTGATTAAATACATGCTCTCACGCTCAAATAAATATGCAACACTGCATTTGCTTTGCTTGCCGGGTGCCAGTCCCTCTGAGGATATAAGTACACTCCAGATATGAAAATAAATTCGAGGGCTGCACTCACGGTCTAAGTAATGAAGTAACTTCTTTATTCCATAAAATGAACGAGATCGACGTTTCGGTCCACGCAGGGACCTTCCTCAGGATCAAATGACATCATGATGAGGTGGCGGATGGTTTCCTGAGGCATCTCCTCCCAGACCTGGACTAAAGCATTTGCATACTCCTGGACAGTCTGTGGTGCAACGTGATGTTGGTGGATGGAGCGAGACATGATGTCCCAGATGTGCTCAATTGGATTCATGTCAGGAGGAACAGGCAGGCCAGTCCATAGCATCAATGCCTTCGTCTTGTAGGAACTGCTGACATACTTCAGCCACATGAGGTCTAGCATTGTCTTGCATTAGGTGGAACCCAGGGCCAACCATACCAACTGGTCTCACAAGGGGCCTGAGGATATCATCTCGGTACCTAATGGCAGTCAGGCTACATCTGGTGAGCACATGGAGGGCTGTGTGGCCCCCCAAAGAAATGCCACCCCACACCATTACTGACCCACTGCCAAACCGGTCATGCTGGAGGATGTTGCAGGGAGCAGAACATTGTCCACGGCGTCTCCAGACTCTGTCACATGTGCTCAGTGTGAACCTGCTTTCATCTGTGAAGAGCACAGGGAGCCAGTGGTGAATTTGCCAATCTTGGGGTTCTCTGGCGAATGCCAAACGTCCTGCACGGTGTTGGGCTTTAAGCACAACCCCCACCTGTGGACGTCGGGCCCTCATACCACCCTCATGGAGTCTGTTTCTGACCGTTTGAGCAGACACATGCACATTTGTGGCCTGCTGGAGGTCATTTTGCAGGGCTCTGGCAGTGCTCCTCCTGTTCCTCCTTTCACAAAGGCAGAGGTAGCGGTCCTGCTGCCTGGTTGTTGCCCTCCTACGGCATCCTCCACGTCTCCTGGTAGCACCTCCATGCTCTGGACACTACGCTGACAGACAACGCAAACCATGTTGCCACAGCCATTTATGTGCCATCCTGGATGAGCTGCACTACCTGAGCCATCTGTGTGGGTTGTAGACTCCGTCTCATGAGCAGTGTATATATATTACAATATACACTAATGTAAGAGGATTCTAGTTAGGAAAAAAGGCACGTCTAGCACCATAACCACTACAACGTGTTGGAGAATTGAAGTGTTCCTAAAACTCTAAATTAAAAAAAAGAAGAATGTAAAATGACGAATGAGAAATGCATAAATGCAAAAGAATACAAACTGGTTGAACCAGCTCTCCACTATTAGTGGTGGAGATAAGTCACATCCTCCACTACTTACAAAATATCTACGTCATTTGAAAGAAAAGAAAAAGTGTCCATTAGACACTCCCTTTTAGGCGGCAGAATCAATTCCAGGGTTGGAACAGATGAGACTTGTCATTCCATATAACCAGCAGGTTGACATATCATCTTGATAAGGTATGTACTGTATGTTCAAAATGATAAATATATTCAGTCTAGTTATATCTCTTAGAACGTATAATGTACACTGAGGTGGTGTTTAATTTAAGTTAAGGCTGTCTTTATGTAACATTAATAGATTATTTAAAATTAGAGGAAGCTTCACAGCAATATCCTCAATTATAATTAATGTTTTTAATATGTATATGCATGTTCTCTGTATGCCCAGTATAAGTTTATTCTCATAGTAACATAATCAGGTAAGATCAAATGTATTCTAGATAAAGCAGAGCAGAGTCCTAAAATAGTGTCTATCAAGAGTAACTACATTACTTGGTGCCATATAGACAGGGCTATCACAGATCCCAATATTTATGAATGGGAATAAACAATGATTTATATATATATATATATTTCCTTTCTCCCATATACTATACGCAGTGGCGTACTAAGGGGAGGGCGGAGGGGGCGGTTCGCCACGGGTGCAAGCAGGGTGGGGGGTGCCATGACCAGGAGCGCCGGCCCCCCCATGCTGCAGCCGCCCGAGCGCTCTGTAGAGAGCCTCAGGCGGCTGCAGCTTTGCACGGGTGGTGCGTCCATGAGGGCGGACCTCACCGCCCGGGCGCAGCCTGAGGAGAGGGCCTGACAGGAGGGAAGCGCTCAGCGCTCCCTCCTGTCACTCCCTCCCTGTAGCGTGGCCGAGCCCTCTATTGGTCCGCGGGTACAGGGAGCATCTGTCTCCTGTACCCGGCCGGACTAACAGGAAGTACACACTGAGTGTGCACTTCCTGTTAGTCCGGCCAGGTACAGGAAACAAAAGCTCCCTGTACCCGCGGACTATACTGGGGTCAGCCACGCTACAACAGAGGTAAGGGGGGAGGGGAGAAAGAGAAATTAGGGGAGAAAGATAAATTGGGGGAGAAAGAGAAATTAGGGGAGAAAGAGAAATTAGGGGAGAAAGAGAAATTGGGAGGGGAGAAAGAGAAATTAGGGGGAGAAAGAGAAATTAGGGGGAGAAAGAGAAATTGGGGGAGAAAGAGAAATTAGGGGAGAAAGAGAAATTAGGGGGGAGAACGAGAAAATAGGGGGGGAGAAAGAGAAATTAGGGGGGGGGAGAAAGAGAAATTAGGAATCTAGTATATTATTCATGGCACTAAGCTCTAATTTACCTCACATTAAGGAAACACTATAGTCCCCAGAACCACTTCAGCTTAATGTAGTGGTTCTGGTGTCTATAGCCTGTCCCTGCAGGCCTTTTAATGTAAACACGGCGGCACTGCAGCACTGGCGTTAGTTAACATGGCAAATCATATGGGTGGGGAATTGTGATGTCACATGGTGGGGGGCGGCAAACTTTACTTTTGCCTAGGGCGGCAAAAATCCTTGCACCGGCCCTGGCTGGAGGGGGCTGTGTGAGCTGTGGCCGCACAGTGCCCCATGGTAGTTAGGGTGCCGTGCGGCCAGTACAGCTCACACAAGCAAACTGCTGATAAACTGGCCGCATGGAGGAAATGTGTATGTGTGACTGTCTGCCTGTGACTGTGTGTGACTGTCTGCCTGTAACTGAGTGTGTGACTGTCTGTCTGTAACTGAGTGTGTGACTGTCTGCCTGTAAATGTGTTTGTGGGGCTGCAAGGATTTTGTAGAAGGGGGCGGGGGTTTTGTATTGGGACAGGAGTCTTTATAAGGGGGGATAAGCAGGGGATTTGTGGAAGGGGGTTGCGGGGGTTTTGTAGACGGGCAGTACAGGATTTGTAGAAGGGGCAGGACAGAGGTTTTGTAGGAGGGGCGGGGCAGGACAAGGGTTTTGTAGGAGGGTCTGACAGCGGTTTTGCAAAGTTTACAAATTGTAAAAAAAAAAAAAAGAAAGAAAACCTTTAACATTTTTTACAGGTTTTTATTTTGGGTGGGTGTGGGGGGGGGGGTGCCAAGCACAGGATCCGCCCCAGGTGCCAAATGCTCTAGGTACGCCCCTGACTATAAGGCTTTCTTCATATGCACTTTTTTTATATTGCATATTAATTGTGCAAGTAAGATATTTTGCACATCCTCGATTTTACGTGATTTTATCACAAGTTTATAGTAAGCTATAATTTGATTGGCTTTCACTAAGCGCTCCGATATTAAAAATATATTTGTCAGTTAAGAGTCTTACGCCTCTTAGGGAATTTAAGTGTGTTTTATTTAGGTCAGGCTTTCCTGAACTCCGGCCCTCCAGATGTCGCTGAACTACAACTCCCATGATTCTATGAATGAAATAGATAGGCTGAGAATCATGGGAGTTGTAGTTCAGCAACACCTGGAGGGCCGGAGTTTGGGGAAGCCTGATTTAGGTCAATGAGACAAAATTATGCAAATAAGATAGTTTTCACAATTAAAACCTTTAGAACTCCTGTCAATATACCTGTATGTATTGCCTAGTAAAACATAAATAAGTCTAGCTTGTTGTAGATTTCTTTATCTCTTTTTTCATGCTTTTTATTTATTTTTATTTTAGCGCTTGTTTCCTGTTGAGAAGCCAGAATACAGGGATTCTTCATTTCTTCATATTTGACATTCTTCATATATTTGAAGTCCTTGGTGTGTGTATGTGTTTTATCTACAAGACATTTTCATAGCATGATTGTTATTATGTATTTATTATGTTAACTAACTACACGATTCCATTGTGGACTATTGTTACATTTATTTATCAGATCGTGCGTACACGGTGCTGCAGGTGCAGAATTTTCACAGCATTCTCTGGTTTAAATAGAACTGTGAGTAATTCTCACGTGAGGAAACCAAATGTGTTATTTTAATAATATTAACCTTATTAGCCCTTTCCTACTTCGCCATTTTCGCTCTTCTTTATTGCCTTTTCCATCCTTTCTTCCACCTTTTCCTGTTACTTAATACTGCTTTATTATTAGTTCTTAAGAAACAGCTTGTCATCCTCTGTTTTCCAATGTTTACAATTCCTTTACACCATCCCTTGCACATTGGTCTTTTAGCCCATGGCTCAACTTGCTCTGTACTGTCATCATGTGAAATAGTTGCCTGATTGTCATTAATTATGGACTTCTTGAATGAAATGAATAAACACAGTGTCTATCACACATAGTAAAGGAAAACTCCAAGCACCATAACTACTACATCATGTTGAAGTTGTTCTGGTTCCAAAGGAGCTCTGGTGTCCTTCCATTGTAAGAGACATGTTAAATGGAGTCCATCTGGTTCTGCTCCATGCCTCTTCTACACCCTAAACACGAGCTTCCATTAACTCTTTACAGGGCAAACTTATGCAGCCAAAAAGTTAAGTTCTGTCCTGTTGCTCTGATAGTGAAGGTTAAAACCTGAGCCAAGGGAGCCACAGGTAAGGAGACCATTCTTAATCAGTTTGACTGCTATACAATAGAGGGTTGGGTGGGTGCCAGGGGATTCCTGGCACCAAAGCCACAACAAGAGGCTTTAGTTGCTATGGTGATTGAAGGATTCCTTTAACCTTAACAGCCTGGTATATGCATTTCTTATATGTGTCCCTGTTTAAGAGGTACCATGGCAACCATTGGAGATTTGTATTTTTATCAAATGATGTACTTGATGTTAGTTCATTGAAAGTTGACATCGATTCCGATGAATTGCAATTTATAATGAAACAAATCTCAAAGCCTACTGATTTAGTAGAACAATATAACAAATAACGTGGGCGTAAAATTATTAGTTTTAATAGAGTGTCGTGTTCACGTACCAGTCGATCAGTTTTATTCTGGAATGAAGCATCATCACAATTTAAATATGCTTAGGTGAATGTGTGAATACATACCTAAAAACATGCATATCTCTTTTTCTTTAAAGGACTATGGCCTATCAAAATTATCCACAGGACAATACACAGAGGAGTAGTGAAGAAAATATATGGTTGGAGGAGACATTGCCCAAATTTCAAGATGTTCATCTTTTCAGTGGAAAACAACCAACTGATGGAAAAATCTATGTCATGTATCATGGAACAACTTTAAAAGCAGCAATTGACATCATCCATGATGGTTTTTGTCCGTCAAAAGATGGCATGTTAGGAAAAGGAGTCTATGTGAGCAGAGATCTGGAGAAAGCTGAGCGCTACCCCCTAGGGGATAAAAGTGATCAGGTTATATTGAAACTCCGAGTAAATGTGGGTAGAGTTATAAAGATAGATCATCAGAACCACCCTCTACAGAAGGAATGGAGTTATAAATTTGATACAGCTTGGGTGCCTCCATATTCTGGCATGGTTGAAAGTGGGTTAGAGGAGGATTGTGTTTGGGATCCCAATAGGATCAAGGTAATAGATATCGCTAAAGCCCCACCACTATATATACATTCCCTGCAACAATGGGTTGAAGCACATAGAAAATAAAACCAAACATGCATTTTAACAATTTGATGAATTATTTACAATTACATAGTTTTCTCCTTTCTTTAACTTTGAAAATATTTACTGTGCATTGATTTCATTTTTATTTCTAACAAGAGGCCATTACAGGCAAAGGAACAAATACCATGGAAACCAAGGCAATGTTCCTCTGACACAATATTACTAGTGCTTAAATAAATGTAACCTCTTTAAAAATGTTAACAGACAGGAACGGCGTTTCCTTGCTCTAGATCAGGGGTAGTCAACCTTTTAATACCAACTGCCTACTTTTGTATCTTTGTTGATGGTAAAATTTCCTTACCGCACACCAAGGCTACAGTAACTCATTGTATAGCACAACGGTAAATGTTTATTATGTTGAGTTAGATCTTTTAAAAGGAGCGTTTTTTTTTATAAATATGTACTTAAATGTATCTATTTTTTTTCTATTTTACTTTTTTTCTATGTGTGTCTGTGATGTGTGTCTGTGATGTGTGTGAAGGATGCTGTATGTGTGTTTGTGTGTGAAGGGAGTAGTGTGTGTGTAAAAAGTTGTGTGTGAATGGTGCTGTGTGTGTGAGGGGTGCTGTATGTGTATGAGGGTGCTGTGTGTGAGGAGTTCAATGTGTCTGTTAAGAGTTCTGTGTGTGTGAGGGATCAGTGTGTGTGTGTGAGGGTTGCATTGATTGTGTGTGTGAGGGGTGCAGTGATTGTGTGTGTGAGGGGTCAGTGTGTGTGTGAGGGGTGCAGTATGTGTGTGAAGGGTGCAGTGTGTGTGGGGGGGCACAGTGTGTGGAAAAAGTTGTGTGTGAATGGTGTGGTGTGTGTGAGCGGTGCGGTGTGTGTGAGGGGTGCAGTGTGTGTGCGATGCATGTGAAAGGGGGCAGTGTGTGTGTGAGTGGGGGCAGTGTGTATGTGTGAGTGAGGGGGCAGTCATATTGTGTGTGTGTGTGTGTAGGGGGGCAGTCTGTGTGTATGGGGGGCAGTCTGTGTGTGTGAGAGTGGGCAGTCTATGTGTGTGAGTGGACAGTCTCTGTGTGTATGCATGTGTGAGAGTGGGCAGTCTGTGTGTGTGTGAGAGGGGGCAGTAAGTCTTTGTGTGTGTGTGTGTGTGATAGGGGGGCAGATTGTGTTTGTGTGGGGTGTAGTGTGTTTGTGCGTGAAGGGTGCCTAGGTTCCATGCTGTGTGTATTTGGGTGAGATGTGAAAATCTATCTTAATGTCTCTCCCATTATGTCCCCCCTTCTTCTTACCTTTTAACGGGGAGGGGAGATGTAATGCTGAAAGTCCTGGTGGTCCAGTGGTGGCATGTTAACTTTAGCCTGCAACTCCTTCGGGCTGCAGGCTGACTCTCTTGCCCTCCTACAAGCACAGCACTGTATCAGAGTGTTGCCATGGTAGCATGCAGCAACACTCCAACTAGCCTGCTAGCAGGAGGAACACGGAGCCTCCCAGGACCTTCCCTCCCTCTGCTGAAACTAAGTGCCAGCGGGCCAGCGGGCCAGTGAGGGAGAAGGCTTACAGCAAGGCTGGCTCTGCATGGGCTGGCAGGGGAGATGAAAGGATCTCCCCTGCCAGTCATGGTCCACAGCCATCGAGGCCACCGGGCGTTTTCTGTAAAACCCACCACCGCCCACCTGAAATTCCAAACCACCCACTAGGGACAAGGTTGACTACCCATGCTCTAGAGCCTTTCATATTTACATATTTTTAAAAATATTTCTTATGTTAGATTATTACTCACATTGTTACACTCACTGCCTTGTCATTTCTAATTATCTTTGTTATAACTGTATTACTGTTACTTATTCTGATATAAATATAGCCATTCTAAACCACTTCTGTTTTATTTGTGAGAACCTGAATTTCTCAAGAATATTGTATACAAACTGGAATTTAATTAAAAATATGTAGGAACCAAGTCATGTATTTCTTTATTTATCTGAATTATTTGTGAAATTACTATTTATTGTGTGAAAATAGCTTTATTTTCTAATGTTCCAGCCAGTTACATTAAGCCATTATTTTAAACTAAAAACAGAGAATATAAGAACTCTGAAAATAGACAAACGCTTAGTTAAAGGACCACTATAGTGCCAGGAAAACATACTCGTTTTCCTGGCACTATAGTGCCCTGAGGGTGCCCCCACCCTCAGGGTCCCCCTCCCGCCCGGCTCTGGAAGGGGGAAAGGTGATTAAACTTACCTTTTTCCAGCGCTGGGCGGGGAGCTCTCTGCCTCCTCTCCTCCTCCGATCCTCCTCCTGGGCTGAATGCGCACGCCTTTAACTAAGCTGAAGTGGTCTGGGTGCCTAGAGTGGTCCTTTAAACTCAATAGCACATGTAAATCCCCACTCAGGTCTCATAACAGTTTGTGCTCGCTTGTGCAATTACAGAGAGAACCTATGCCATTTGCATATCAGACTGGTCCAGCTTATATGGGCAGTCCAGATCCAAAATACTGGTAAGTTCCTTCTGCACAAGAAATACAGCAGCAATCATTCCAGCCTTCTTTGGGCCCCATCAGCGCGGTGTAGCTGATACCCCTCTAAGCACAGTGAGACTGGGATCCATGTCTAGATTACCCATTTAACTTAGGGAGAGCAACAAAAACAGACAACATTGGAACTCTGATAGCAAAAGCTTAGGAAATAATTTTCCCTTCAGTAAATCCCCACCCAGGTCTCAAAATAGTTTTTGCTCACTTGTGCCATGACAGAGTCAACCTAAATCATTTGCATATCAGATTGATCCAGACTATAAAGGCAGTCTAAATCCAAAATGCTTGACATTTTCCTCTGCAAGAGAGACACAGCAGCCCTGGGCGATCGTTTTGGCCATTTATGGGCCTCGTTAGTGAGGTGTAGCTGCTACACCTTATTTGAAACTAAGTGAATGTGCAATCAGTGGTTCCATCATTGTCTCCATTGATGTAGAGATAATACTGGATCACTTTATTCTACAGGAAACGTGCCAGCAAGATTAATGGCAGAACAAAAGTTGAAGGTACTTTACATGTTTCATGCCTTGTGGCACTTTGTCAGAGAAACAAATTGTTACTACCAACCACAGTGCATCTCCATGCGTGTCAAACTCCTGCAAGACTTGCCTGATTTCACTAAAGATGTATCCCGGCAATTCTTGTGGGATGTACTGTAATTGGCTGATTATTCAAGGGGATGGAGTTTTTTAACATGTCCTCAGGCCTTTAGAGGGGACAGTCATGGCACTGCAAAATGTCTGTTCTTCTGGAGAGTGCTGATGACTTTAATGCTTCTTCATGGTTAGAGAATGAGTCAGAGTGTTGCTGCGAGTTACCATAGTACACTTTTGCACATTCAATAAGAGTTCCTGGAAAGGAGTGTTTGCCCATAAGTGGGGAAGAGTATGTTTGACACCACTGGACCACCAGGGAGCCATTATTCTAATTACAAAACTGGTTAGCAGCATATAACTACCCCCCCTCAAATACCACCCATATATTCAACCAACGCACTCAGCCAACTCTACCCCACACACACACACACACACACACACACACAGATATAAAGATATAGATATATAGCCTGGATAGTCCAGTGGTTTCATTACTACCTCAGAACTGGCAAATTTTAGCAAATAATTCAATGGTACAACACACTTCAAAGAAACTCCAAATATTGGTGCTTGTGTCATAAATAAGGTTCCCGTTCCACCGAACCCCCTCAGTAATTAAAAAATAAATGAAGCCGTAAGCACACAGCAATAAGACGTAATGGTGTTTTATTAAGCTATCAAACATGAAAAGGCAACTTTTCACCATCATATGTGTATTTGATGCTGCAACTTTGCTTTTTCAAGTTTGATGGCTTATTAAACCACCACTATGCCTTATTGCTGTGTACTGATGACTTGGTTCATTTTTAGACTTGGAAAACCCAGGTTTAAATCCTGGTGAGACCACCTCAGCAGTAAGTGTCTATCAGGGTTCTTACCTGAGGTTGGAGTTTGAAGCGCAGATATGTTTGCTCACCCTTGCAGATAGACACAGTCCAAGGTGACCAGGTAAGAAGCCACCTGGACTGTGAATCTGTGCACGGGGGCTGTGCAGGAAAGGTGATTCCAATGCAGTACCGACAAGGACACAAACAGCAGGAAAGTCGAGGGATAGCCAAAGTCAAAGGATGCCAGAGGTTAAGATAAACGAAGTGTAGCCAAAGTCAAGGGATGCCAGAGGTCAGAATAAATGAAGACAGAAGCCAGGGTTAATATGGAATACAAGTTCAGGAGACTTGAAAACAGGAACTGAACACATAAACCAGGATCAAAGACTTGATAATGTTCCCAGGGTGAGGCAGTGCTTATATACACAGCTGATGACTGATCTGTCTCAGGTGAAGCACGCGCAAGGACCACAGAATAAGTCCAACCCCCCGTGCTGCAGACATAGCCAGGTAGAACAGGGCTAGAACTACTCCAAAGAATAGGAACTGCTGTGGCTGAAAGGCAGTATAGCAGACCCAGGACAGCAAATAACCCAGGTTATAATCCCCTGTTGGACACTTCATGGGCGGCTACGCCTGTCCGTCTGTATGTCACAGTGTATAGCGCTGCAGAATATATTGGTTCTATATAAATGCTATTAATAATGTATCTATATGTTTATATCTAGTTATATGACATACAGAATTCACAGCGGGAGTGGGTCCCTGAGGGTGGGGGCACCCTCAGGGCACTATAGTGGTCCTTTAATATATGTACAGGAGCCTCTTATTAAAGTTCCTGGACTCAAGCTTTTAAGAGTAGCAGAGTGTAACTCACATCAACACTGGGTTGAAAAAATTTGAATGTTTCCCCAATTGAGCATTTCGGTCTCCACCTCATTAGTCACCCCCTCCCACCCCACCCCCATTAGTAACTGTCTTCCCTTATCCTTTCTAGATGTCTTGTCACATGGGATCTATTAGTCTCAGACTCAGTCTCTATCAATATTTTGAATTACTCTGCGGTTTCAACTGATCATAGAAAGCTCTAGAAAAGGAAACTGGTAGATATAAATATGTATACTAATTTGAAAGAAGACATTTTATTGAAACTATTTAGATACATGACCTGAGGCATAAAAAAAAAATACAAGTTTTGTTTCTAGAGAAATTGAAACTTATCTTTACAGTTCACAGTTACATGCTAAGTGAGGCCTATATAGTTTGAGATTTAACTCGTTTTTTGTTTTTTTGCAATTATCTCTGAGCAATGCACGGTCTGACCTTGGGGTGAATTTGCTGGGACATCCACTCCTGAGAAGATTGGCAACTGTCTTGAATGTTTTCCCCTTTTGAATAATCTTTCTCCCTTTAGAATGATGGACTTTAAATTGTTTGGAAATGGCCTTACAACGCTTTCCAGTATGATGGGCAGAAACAATTGTGTCTCCAAGATCTTTGCTGGTGTATTTCCTTGTTATCATTGTGCTAACACAAACTTGACTGCTACAGACTAGCAAACTGCTAAAACTTCAGCTTTTCTAGAGATGGTCCCACTTGCTGATGGTCAATTAATCAGGGGCATTTGATTAGCAGCAACTGTCTGCTACTTAGCCTGTTAATTCCTATGGAAGCAGTAAGGTTGTACTAAGTCCTTTAAGTCCTGCAAGTTGCGAGGTGGAGTCTTCATGGATCAGATTTGTTGTTCCAGTACCTACCACAAAAGCTCAATTGGATTGAGATCTGGGGAATTTGGAGGCCAAAACTTGAACTCTTTGTCATGTTCCTTAAACCATTTGTGAACAATTTTTGAAGTGTCAGTGCATTATCCAGCTGAAAGAGCCTGCATCCTTTAGGGAACACCATTGCCATGAAGGGTGTATGTAGTGTGCAACAATCTCTAGGTAGGTGGTACGTGTCAAAGTAACATGAATGAAGAAATTTGTTTTATGTAAATTAATTTCATTTTTAATGTTTCCCCTCTGGGGTCTCAGACAGCAGAGTCGGCACTAACATTATAATGCTATATCTGTTGTGACCCCCTTCAGCAGCATGAAGTGCTGGGCATATATCCCTATCAGGCCCTGCTCTACTTTCATTACAGATCTGCACCTCCGATTAGGAACTGAACTGCCCTCTGCTGATATTCCCAGTCAGAGAACAGAAGGGAGTATTTATACAGGACTTGTTTTTTTTTTTTTTGTATTAGGTAAATATGACAGTTTGCACGGAGCCCTCGCCGGGAGAAGACAAATTATATTTTTCGTCGGGAATTATTTTATTTTCCATCATGGTTTTTTTTTTAGCACTCGTTTTTTATTTTATTTAATTAGTTCGACGCAAATTATGCATTTTTGTTTGTTGTGTTTTGAGGCTGAAAAAATAAGTTGGGGAAAAAAGAAGACATCTAATGGCAAATATTAATTTTTTAATTTACAGGTGGTAAGTTTATTGCCCCCACACTATTATTAGGGTGAGGGGGCGTAGGTAGGGTATTTGTTTATTGAGGGGTGACTAGGGTCTTTGTGACCCCTAGTCATGAAGAGGGGGGATTATTTTTCTAATTAGCCCCCACCCGTCGCCAATAGGGAGCCTTGGGGGGGCAATAGCCCCCCCATTATTATTATTTAAGGCCCCCACCCGTCATTAATGGGTGGTGGGATTGCGGGGGGGGGGGACACACTAGGTCCTTAAATTAGTTTAATAGCCCACACTCGCAGGGCACCGGTTGGGGCATGGGGTGACACTATGCCCCACAGTTAAGTGCCCCACCATGGGAACATTTGGATTAGTGACTGGGCAGCAATAGGTGCCTAGTGGCTAGTCTTTCTTTATAACAGTGAGTAGCCACTGGATTTAACCTCCCTTATACTACTATGGGGTCAAACTGACCCCACAGGGTGATGGGCATAAGGGGATTTAGGAAGCTGCAGGGATCATAGCTCCCCACTGCTTCTATTTTTAAATATTAACAGAGGGCCGGTCGCGGCACTTTTCATGTGAAAAGTGCTGCAGTCGGCCTGTGGCATACAACAAATTGCTGCCCGTGGTGGACCATACCCCCGCCCCCCCTTGCTACGCCACTGCTCACAAGGTGCAGATGAAGATTATTTGTAGTTTTGCTGTAGTTATTTGTAGTTATAGTGATCTGCAAGCTAAATGGCCTTACCCTTAGAAAATGCAACATCACTGAAAGAACTTCTGAAATGAAAGATGGAAGCGCATCTGAAGAAGATAGATTTGGCTACAATGGTCCTTTCTTCTGTCCTGCGGCCAGTGAAGACTTAAAACCTAAGCCTGGAGAAAAATTTTGCAAATGACTTTGACTAACCTCATTAATAACATTAAAGTACCTGATGACTTGTCATGAAACTTCCATGTGTAACCGCAAGTGGTACCATATTACTTCTATAACGTCTCAATTGCCTAAAATTCAGCAGGACTGACCTTACAAGTATCTTGGCAACAATGTTATATAGACAGTCAAGGTTTCTCTACTCATATCATATAAATAATTAAGAATACAATAAAAATATGGATTTGGAAGCAATCATTATTTTGTCTTTATAATATTTTTTTTTTGTATATAAATGAATATAGAAAGTATGTAAAAACCTCAAATAGGTGCGATGGTGAGGTTCCTAGTGCTTTTTAGATCCGGGTATGGCAGCTGGTACTTCCCAAACCAAAGTCCATTCTATCTGGCCATAACTAGGTATACACATCAGGAAAGGGTACAGGATAGCAGCGTCTTCTGGATGTCCTCAAAATTTTTGTGGAGCTTATGCTCAAAGAAAACAAAGATAATAGAACCAATTACATAAAACTGCTGACGCGTTTCACCCAAAGGGGCTTTTCCACAGTGTGAAAAAGCCATTTTGGGTGAAAGGCATTAGTGTTTTTATGTCATTTTATTATCTTTGTTTTAAATAAAACAATTTTTTTACCTTACTTGGACCTTCCTGATTTTATCCATGAAGATTTTATCCGGAGGAGCCACACTTTTTACCTCCTTGGTCGGGGGAAACCACATACGCTACACAGGGTTGAGCAAAAAAAATTTGTGTTTTTTTTGCTTTCCTTATGTGAGTATACCTTTTTTTATTTTGCTTTTACAACAACAAAATGGAGAGCACTATTTTTCTGTCTTTATTTTCATTTTATGTAATTGGTGAATATCTGTGACAATCTGTGACAAGGTATGTATTGATGCTAAATGTGCTCTCATGGAAAAATCCCCCATGATTATATTTTACATTGATTATAATATTAAATGCTACCAACATGTAACAGTCTACATTAGTGGTGTCATCAATGGATATATCATTATTACTCTGTGAATTACGTTCCTGTCCTATCAGAAATCATTTATTCTAAGTTATCTCTTCCAATTTCAGATCCCCTTCCTCCTATATCTGCTTTTTGTTTTCAAGGTCTCTTATTCATTTCAAACTCAGGGATGTTTGCTCCCTCTCAATCTAAACATTTCAATTTTATTTGGAGGGAAATACCCATGAATGCTCAACACTTTAACTGGTCCTTGACTCTGAACTATCATTTACAAGGAACCAAACCAAGCAGCAAATCCACAGGGGGGTATCATACCATCGAGGCGCATATATATATATATATATATATATATATATATAAATATATATCTTGAGCTGAACATAATCTCCAGAACATTTTTGAGGACACCCAGAAGGCGCTGCTTTCCTGTACTCTTTCCTGACCAATATGTAAAAACTTAATAATCATAATAATTAAAGCAGAGTAAATAAAATTAAATGTATATGCTTGTAATATAAGTAAAATAAAATCACATGCCCTCCTGATCGTTACTGTTAATCTCTCGTTCTTCTGTTAATACAGCAGCAAAATCACGCTCTCCCAATTCTCTGTCAACTAACTAAAAATTTGAGTTATTATAGATTTTAGATAAAAAATAATTCTGTTTAGTTCGGGGCAGGAAAAATACCATAAAATACATTAAACCAGGTAACTGCAGTTTACTTATGGGGAAACTGCAGCCAATCAACAAAAAATAATTAACCTTAAGTCTTGGTTTCTTGGCACATAGACAAGGCCATAATGAAATAATGCGGAACCTGACCTTGCGTTGCAAGACAAAATGGCATCTATAGTCTAAACATTTTACTTACGAAGCTGGGCGTGAAGCCAGTTTGATAACAAAATGAACACAGTAGAAGCTACAACATTTTTCATTGTAAGTAACAAAGGGGGGGAACCTGTCTTTTTTTTTTTGCAAGGGCCCATAACACCCTCTCCTTTAACTGTGGATTTCTTTGCACAATAAAAATGGCAATTTTTTATTTTTCAGGACCAACTTTACATTTTATGAATAAATTAATAGCATTTGCCAACACATTGCCTTAAGGGACATGGGTCTCGTTATAGTGTATGTTATGTTAATACAGCAATCCAAATGGCATCTTGGGAACGCCTCTTTTTGCTGGTATCGGAATCTTGGTAACACCTCTACTTCTCGCTGGTAGACTTGCAACGACATTGGACGCTGGGTGCCATTAACAGGTAAAATCTGCAGAAAAACTTTACATTTGTTATACTTTGTATAATAATGAGAGATGGAATAGTTAATGTTTCTAGTGTTTTGTTTTAGGGACAAACAACCTTGCACATGGTTTAGCTATATAAGGATTATTGGAATCAGCAAAGCATTTTTTCCATTTGTTCACAGTGATATGTAAAGTTACATTTCTCTTGTAAAATTAAAATTTTAATATTTGTTTTGTTTCACTTGTCTCGGAGACATTTTGTGGGATATTAGCTGCAAAGATATGGCATTATTCATTCGTTTGTGTTCTCCTAGGGAGACAAATTAGTTTCCAAGTTGCAATCAGTAAAAATAGAACTATAGTTATTATTGGCTTAAAATATCGAAAACCACCTCAAAATGATCTCAATAACATTGTTACCAATGTTTGATTAAGTTTCATCCACCATTTTAAAAAAATGGCCTAATGTAGGTAAAATATTACACTGGTGTCTAGCACCCTCTGGTGCATTTTTAGGATATTCCGGTATCTGCACTTTATTTGGTTAGAGGAAAGTATCTGCACTATATAATAGTAACCAATCTTCCAGCTCTATAAATTAGTATAAAACCTCACACGTAAAATAAAGGAGAGAATAAAATCTTAGGCTGGTAAATTTATTACATATAGAAAACATAAAAACACACTCACAAAGGTAATGGCACAAATCTGTTGAAAATGTGCAAATCTGCTTTTTGCAATTCTTATACTATGATAATAATAATAATAATAATAATAATAATAATAATAATAATAATAAGTTATAATTATTACTTGGTTATAGACTCTCCTCTATGTGCCATATCCGCCTGTCCCATATTTCTCAGACATTCCTGCCTGTCCTTTTTGAAGTGCCTGAATTGACTCCCATCTTTTCTGATAGTGAACAGAAATCTGCACAAGTAAAGCTATACTAGCCTAGTTATGACTATAGCTGAACTGTAGATTTCAATTCAGATTTTAATTTGCTGCAATGTGTGGATTTAGTGAATAACCCTTACAGTCTTCCTGTTTGTTAACGAAAAGACAAACAAAAAAACAACCGAACAGGCTGGTGGGTATGTTAGGGTGGAAAAGACAGATCAAGAGAACCTTAAAACTGCCCAGACTGTTGGTTTTTGAGGAATCCCTAAACTAAGCAATTTCTAGTAATTTGACAACCAATACACAGCATTTATTGAATAAACATCTCTGTGTAAAGTAGAGGATTAGTTCAGGTCTGCTATCTTGACCTTGCTTTTTGACAGTTTGTTTAGTGAATATACTATTTTGTTTCTGCCTGTTGGGACAAAAATATAGAACAAACAAAATTTAGAAAGAAAAGATACACAAAGGTAAAAACTTAAAAAGTGTCCCCCACTTCCCTTTTGTTGCAATACCTGCACCTGTTGCGCACCCTCAACATTCCTGTTGTAACCCTAGTATCGTGCATCATTCCAAGGGGCCCGTTACCATGGCATTATTTGAGCATCATCCAACCTGCACATTTTGGCGCAGCAGGAATGATGACTATCCCTTTGTAATTTTTTCTACCATTATACTGTATATCCTGACACCCTCTCTTCCAATTCTTCTCACCCCCACCACATAAATAAAGCAAATGTAATTATTTGGTGATGTGATTCATTTGCTGAAATCTCCATGTTCTAGGTTTTAAGAAAAGAAAGGCATTATCTCGTAATCCACCTGAGAAAAGTATTTCCTGATATTGTGCACAGTCTGCGCTGATAACTGTAAGAGGTATGTATTGATGCTAAATGTGCTCTCATGGAAAAATCCCCCATGATTATATTTTACATTGATTATAATATTAAATGCTACCAACATGTAACAGTCTACATTAGTGGTGTCATCAATGGATATATCATTATTACTCTGTGAATTACGTTCCTGTCCTATCAGAAATCATTTATTCTAAGTTATCTCTTCCAATTTCAGATCCCCTTCCTCCTAAATCTGCTTTCTGTTTTCCATGTCTCTTATTCATTTCAAACCCAGGGATGTTTGCTCCCTCTCTATCTAAAGATTTCAATTTTATTTTGCTCAGTCCCATGCTCCAGCTCACCATCCCTTTCATTCATATCAGCTTCATTAGAGGATGCATAATACATTAATACAAATGACTTTTATATATAGTATAACACTGAAAGAAATTCAGAATGCACAAACTGTGATACTATTCTATCTTCTTTTACTACAATAAGAAGCATTTTAAAGTAGGAGATTACAGGGATATAATAGACTTTTTTTTTTTTAATTCTGTATCTATATTCACAGGCGTACAATAAAGATCATAACAGTAGGTACAGTAACACTGTGTAAAATAAGTAACCAGAAGAGAAAAAAATTAATGCTATTGTTGGTCGTGTCCCACTATGGGTGGCAAGACATCACGCAGAGGACAATTTTGTGAAGCTCTAGTAATCGCCCAAAAGTTATAAGCTGATAATGGGCTTGATTTAATTATATTGGATACGTATTTCTAATTATTATTATTATTATTATTAGCACCAACATATTCCGCAGCACTTTACAATTATAAAATGGGGATAATTAACAAGTAAATAACATACGCAATGTAACAGAGAGAAGATGTGAAGAAGGCCATGCTCAAACGAGCTTAAAACATATGATCACCCAAAGACTCTGGGAACCATGGGACAATAGCATAGTGGGCTCCAGTGAGGACAGGTAGGACTGAATATGAGAGTAGATGCGGACTAGCCATGGAGATCCCCTTTTCACGAAGAACATAACTATAGCATTATAAACAGAGGAACCCTCCAACATCCCCCATCTTCTTCCCCCCCATCTTCACTCTACCTCTTCCAGATGCTATATTTTATCTCTATTTTCTTCCTTAGAACTTTCTATCCTTTCTTTCTTTGTTGTTTTCTTTTTTGTTGTTGTTTTTTTGTGCTTCCCTACCTTTCAAGGGAAGGATTCTCTCCTTTTTAATTTTTCTTCAATTTATCCCAGGCATGCTCAAAATAATGAAGGAATAAGGAAACCCAAGGGCTAATGGGCAGTTGTTAAGATAAGGATCCTTATGTTTGTCTGAATGCCGGTTTAAAAAACACAAAAACCCTCGATGGAAGACACGTCTCAAAGGAGTAAAGAATTGGTATCAAATGGTTCACCGGAAGCGCATTATGTTTTCCATAAATAATACTTATGTTGGCTTCTGCATAAGCCCAAAATTTCAACGTACACTTGTCATTCCTATCGAGTGACAAATAAAGGATAAAAAAACCAAAACAACATATTATTACAATGAGGTATTCTATTTATTCTATAAAAATCCTTGTAGACTTAAATGGTAACTTCTGTACATATATCATTTGGAAAATTTTTACAAGAAATATTGATCATTTGAAAACTTATCCAAAATAATTAAAATGAGGCCTAAGAAAGAGTCCAGAGACTCTGATAGGGTATCATTTGGCGATGAGGGACCTTGTCTGACTTTCTCATCAGATATTGTTTTTTGAATAATAAAATGAGCTTTCCATCCATCTGCCCACCTGTCCTGAAACACATAGTTACAAATATTTATTCTGCCCATGTGTGTTCATTTTGGTTCCTTTATAAATACATTCAGAACTTCATCCCTATTATCTCCCTAATATTAGCTCTAATATTCTATATGTATAAACAGTGAATTAGTCTATATGTATAAACAGTGAATTAGTCTATTCATCTCCAATTGATAGCTCATGTGGATTGTGATAGCTGTGAGCAGAGAGGTGCAAGGTGTACCCAGGCACAATCTAATGAAGGGTCAATTTGCCAGCCCTCCTTATACCTCATTTAGATGTCTATCTGCACTTTTGAAACATTGTAAATTAAATAATTGCTGGTAATTAGCAAAACAACCCCACATTTAATTTTGATATTTCATTTTTATTAATTTTGTCTGATTTTATTATTCAATAAATGTTGGTCTTTTATAAAACAAAACTTCACTGTGTGCACACCCTAATAAAATGTGCTGAGCATAAATAAATTATGCATTTTACACTAATTATATATTACGTTACACTCTCTGTACTTAGCTGGACAACTCTTTATCTGTTGCTTTTCAGCCCGGCACCATCACTCCATCACACTTTTTCTCTCTCTGAGTATGTTATCATTGTTTTACAGGAACAAAGTATTTCTTTTGAGGTGTGGGATAGAGTAGTGGTATAATGCTTTTATACCAAAATATATTTTTACAGAGTTTTCGTATAAATTTAATGTAGTTTAAAACAAAACGCTATACACTTAAAACACTTTTGCTTGCTGAAATGTTTTATGTGTGAAGAGTGCATCCGCTTTTTTTCAATTTACAAAAAGTGCAGATTTTTATAGTAACTGGCACTTTCAAAAATTAACATTGTTACACCTCCCTGGCTGTCAGACAGACAACAGGTCATGTTACTTCCTGGTTGTTTAGCTCAATGAAGCTAAACTCAAGAGGCAGCAATTACCAAGAGCACCTGCCATGCACAGACTTCTCATTGAGCTGCATTCTGAAGTCTGTGATTGGACAGCCACATAAAGTCTGGGAGGGTTAAAAGGGGAGGGCTCACAAAGGCTGCAGACAAGAGATCTGAAACTTTTGCAAGCTGTATTTAGATATACCTCAAATGGGAAAAAAGGCACAATTAAGTGTATACATCTTTTAACTGGGGGTACATCTACTAAACATGATTTTTTTTCTTTTGTATTTGGGCTGCAAATTGTTCAAGAAAAAAAAATATGACAACTCAAAAAAAGCTTGAAAATTGCTGAATATTTTGAGACTATACAGTTTCTGTTTGTACTGAGCTTCTAATGATGCGCTCGCTCCATGCTTTCTAAGGACTGTCCCCTAACACTCACTTGTCCACTCCTCTCCTCAGTGGCGTCTCTAGGATTCATTTTTAGGGGGGGCACATGGAGGGCCAGGGACAAAAGTAGGGGGGCACATTTAACCCCGCCCTCGCCACAGTTTGACCCCGCCCCTGTCGCATGTTAAGCCCCGCCCCCGACACAATGTGTTTTGTTTTTTTAATAATCCCTGGTGGAGGATTCATTATTTTCCACCAGGGATTATTAAAAAAACAAACACATTACCCTTGATACAATGCCATAGTTGCCAACATTTGAAAAAAAATTCCAAGGACATTTTGCAGCACAGCTATCAATTACAGTCAGTGCTCTCTGTATAATACAGGGTTGTGTGTATAATAAATTGGGACACTCAGTGCTCCCTGTATAGTGCTGCTCTCTGTATAATACAGATCTGTTTGTGTATAATATCCCAAGACAGAGAGCAGCACTATACAGGGAGCACTGACTGTCCCGGGATATTATACAGGCACAGGCCTGTATTATACAGAGAGCAGCACTATACAGGAAGCACTGACTATCCCGGGATATTATATACACACAGATCTGTATTATACAGATAGCTGAGCATATACCCCATGTCCCAATCTCTAGACTACTAGTACCTGTCAACAGCAGCTCCCAGACGCGTGTAACAGGGCTAAAGTGTGCGGCAGCTCACACAGATGATTCAGCGGTAAAGTGCACTCGCTGGCAGAGCCAAATTGGGAATCCAAAGCAGCCATGGAAAAAAAATGTATGCCATTCCTACAAGTCAAAATATATATATATAGTACAGTAAGCACACAAGCTCACTGACATGCGCAAATAGGCTTACTGACAGACAAAACTCTCTGACTCACACACAAGCTTACTACAGACAAACTAACTTGTATAAACAGAAGGCTCACTACAAAGAAGTTCAGGGACACACACAAGCTCACTAAAGACAAGCTCACTGACACACACATGCTCACTAAATAGAAGCTCACTGACACACACAAGCAGTACCATTTTAACAGAGTTAAGGGCCCCTGGGCAAAGCAATGCACTGGGGCCCTTCCTACACAATAACTCACAGGAATTTTAATTATTGATAGACTGCTGAGTCCATACACACACACACAGACTGCTGAGTCCATACACACACACACACACACACACACAGACTGCTGAGTCCATACACACACACAGACTGCTGAGTAAATACACACACACAGACTCTGCTGAGTCCATACACACACACAGACTGCTGAGTCCATACACACACACACACACAGACCGCTATGTCCATACACACATATACATACACACACACAGACTGCTGAGTCCATGCACACACACACACAGACTGCCGAGTCCATACACACTCACAGACTGCTGAGTAAATACACACTCACACACACACACAGACTGCTCAGTCCATACACACACACACAGACTGCTGAGCAGTGGCGGATCCAGAGCCTGATCTCGGGAGGGGCACTTGTAGATTATTTAAAGAAATAATCCAGACACAATAACCACTACAGCTCAGTGTAGTGGTTATGGTGTAACCATAGCAGTGTATGTCAGGGATGCAGTGTATGTATGGGACAGTATGTGTGTGTAACAGTTGCAGTGTGTGTGTGTGTGAGTATTGCAGTGTATGTGTGAGTGTGGGCAATGTGTGTGTATGGGGCAGCAGTGTGTGTGTATGGGGAGCAGTGTGTGTGTATGGGGATAGTGTATGTGTGTAGAGTGTGTGTGTGTGTGTGTGTGGTGGGCAGTGTGTGTGTGGTGGGCAGTGTGTGTGTGTGTGGTGGGCAGTGTGTGTGTATGGGGGGGTGCATGCGTGTAGGGGGGAGCAGTATGTGTTTAGGGGGAGCATTATGTGTAGGGGGCAGTATGTGTGTATGGGGGGGCAGCATGTATATGGGGGCAGTATGTGTATATGGGGGGCAGTATGTGTGTATGGGGCAGTGTGCGTGTATGGGAGCAGTATGTGTGTATAAAGGTATGTGTGTATGGGGGGCAGCTGTGTGTATGGGGGCAGTATGGGGGCAGTGTGTGCAAGGGGCAGTGTGCATGGGGGCAGTATGTGTGTGTGTATGGGGGGGCAGTGTGTGTGTATGGGGGGCAGTGTGTGTGTATGGGGGGGCAGTGTATGTGTATGGGGGCAGGGGGGCAATGTGTGTATGGGGGGCAGTGTGTGTGTATGGGGGGCAGTGTGTGTATGGGGGCAGTATGTGTGTGTATGGGGGGCAGTGTGTGTGTATGGGGGGCAGTGTGTGTATGGGGGGCAGTATGGGGGCAATGTGTGTATGGGGGCAATTGCCCCGTTGCCCTCCCCCTGGATCCGCCACTGCTTTTGAGTCCATACACACACACACAGACTGCTGAGTCCATACACACACACAGACTGCTGAGTAAATACACACACACAGACTGCTGAGTCCATACACATACACACAGACTGCTATGTCCATACACACATATACACACACAGACTGCTGAGTCCATACACACACACACAGACTGCTGAGTCCATACACACACACACACACACACTGAGACTGCTGAGTCCATACACCCCTGCTGCAGCCTACCTGTCACTGGAGGCTGTTGCTGGGGGTCAGGCAGCCATCTTCTGCAGCAGCATGGTCTGCTGCTTTACGGCGGGGGTGGGGCTTATGTGCAGGAGGCAGGGCTTCATTTGGGGGCGGGGCCTGTGCCGGGGAGCCTCCAGCCACAGACAGCCCCCAGCACCTCTCTCCTGCATTCCCTAGGGCTGTTACACACTGTTACATTCCGAGGTAATATAATTTAAACACATGGCCAGCAAGTTGCTGGCATTTGGGGGGGCCATGGCCCCCTTTGCCCCCACCCCTAGCGACGCCACTGCCTCTCCTTACCTTCTTACTAGCAGACAGAAGCTCCTGATATACAGTCTGGGACAGAGAAGTGAGTATAGTAGAAAGGGAACATGCCACAGTGTTAAAGAGACTGAACCAGCAAGAGCATTTGCATAGTGCGCGAAGTCAGCTTTACTAATTTCATTGTCAGCCAGTCTACACCAGTTTTGTTCCCCTACATCCCTCTTAAGTTTCCATACTCAAACAAGAGCATGCAAGGAGTAGTAAAAAAAAAAATGTTTTATTATTTTTTTCTCAATGAGCCTATTCCATGAGCATGGGCCTGGAGATGCACATGTAACATGTTTTTATCTTCTCTATTGAGATGATTGAATAATAGTGATATGCTGTTTTGTTATAGGATGGCGTATTATGGGGATTCTGATGACGATGAGATTTGGGAAGAAGAGACCTTGCCAGACTTTCACGAACGATTCCTCCTCAGTAATAACAAGCCAAAGGATGGAAAGCTCTATACTATGTTTCACGGCACAACCTTGGAAGCAGCTCAAAAAATCATTGCACATGGATTCCAGCAATCTACTGATGGAATGTTAGGGAAAGGGGTCTACGTGACCAGAGATCCAGAAAAAGCTGAACGGTATCCTCTGGGTGATCAACGTTACCAGGTTATCTTGAAGCTCAGAGTGAATGTCGGTAGAGTTAAGAAGATAGACTATCAGGGTCATCCTCTGCAGAAGACGTGGTATAAAGATTATGACACAGCTTGGGTGCCTAAAATGTGTGGTATGGTTGAAAGTGGGTTAGAGGAAGACTGCGTAAGAAATCCCAATAGGATTAAGGTGATAGGTGTTGTAAAAGCTCCAGGAAAGTCCAAACCTCATCTGGAGAGAATGATTTACAATAAGAATAAAAAGCGATGAGAACATACGAATCAAAAAATAAATACAAATCTGATTTGGTGGGATATTTTTTGTTACGTAAATTGCAGAATTTACAACAGGTAAATTTTTTACTTTTGTACAAATTAAGATATGATTTTGGGGTATAAATGATAAAATCATGTAGTTACTGTTAAATCATTCAATTTCAGTTTAAAATGATGGTAATTTGCACAACCATTCACAATCCTTTTATTGACATGAGCTTTATACTGCATATCTTTTTCAAGGCTTGATCTAAGTGAAATCCATTGCACAACATGAGAATTGAATGAATAACTGAATGTGTGAGAATGAAGACGGCAAAAATAGTGCATCTCAGAACCGACACAACTGTCCCTCTGTAAACATTTAAGTGTATGATTGCCTGTGTTTGGGTGAAAAATATAATCAACTGGCACGGCTTTATTAATGCACTCCAAAATGATTAAAGGGAGAAAAAACTGAAACCCAAGTGTTTAATAGTATATGATGTACAACCAATCAATAAATCAATCAATCAATAAACCAATCAATGGATAAAAGTGTGTTTGAATATATAGACTTTTGTTGACTCTACAATGTTTTAAAATAATTCTACAAACATTGCTGCTTATATTCTCATCTTCAAACAGTTAACTGAATAATATGTTTTGTTTGTTGATAAACCAGTCACAGTTTTGTTTCATGGGGCATTATCTTGCTGAATATATCCGTTATCGTATAATACTGATGGTTTGTGATGTAGTATTGTAAATGATCTATAGGGGATTCACAGGATTCAAATATATTTCCGCGTATGGCAAAATAACCTTTTTGTGTCATAAAACCCCACTGCGCACTATTGGACCATTAATTGCTAAGAAAGCAGCTAAGCACCATAACCACTAAAGCTTGTAGTACATAGTTACATTATAGAGAATTCCACATAGCTCTTACTGTAAAAAAAACCTTTTTTAGACATTGTGTCCTATGTATAACCCTGTTTATGAAAAGATTTCCAGATAATGGTCCCCGAATATGTTTGTATAATGTTATCCTATTCCCTCTGTGGCGCCGTTTTTCCAAACTAAAGAGATTTACATATTTTTACTTTTATTTTCATAACTAAAATGCTCTATTCCTTTTATCAATTTTGTAGCCCATCGCTGCACTTTTTCTAGTGCCTTGATATCTTTCTTTAGAACAGGTGCCCAAAATCGCTCTGCATATTTAAGATGTGGTCTTACCAGTGATTTATAAAGAGGCAAAATTATATTTTCATCCTGAGAATTAAAGCCCCTATTTATACATGACAAAACCTTAGCAACTGCCTTAGCAACTACTGATTGATATTGCTGCCTAACTTGTTGTCTATAACAATTCCAAAGTCCTTCTCGTGTGTTATCTCTAATTCACTACCATTTAGGGTGTAAATTGCTTGTGCATTCTTTATCCAGAAGTGAACAACTTTGCATTTCTCTACTTTAAATTTAATCTGCCATTTTAGTGCACAGTCCCCCAATCTATCTAAAATCCCTGCTCACGTTTTATTACTTTACAAAGTTTTGTAAAGTAATAAAATAGAAGCGGTCCCAAAACAGAACCCTGAGGAACACCACTTACCACTTTTGTCCAGCCTTAAAATTTACCATTAATCGGGGGTGGGCTGGCAGCCTTAGGCCTGGGGGGCAAAACCAGTCAAGTGGCCCATTGCACCACCAAATCAGTGTAATGGTGCCCACCTTTTCCTGGTTTTATAACGTATATTGATGTTATGCTAATCAGTAGCTCTTTGCCACACCCGCTCCTTCACGCCTCTGACTTTCAATGTTGCCAGAGCGCAGGCTGAGAATCTCTGAGCCTGTGCTCTGACTCACTAACTGAGCGCCGGAACCACGAGGGAGAGGATATGATCTGACTGCACCTACTGCTGGTGTGCACCAGTGGACCACCAGCGAATCGTTTAAATTGAATATGCTGGTGTCCCCAACTTGTGAGCTGTGTTGGCCGCCGGGCGCCTCTATTGTGATGGCACCCTGCGTGACCGCACAGCTTGCACACCCCAATGGCTGGCCCTGCTGACACACACTGATGTTACTACTTAGAAATCCCTCAATATTAATACAGACATCAGAGAAAACACCAATAAACTGTGGAAACAGAGCTGATCCCATCCAAATTTATAAAGATTTGCTTACTGGATTTGTTGTAAGATTAAATCATGCCTCCTCCTCTCTCTCTCTCCCATGCGCTGCTCTGTAGGCTGGGAGTAAGTGAAGAGTAATCACAATCTCCCAGCACAGTGGCACGTGTGGCTGCATGGGGAACAGCTGTATTTGCCGCCCCCCAGGTGACATCACAATGCCCCACCTATATGAGCTGCCATACGAACTAACGCCAGTGCTGCACACAGTGTGTGTTTACATTAAAAAGCCTGCAGGGATCGGCTATAGACACTAGAACCATTTCATTAAGCTGCAGTCGTTCTGGGGACTATAGTGTCCCTTTAATGTGAGGTAAATTAGAGATTAGTGTCACTAATAATATACTAGATTGCCTACTTACAACCAGATGAGGATGATGATGGGCTGCAGTTTGGCTCCACTGGTCTGGAGTAGAACAGGATCTCTGGAGGCTGTTTGCAACTGTGGTCAGAAAATTCAATGTTCTGGGAGAATTGGAAGCAGCTCCATTTTGTGGGGGTCCCTTACACAGCTCAAGGTCTGGGCCCCAGGGCCTGACAGTGAGTATGCCCACTCATAAGTCCACTTATATGTTCCACCCACCCATGAGTTCGTTCACAGGGACTGGAGTGTGTAAGGGATGTGTTATGTGTTATTGTAGAGGATATAATATGTGTGCTTATGGTATGTAGTGTATAGGCATACCAGTTTGTATAGGTGATGCAGTGTGACTGTGTGTAGTGGAAGCAGTGTGTATTTGTGTATAAGGGATGTATTTTGTGTTTCTGGTTGTGTGTAAGGGATGCATTGCGTGAATCTGTGTTTGTATGCATTAGGGATGCAAGTGTGTGCATTGAGTGTGTGTAAGAGATGCATTGTGTTTCTGTGTGTATGTAAGAAAAGCAGTGTGTGTGTTTGCATGTGTGTGTGTAAGGGTTTGCATTGTGTATTTCTGTGTATGTGTGCAAAGGATGCATTGTCTTTGTGTGTAAAGGTTGCATTGTGTGTGTGCAATTGATGCATTGTGTGTTTCTCTGTGTGTAAGGGAAGCATGTTGTGTTTATGTGTGTGTAGGGATGCATTGTGTGTGTGTGTGTGTGTGTGTGTGCGCATAGTGTGAAAGAGCTCCCTGTCTTGCACCCTTTCCTGTAGAGCTGTCCCTTCTGTCCCTTAGGGCTCTCCCCTGTCCCTTAGTGGTCTCTCCTCTCCCCCACCCTCCCCTAGTGCTCTCTTCTCACACTCACCCACCCTCCCTGTGCTCTTCTCATCCACCCTTCCTGTGTTCTCCTCACCTCCCCCCTCCCTGTGTTCTCCTCACCTCCCACCCTCCCTGTGTTCTTCTCAGTTCCCCTTCTCCTTTCTCCCCTTACTCTCACTCTTACTTCTCCCCTCCCCTTGTGTTTCTTCTACTTCCCCTTGTTCTTCCCCAAGTTTTTATAACCTTTCTCTTAATCCCCTCCTCCTCCTTCTGTTACTTCCCCCTCTTCACTTACTCTCTCCTCCTTACTTATCTCTCCTCCCTTCCTCCCCCCTCCTTCTACTTTTTTCTCCCCTCACTTTCCTACTTTTTCCTCCTCACTTACTTCTCTCCTTTCTTCTACTTTCTACATTTCTCCCTCCTTCTTTCACTCTACTTCTCCTCTCCTTTTTACCTACTTCTCTCTTCTCCCCTCCTTACTTACTTCCCCTTCTTACTTGCATTTCTCTCCCTCTTTCACTTACTTCTCTCCCCTCCTTCTTACTCTACTTTCCCTCCCTTTTCACTTACTTCCCTCCTTCACTTACCCTCTCCCCCCCCTCCTTCACTTACTCTCACCTTCCCTCCCCTGTAGTGTAGCGGAGCTGCTCTCCGGTCCGCGGAGCCCGGCCGGAGTGATAGGAAGGTGCACACCCAGTGTGCACTTCCTGTCAGTCCGGCCGGGCGCCGCGGACCGGAGAGCAGCTCAGCCACGCTACGGGGGATGGGAGGAGAGAAACAGCTGCAGCCACCTGAGGCTCTTAACACCTGCAGCATTTAAAGGGCCGGCCCTGCAGCGGCCGGACTTAAAAGAATTTAAGGCGGCCTGGGGGGCAATTGCCTCCCTGCCCCCCGGCCCAGCCCGCCCCTGTCATTAATGACAACTCGATGTACTCTATCCTAAAGCCAAAGTTCTACCCAAGAACAAGAATATTAATCTAGACCAATTTATTTTAGTTTGAACACTAACCTATTGTGTAGAACCGTATCAAATGCCTTGGCAAAATCCAGGTAGATCACATCCACTGCAATACCCTGATCTATACTTCTTCTTACTTCTTTATAGAATGCAATTAGGTTAGTTTGACATGACCTATGTTTCATAAACCCTGATTATTAAAACTGATTATTGCTAATAACAAAGGTCTTCCCAATGAATTCTTGAATATTATCCCTTAATTATCCAAGTATAGCTTGGAGGAAAGACGAGACAGGGGGGATATGATAGAAACATTTAAATACATAAAGGGAATCAACACAGTAAAGGATGAGACTATATTTAAAAGAAGAAAAAAGACCACAACAAGAGGACATAGTCTTAAATTAGAGGGCTAAAGGTTTAAAAATAATATCAGGAAGTATTACTTTACTGAGAGGGTAGTGGATGCATGGAATAGCCTTCCAGCTGAAGTGGTAGAGGTTAACACAGTAAAGGAGTTTAAGCATGCGTGGGATATGCATAAAGCTATTCTAACTATAAGATAAGGCCAGGGACTAATGAAAGTATTTTAAAAATTGGGCAGACTAGATGGGCTGAATGGTTCTTATCTGCCGTCACATTTTATGTTTCTAATTGCCCTTCAAATACTTTCCCAGTCACAGAAGTTAAGCTCACAGGTCTATAATTTCCAGCCAAGGATTTTGAACACTTTTAAAATATAGGAACGACATCTGCCTTCCTCTAATTCTCCAGTACAATTCCTGAAAGAAAAGAATCTTGAAAGATTAAATACAGAGGTTCACTTATTTCCACACTTGGCTCCCTAAGTACTCGTGGGTGAATACCGTCAGGCTCCGGAGCGTTATTTACATTAATTTTCTTTAATAGCTGTAGCACCTTGTCTCGAATTATCCAATCACACGTTATCTGCAAGTTTTTTGCAGCCATCATTTACAAATCTTTTGCAATAGAATCCTCATTAATATATACTGAAGAAAAATAGTTATTTAAAATGTCTGCATTTTCCTGGTCTTTATTAACTAACAAACCTGTGAAGGAATGCCCCATCACTTGGTTCACTAATTTTTCCTTGCTCCCTGTGTGTTTGCTCATTCAAAACTCCCCTAGTTTGGTTCCCAAATGTGGACCACCCCAACATCTAATTAGAACGTGGAATACAAAGTATTCAGTGCGAAACCACAACGGAAACTATCAATAAAATGCTCCCCTGGGTGGCCGCCATTTTGTGCAACCGAATGCACTTAGTTGGCAGAATGGATGGTGGCCATTTTGTCTCCTGAACACAGGCAGCAGTACCTGGTCGTCGAGTGCCTGGAACTGGCCTCAGCTAGGCACTCCCGAAAACACTGGTGAAGATGGAACTGCTGCTCGTTTAAGTTCCGACCACCTATACAAACGGCATTTGGGAGATATGACCTACCCACTGGGGGGGGAGCATTCAACACTTGAAAGCATTTGGATATTGGGTGTGGTTTTTTGTATAGAAACTGAGACCAGCTGTTGCCACAATTTCTCTGGAACTATTTTGGGAATCTACATCGTGGCCGGCCAGTCAAAACTTTCCCTTGATGGCAATTCCAAACCACTGAAGCGATCCGAGTGCTTTTTGGATATGTTGGGCACTCAGATCAGGGCTATCCAGGGATGTGACTCTCAAGGGTTTACATGGATTTAGTGGGTACTTTTGGATACTTCATGGGCACCTAGGTCATGCAATAGCATGATCTGTACTGACTGTGCTGAACTTTGTGTCTGAAGAATATTTTACTGTTGCTAAGTCTAGCAGTCCACTTGTTCAGGCTCCCCTGAGAAAACGAAGTGTTACCATGTACTATATATATCCCTATCACCTATCTCCTTGTATACAAACCCTTAATTTTATATATTTTTTCCTGTGCTTATTTCTCACTGTTTAGCATATATATTCCTTTGTGTTTTGACTTTTGCCTCTGGATGGGCCGTGGTGGCCATGGGCCAGGACATCCCCTGACGATCTATGCAGGGCCGGCACTATCCAAACGCCGGCCCCACTGTTTTCCATGATGGGCCGGTGGGAAGATCAAAGATCTCCCTCACCGGTCCACTTGGACAAACATGCGGCTGGGGAGCTCCGCCGGGTTCCTCTCGCGAGATCCGTATGTATATCAGTATGTGTGTATTTCAGTATGTGTGTCTGTGTGTATGTATTTCAGTAGGTATGCGTATGTATTTCAGTATGGCTGTGTGTATGTGTATGTATGTCAGTATGTGTATGTATTTCAGTATGTGTCTCTGTATTTCAGTATGTCTGTGTGTGTATGTGTTTGTATTTATGTGTATGTATTTCCATATGTATGTATGTGTACGTGTCTGTATGTATGAATCTGTATGTCTATGTATGTATTATTATTATTATTATGATATTTATAGAGCGCCGTCAAATTCCGCAGCACTTTACAATGGGTGGACGAACAGACCTACCGGATCTACCGGAGGAGGGAAGCGAGTTCCACAGGAACGGTGCAGCCCTCGAGAAATCTTGAAGGCAAACATCAGAGGTGGGAATACGGACAGAAGATAGACGTAAATCTTCAGCACATCATAAGGGTCAGCGCTGCGGCCGTGCAATAGCGTGACTGGGCCCCTTAAAAAAATTTAAGCCGCCAAGGAGTGCTGGGAGGAAGTGCCCGTCACTTCCTCCCAGCTACCTCCACGCGGGAGGGAAGAGAGGTATAGCCAGGCCACGAGGAGGGAAGAGCCACGCTGACTCCCATCAGCCACAGCCATCCTCAGCATGTCTGTCTGTGTGTATGTATGTATGTCAGCATGTCTGTCTGTGTGTGTGTATGTATGTCTGTGTTTATGTATGTCAGTATGTCTGTGTGTGTGTGTGTATGTATTTAGTATGTGTGTATGTGTTTGCATGTATGTATCTGTATGTGTATGTATGTCTGTGTGCAGGCCCGGACTGGCCATTGGGCACACTGGGCAAATGCCCGTTGGGCCGCGGTGGCCATGGACCGAGGCCGGCAGGGGAGGTCCCAGGACATCCCCTGCCAGTCTATGCAGGGCCGGCACTATCCGAGTGCCGGCCCCACTGTTTGTCATGACGGGCCGGTGGGAAGATCAACTGGCCCACTTGGACAAACATGCGGCTGGGGAGGGAGAGGAGGACCTGGCGGAGCTCTATCTTGCAGCTCCGCCGGGTTCCTCTCGCAAGATCCGGAGCGTTGCCATGGCAACGACCGGATCTCGCGAGAGTGAACTCTAGCCTGCAGGCTAGAGTTCACTAACCACTGGACCACCAGGGATGATGAACGAGTGCCGGTCCCCCCCCTCCCAGATACCACCGTGCCTGACCCCTCCCTCCTCCCAGGCTAAAGGTAAGGAGGGAGGAAGGGGGGATATAATGCATGCTTATTAGTTGTTGTTTTTTGTTTGTTTTTTACCCTCCCAACACACAATCACTTTTAACATTCACCCACAGCACTCTCACACACATCACACTCAGCACTCTCACACACATCACACTCAGCACTATCACACACAGCACCCTCACACACATCCCACTCAGCACTCACACACATCGAACTCAGCACCCTCACACACATCACCATCACATTCAGCACTCTCACACACATCACACTCAGCACTATCACACACAGCACCCTCACACACATCACACTTAGCACTCTCACACTCATCACACTCTGCACCCTCACACACAGCACTCTCACACTCATCACACTCAGCACCGTCACACAAATCACACACAGCACCCTCACACACAGCAACCACACACACAAAGCACACACCTCACACACAGCTTCCACACACACAAATCACACACAGCACCCTCACACACAAATCACACACACTGCACCCTTAAACACAGCACCCACACACAGCACCCATAAACACATCACACACAGCACCCTCGCACACATACACAGCATCCTCACACACATCAAACACAGCACCCCTCAAACACAGCATCCATCACACACACATACTGCACCCTTCACATACACACTACACCCCTCACAGACACCCACTGCACCCCTCACACATACACACAGAACCCCAACACACTGCACCAAACACACACACACATACAATACTTCCAAACATATATATATTATATATATATACAGGGAGTGCAGAATTATTAGGCAAGTTGTATTTTTGAGGATTAATTTTATTATTGAACAACAACCATGTTCTCAATGAACCCAAAAAACTCATTAATATCAAAGCTGAATATTTTTGGAAGTAGTTTTTAGTTTGTTTTTAGTTTTAGCTATGTTAGGGGGATATCTGTGTGTGCAGGTGACTATTACTGTGCATAATTATTAGGCAACTTAACAAAAAACAAATATATACCCATTTCAATTATTTATTATTACCAGTGAAACCAATATAACATCTCAACATTCACAAATATACATTTCTGACATTCAAAAACAAAACAAAAACAAATCAGTGACCAATATAGCCACCTTTCTTTGCAAGGACACTCAAAAGCCTGCCATCCATGGATTCTGTCAGTGTTTTGATCTGTTCACCATCAACATTGCGTGCAGCAGCAACCACAGCCTCCCAGACACTGTTCAGAGAGGTGTACTGTTTTCCCTCCTTGTAAATCTCACATTTGATGATGGACCACAGGTTCTCAATGGGGTTCAGATCAGGTGAACAAAGAGGCCATGTCATTAGATTTTCTTCTTTTATACCCTTTCTTGCCAGCCACGCTGTGGAGTACTTGGACGCGTGTGATGGAGCATTGTCCTGCATGAAAATCATGTTTTTCTTGAAGGATGCAGACTTCTTCCTGTACCACTGCTTGAAGAAGGTGTCTTCCAGGAACTGGCAGTAGGACTGGGAGTTGAGCTTGACTCCATCCTCAACCCGAAAAGGCCCCACAAGCTCATCTTTGATGATACCAGCCCAAACCAGTACTCCACCTCCACCTTGCTGGCATCTGAGTCGGACTGGAGCTCTCTGCCCTTTACCAATCCAGCCACGGGCCCATCCATCTGGCCCATCAAGACTCACTCTCATTTCATCAGTCCATAAAACCTTAGAAAAATCAGTCTTGAGATATTTCTTGGCCCAGTCTTGACATTTCAGCTTGTGTGTCTTGTTCAGTGGTGGTCGTCTTTCAGCCTTTCTTACCTTGGCCATGTCTCTGAGTATTGCACACCTTGTGCTTTTGGGCACTCCAGTGATGTTGCAGGTGGCAAGTGGCATCGTGGCAGCTGCACGCTTGACTTTTCTCAGTTCATGGGCAGTTATTTTGTGCCTTGGTTTTTCCACACGCTTCTTGCGACCCTGTTGACTATTTTGAATGAAACGCTTGATTGTTCGATGATCACGCTTCAGAAGCTTTGCAATTTTAAGAGTGCTGCATCCCTCTGCAAGATATCTCACTATTTTTGACTTTTCTGAGCCTGTCAAGTCCTTCTTTTGACCCATTTTGCCAAAGGAAAGGAAGTTGCCTAATAATTATGCACACCTGATATAGGGTGTTGATGTCATTAGACCACACCCCTTCTCATTACAGAGATGCACATCACCTAATATGCTTAATTGGTAGTAGGCTTTCGAGCCTATACAGCTTGGAGTAAGACAACATGCATAAAGAGGATGATGTGGTCAAAATACTCATTTGCCTAATAATTCTGCACTCCCTGTATATATACACACCACAGCACCCCTCACACACATACTGCACCCCTAAACATATTACATTCCAGACACACACTATATCCCTTACCCAACTATGGATCATATACACACACTAGATCCCTTACCCAACTATGGATCATATACACACACTAGATCCCTATATACACTCTGATTCCGTTATATACACACACTCACTAGATCTCATACACATTCTGAGTCCTTCAAACACACACTAGACTCCTGTATACACACACACACACACACACACACTGCACCACCTACACACACTACATTCCTAACATACACACTCTGGATCCCTTATACACACACTAGATTCCTTGGAAACAAACACATGCTACAACCCTAAACACACACTCTCTACAACCCCTACAAACACTACATCACCTATATACACACACACACACACACACACACACTATAGCCTGTGTGCACACACTTACTACATCCCCTATACACACATTCTCTTCAGCTCCTAGCCACATATGCATTACATTACACCACAAACACAACACGACTAAAACCGACCTTATTACACAATACCACACCACAATCAGCTCACTCTACACACACACAATCCCACAAGCAGGCTTCAAACACATGCACAATATTCTTTCCTGGCCCTTTTGTCTCCTGGTATCCCATTGATACAGACACCAGAGACAAGTTTCAAGGAAACACAGTGCAAGCATGTTATTAAATTTGCTTGCACTGTGCAGAACAAATACAGGTTTGTTTTTTTCTCATGCTAGAGCTCTTTAGCAGAGCTCTGCCCTGGAAGAGCATTGACCCAACGCTCACTTTGAGAGGGGGCGTGTTTGTCTTTGGTGATGATGAAACACACCCTCTCTGCCCCGCCCCCTTCTTAGTGGGCCGCTGTGCTAAAAAAATGCCCGGGCTGAATTTTTCTCCCAGTCCGGCCCTGTCTGTGTGTATGTATTTCAGTATGTGTGTCTGTGTGTATGTATTTCAGTAGGTATGTATTTCAGTATGTCTGTGTGTATGTATTTCAGTTTGTATGTATGTCTGTGTGTATGTGTATGTATGTATGTCAGTATGTGTATGTATTTCAGTATGTGTGTCTTTATTTCAGTATGTGTGTCTGTGTCCAGTATGTATGTCTGTGTGTATGTATTTCAGTATGTCTGTGTGTGTATGTGTTTGTATGTATGTGTATGTATTTCAGTATGTATGTGTGTCTGTATGTGTACGTGCCTGTATGTATGAATCTGTATGTATTATTATTATGATATTTATAGAGCGCCGTCAAATTCCGCAGCGCTTTACAAAGGGTGGACGAACAGACCTACTGGATCTACCGGAGGAGGGAAGCGAGTTCCACAGGAACGGTGCAGCCCTTGAGAAATCTTGAAGGCAAGCATCAGAGGGGGGAATACGGACAGAAGATAGACGTAAATCTACGGCAGATAGTAAGGGCCTAGACGGGACATACTTGTGTATAAGGGAGGATAGATAGGTGGGAGCATGTATGTATGTATGTCAGTATGTGTATGTATTTCAGTATGTATGTCAATATGTATATCTGTGTGTATGTATGTGTTTGTACATATGTGAGTTTGTATGGGTGTGTGAATGTATGTGTCTGTCTGTGTTTGTATGTCTGTCTGTCAGAATGTATGTATGTGTGTGTATGTATGTCCTTATGCTTGTGTGTGTCTGTATGTATGTTAGTATGTGTCTGTGTGTCTGTATATGTCTGTGTCTGTTTCAGCATGTATAGGAATTTGTTAAAAAAAACTCAAACCTTAGTCCGGCCCCCAACCATGTCTGAAAAGTTTGAGGACCCCTGGTCTAGAGACTAGGGAAACCCTTACCACAGACCTCTCGTAACCCTAGAGAGGTGGATTTAATTGGTTATATCCCTATTACTTATCTTTCTGTATATACTCTTCATTTTATATTTTGTCCTGTGTGCTTTTTTCTCACCATTTAGCATATCTCTCGCTATTCCTTTTACGTTTTAGTTTTTGCTTCTGGAAGATCACACTAGGCTCTGTCGCAACCAGTGCTGTATATTCTTCCACGAGAGCTTAAACACATAAAGGGGGAGATTGCTACCTCTTCAGTTAGTTCTCGTACTGCCAATCCATACCCGTTTGGAACTAGTGTGGTATGCTTTATTATTGACTATCTATTATTGAGCATCTCACTCAGGGCTGTTACCCCTCCTATCAGACTACACTGTTTAATTTTTCCTAGTACTTTTTAGAGTTGCTAATAAAGTTATTTTTGTTATTTATTATTGTTTTCTCCTTTAGGATTTTATTGGAGTGGATTGGAAATTTAAACTTGTGGTCACTTTCTATTCAAGTGACACCTTTGGTTCTCTACTATTTATTAATGCAAAAATATCATCCAATGTGTGCACAATCACCATATCTCTGTTTTTAAAAGGCCAGTGTGCCTCCATTAAAATTGAGTTCTTGCTTAACCATCAACACGTAGCTTGGTCTCGTGATTGGAGGGTAACTGCTATATTCACACTGGTGATTGCTATACTCCTTATACTCCCCTGGGTTCTAACCCCTAGCTCTTGTAAGAGCTGTTCCTGCTACGCTCTCTGAAGTAGGAGAGGTCTTTCCCACACGGTCCTGGATATCAGAGGTTGGTCCAGGGTGGGAGGAGGACGGCGAGATCCCAGCTAAGCTACGGCGGTTGTGGAGTCTGTGGTGCTTGTGGTGTCTGGTGCGGTGCTTATGGTCCTCGGCGTCAGCTAGGAAGCATCTGTTGGCGGAGGTGCCCAGTTGGGGCACCAGGTGATCCGTTACAGTCCCTTTAACGATTTATCATTCTTTGCAAATTATAATGCACAGTGACTATTGAATATGGACCACTAATAAGAAACATGATACTTCCCATAATGGTGATGATAATAAGGAAGTCATACTCATAAAATATATTTGTTTTGTATCTGTTGAGGTGATTGAATAAGAAGATATTGGCTCATTATAGTGTGGCCCCTTTTCCGGAGGATGATGATGCATACAAGGTCGGATTTATATTTCAAGTGCCTAGAAGCATAAAATTCTCTGCTTCTATCTCCCCCAAAAAACATCGGTTCTTTGTTGCTTGCTATTTGGCTTTGGATTACAAAATAATCAGGGGGTACATATTTGAATGACTATGCATGACAAATGCAATAACTATTTAGGAAAATGGAAATATAAGTAAACGTTGATGGGCACCTGTAGCCAGTTACCTGCTCTGGTTTTTGTAAATCTGGCTTTGGCAAGGGGAAAAAAATTTCAGGCTTACAGAAGCAGTTCGTCCTCAGTAATGAACAATCAGAGAATGGAGAGATCTGTGTCACATTCCTGTCAGCAGCTCAAAAGGTCATTACACATCAGTTCCAGTCATCTCTCGATGGCATGTTGGACAAAAGGGATCTATGTGACCAGAGCCAAATAAAGCTTTGCGGTGCCCTCTGAATAATAAACGTTCCCAGGTATAGACTCGGTATAAAGAATATGAGACTGCTGGAGTATCTTAAAGCTTTAACAAGGTTGGATGTGGTTTATAGGAAGACGGTGTACGAAATCCCAATTAGATCAAGATGGTAGCCATTGTACAAGATTCAGGAAATTGCAAACTCATCTAAAGAGATTAATTTACAATAAGTATAAAACGCAGTCAGTACTTACAGACATCCCAACTTTTCATAGCGGCTCCTTGACAATCGCAAATCATAAACAATATCCCAGAAATCACACACACAATCTGCCATATAATGTATGTGTGTGTCAGTGTGTGTAAATACCAGTGTGTGTATCTGTGTGTCTAGGTGTGTGCATGTGTCAGGGTATGAATAGTGATTGTAGTGTGTGTTATTAAATAAATAGTTACATTATAATAAAATGTCCTATCCTTGTTCATACATGTTTGGTAGCTTGGTGTGTGTGTTTGGGGGGCTGGTGTGGCACAGTATCTCATGAAACTACCTCCATGAAATGAGATTTTGCACACTGGGATGTCTTTATATATGAAATTAACTATTTAACGCTTATCAATGTTTGCTTGTTTTTTAAAGCAAATGTCATAATTTACAAAAGGTTAAAGGAACACTTTGGGCACCATAACAACATTATCTTTATTCGCACAGTCTGTTTAAATTATATTTTTTTTTCTCCTGTACATTTACAATTCTACTAGAGCCTGCAGGAGCCTTCTGTGTGTGATTCAAGTTTAATTAACAGAGCGGAAGATAAAGACATCTGAAGTAAAACACTATACTGATTAATGGAAATGAAACATTTTTTTCATGCAAACTGTGGAAGTGGCTAGGGCTGCATAGACAAAAACAAAAGTGATTTAACGCTTAAATGACAGAGAATTGAGCAGCGAGAATGAAACTGCAGGGGGATGATCTATACACCATAACTGCTTCATTAACCCCTTAGGGACACATGATGGAAATATTCCGTCGTGATTCCCTTTTATTCCAGAAGTTGTGTCCTTAAGGGGTTAAGCTAAAGTTGTTTTGATTATTATTATTATTTATAAAGCGCCAGCAAGTTCTGTAGCACTTTACAATGGGTGGATAACAGACACGTATTGGTAACCAGAAAAGCTTGATGAACAGAAACATAGTTAGAGGGAGAAGGGTATAGTGACACAAAATGTAAGGGTAGGGTAGAAACCTAGAATAGTATTCGTTGAGGGCTTAGTGTTTTGTCTTGATGTTTAGAGTATCTCTTTAAAAAGAAAGAAGAATTAGACTATTTAATCATTTTAATAGTATATCAGTTTTAAAAAGAGAAAACGAAAGTGGTTGATATATTTAAGTCGTTGCTGGTATGAATGATCACAAAGATAAGTAAATGATAAAACAATCAGATGCAAAAAAAAATGCAACAAATAGGAAAAGGAATAGCTGAAAGCGAAACTCTCAGTTTTATAACTATGAATCAACTGAACAAAATATGTGTGAAACTAAACTTTCCTACAGGAGGAATATATGCAATACTATACATACTGTACTTTGGACTTTCACAGAGAGATATCGATAGATTAAGGTGTGGACTTGCACTGCACTGTCTATTAAGTACACCTATAACAAAGCTTTTTTTTTCTTTTTTTCTTTAATTTTTCAGATATAAAACAATGAAAATACATCACAAATGTATAGAGAAAAAGGAATGAGCACCGCAGGGTGCCATGGGGAAGTTACAGTCTTCATCAGGTGTTAAATTGGAATGCACAAACTTGGACTGTGCAAAGTCCTACATATTCCAGATTGAACCATCCCCAAGATTACCTAGCAATATAGAACCACCAGGTGGCATTAGGTTATAGGCTCAACCCTTAGTCAACATTCTAATCAGAATGTGCACAGAAAGTGGCAAATGGTAAGTAAAGTCTAACTCTTCACTTCTGTAATCCTAAACTTGATTTACATCGTCTGTCTGTCTGCATTCCTTTTCATATTGGCCTTTTTACAGGTACTCTCTGCTTGCATACATTTTGCCTATCCATACTCTGCGCCAAGCTGGCCACTCTAAGGACTGGTATACATTTCTGTCCTGTCGTTTCCCTACGTTTGCATGTTAGGTTAGGTTAGCCTTGACATAATCTATATTGTATATGTTATACAATAGTTTTATAGAGTTTCCATACACTTATCTGAGATATCTAAGAAATGAAAGTGAAACACAACTGAAGGTGTATAAAACGCAGATGAGTCCAGATATCTCAAGCATTCCTTGGAAAACAGAGAGACGGTGAGTATCTGGGAAGGATAGAATTAAAGGTACTGGGAGAGTATACAATCGTATCAGTAAAGTATCAGAACCACCTGTAATCAGGTTTGAGGTCAACTTGCATGTATTTTGATGTGTTCTTCCTCAGCCTCAAAGCACCAATGGACCAACCCTGACATTTTTTGGGGTCACAGTTGCACTTATATAATAATACAGGAATGTTTCTGTGTACAGATGGATTTTGGAAGCTCCTTATGGAAAGTAATTGGGTAAGCTTTCATCCATAGGCTTCCATCCTCACTAGTAGCAGATACACTTCAGTGTCCTTCGTTATTAATGTCAAAATTGCCTCTGTCTGTCTCCTTTTCATCACTAACCCATCTTTATTTTTCATCCCATTATCTTCATAGTCTATTAAAACACAGCGGTCAAAAATGATAGTAATAAAAACAGAAATTCAAGGGTGAACAGAACACGACTTGGCTTGAGTCATGCTTTTCTAGATAACAGAGAAAAAGTACTACACAGAATGATGATGTTGTCACGTAGGGTGGCCAGATTAAGTAGTGGGAAGTGAATAGTTGGTAGGGGGGATACAATGGACTGTTTGCCTTGTTGAAGCATGTATGATGGTGTGATTTCAGATGCCAGTTTGACCAGAAGGTAGGTATGTATTGTAGGAAGTTACTGTCTGATTTAGATCTCTGTACAGTTTTGTACTGCAATACAAGCTTTAAATAAATTTTTATATGTATTTTCTTGACTGGTGTATTGTCCAAATCTCAGAAACGTAGATTTTACTTTTTGTGCACTTTTATAGGTTTTATAGGTATATATATATATATATATACAAGGACGTATTAGCCGCGAGGCAAACAAGGCATCTGCCTTGGGCAGCATTTTTCAGGGGGCGGCAAAACAAGCCGCCCCCCAAATGCCCAGGGCAAATGCCTAGGCTGGCGAGGGAGCTCTTCCCCTGAGCGGTCTGCTCAGCTCCCTCGCGTGCCGCATGAGGCTGGGAGCCGGAATATGACGTCATATTCCGGCTCCTAGCATCACTCTGCGGCGCGTGAGGGAGCTGAGCAGAATGCTCAGAGGAAGTGCTCCCTCGCCAGCCGCCTGCCAGCACCCAGCAGCCAGCCCATCAGCCCGACCGGCAGCCACTGGACCCCAGGGAGAAAGAGAACCCCCCTCAGCATTCCCAAAGGTAAGGAGGCTGGGGGGTGGGGGGGGGTTGGAAAAAAAAAGTGTTAATGTGAGTGATTGTGTGTGTGTGTGTGTCTCTGACTCTGTGTGTGTGTGTGTGTGTGTCTGACTGTGTGTGTGTGTCTCTGACTCTGTGTGTGTGTGTGTGTGTGTGTGTCTGACTGTGTGTGTGTGTGTCTGACTGTGTGGTCTGACTGTGTGTGTGTGTCTGACTCTGTGTGTGTGTCTGACTCTGTGTGTGTGTGTGTGTCTGACTCTGTGTGTGTGTTGTGCCTGACTCTGTGTGTGTGTTTGTGTCTGACTGTGTGTGTGTGTGTGTTTGTCTGTGAGTGTGTGTGTTTGTGTGTGTGTTTGTGTCTGACTGTGTGTGTTTGTGTCTGACGGTGTGTTTGTGTCTGAGTGTGTGTGTTTGTGTCTGACAGTGTGTGTGTGTGCCTGGACAGCTGTGTGTGTGTGTGTCTGACTGTGTGTGTGTGTGTGTCTGCCAGTGTGTCTGACAGTGTGTGTGTGTGTGTGTCTGACTGTGTGTGTCTGACTATGTGTGTTTGTGTCTGTGTGTGTGTTTGTGTCTGACTGTGTGTGTGTGTGTGTTTGTGTCTGTGTGTGTGTTTGTGTATGCGTCTCGACTGTGTGTGTTTTTGTGTGTGTGTCTGACTGTGTGTGTGTGTGTGTGTCTGACAGTGTGTGTGTGTGTGTGTCTGACTGTGTGTGTCTGACTGTGTGTGTTTGTGTCTGTGTGTGTGTTTGTGTCTGACTGTGTGTGTGTGTGTGTGTTTGTGTCTGTGTGTGTGTGTTGTGTCTGACTGTGTGTTGTGTGTGTGTCTGACTGTGTGTGTGTGTGTGTATGTGTGTGTGTGTCTGACTGTCTGACAGCCATCTTCTGATGGTATGTTTGGGAAAGGAGTCTACATTTCAAGAGAAGCAAGCAAAGCTGAACGATACCCTCTGGGTGAAAAACATGACCAAGGTATCTTAGAACTCAGTGTGAAAGTGGGTAAAGTTAAGAAGATAATTCATCAGGGGCATCCTCTGCAGAGGACATGGCATGACCGTGGCTATGATACAGCATGGGTGCCTCCTGTTTGTGGTATGGTTGAAAGTGAACTAGAAGAGGATTGTATTTGGGATCCCAATAGGATCAAGATGATAGGCATTGTTAAAGCTCCAGGAAAATCAAAAGCTCATCTACAGAACTTAGTGAGACAACATATTCACAAAAAGAAACGTATTTTCATTACCCTACAAGGCACAATAAGTAATTGCACAAAACATGCAAATAAGACATAAATATTCACAGCCACCTGAAAGAAAATATACAGCATCAGTTCCTAAATTTCCAAGTATACAATTTAAAGACTTAATACAACCAACTTGATTACATGAAAAGAAGTGACTTTTTGGGAGAGGGCAGAGGTGTAATTAGGTTACTTGGCACCTCATGTGAAATTTGTATTTTGGCACCCTCTTAACCTCTGAGGAATTTGTAATTTTTTTGAGTCACACTACATCTGCCATCACCTCTTGTATCCTGACTGTGTATTACCCCTTACTCCCTTGTGTGTCTCTCAACACACCATAAACCATTGTGTTTCTCTTACCACCCCTTTGTTATCTATTATCCCCTTTTGTCCCTTGTTTGTCTCTAAATCCATGTTCTAGTGAGTACAAATTCACCCCTGGTGGGTATACCATGGCTTACAGTAGTGAGTTACTCTTAAGACCTGACAAGAAGTATAAGACTTCAAATTTTCAGCCCTGCTCTAACTCGTTTAGAAGAGTGGGAGCTCAATAGAGGGCCTTCATTGTCCTCTGCTGATCAGATAGGGAGGTAGGAAATTTTCAAGATAAACTTTTTATTGTGGAAAAAAAATACAGTTTCTTCCTTTTAAATATCCAGTTGTCTGTGCAAGTCTGAAAGATAATACCTAAGAATGAAAGGATCTGCTAGAAACAAAACATGATTATTTTAAACTTTTTTCGATAGTGTACCTAAAAAGTCAATTTTGCATCATGTTGTTTACTATTAACAGTGGTATGTTAAAATATATATAGATCAATATATCCTATTAATCTAGTATTTGCAGAGGTGAGTGAATATTAACTTTTTTTTGTTCTAATAGCTATGGCTTTTTCACTGGATTGTGGAAAGTTTGAAGAACCAAAGAACAAGAAAGGACATATTTACACTATGTATTATGGCACAACCCTGGAAGCAGCTGAAAACATCATTGCAGATGGATTCAACCCTTCTTTTGATGGTATGTTAGGGAGAGGGGTCTACCTTTTTGTAAAAGGAAACAAAGCTGTACAGTACCCTTTGGGTGATAAACATCAAAAAGTTAGCGAAGAACACAGTGTGAAAGAGGGTAAAGTTAAGTCGATCGATCATCAGGGGCATACTTTGCAGAAGGCATGGTATGATCATGGTTATGATACAGCTTGGGAACCTCCTGATTGTGGTATGGTTAAAAGTGAACTTGAAAAGGATTGTGTTCTGTACGCCAGTAGGAGCAAGGTAATAGGCAATGGGAAAACTCCAGGAAAATCTAAGGCTCATCGACAGACTTTAAAAAGGCAAGACAATGAAGTAATTCCTAAAGTTAATCTTGATCATGATGAAAAACCAAAGGATGAACATATTTACACTATGTATCATGGCACAACCTTGGAAGCAGCTCAAAACATCATTCCATATGGATTCCAGCCATCTTCTGATGGTATGTTAGGGAAAGGAGTCTACATTTCAAGAGAAGCAAGCAAAGCTGAACGATACCCTCTGGGTGAAAAACATGACCAAGTTATCTTAGAACTCAGTGTGAAAGTGGGTAAAGTTAAGAAGATAAATCATCAGGGGCATCCTCTGCAGAGGACATGGCATGACGGTGGCTATGATACAGCATGGGTGCCTCATGGTTGTGGTATGGTTGAAAGTGAACTAGAAGAGGATTGTATTTGGGATCCCAATAGGATCAAGGTGATAGGCATTGTTAAAGCTCCAGGAAAATCAAAAGCTCATCTACAGAACTTAGTGAGACAACATATTCACAAAAAGAAACATATTCTCATTATGCAGCATGGCACAACCTTAGAAGAAGCTCAAAAACTAATTTGTAAAGGATTTCAGTCATCACCTGATGGTATGTTAGGAAAAGGAGTCTACATTTACAAAAATGCAGAAAAATACTCACCTTATCCTCAGGATGAAAATAATTCATGTTTCCAGGTTATACTACAACTCAGAGTTAATGTGGGAAATGTTGTAATGATAGATCGTCAGGGCCATCCTCTGCAGAAGACATGGTATACAAAATATGATGCAGTTTGCATGCCAGCAGGTAGTCCATTGGTTACAAATGGACTAGAGCAGTACTGTATACGGAATCCCTCTAGGATTAAGATCTTACAGATTGTAAAAGCCCCCGAAAACGCCTTACTTCATCTCCAGATTTTAACTAAACAGCATGTTCCAGGCTTTAGCAAAAAGCATATCCCAAGAAAGAAACGTCCAAAAAAGAAAAATATTTGTGAAACCTCGGATGAAGTTCAAAAAGTCATTTCTAATGGATTTCAGTTGTCAGCTGATGACATGTTAGGGAAAGGAGTCAACATTTCTAGCAGTGTAGTAGAAATCTCACGACATACTCTGGATGATAAGAAAGGTTTTGAAGTTGTCTTAAAACTCAGAGTTAATGTGGGTAAAATCCAGGTGATAGATTGTCAGGGTCACCCGCTGCAGAAGACTTGGAATAAACAATATGATACAGCCTATGTACCTGCAGACTGTGGCATGGTGGAAAGTGGGGTAGAGGTTTATTGTGTCAGGGACCCCAGTAGGATTAAAGTGATAGACAGTGTATAGGCTCCAATTCACAAATTTACTTTGCATACATTAGTTAAAAAACATAACAAATAAAGTATACAGCACATACTAATAGTTGATTATTGAGGTAAAAATATCTGTAATTCTATGATTTATTTTTCTGACATTTATACCTTAATTTTATCAATGCTCAGCATTTCTTTAGGTTATCTGTACAATTATTGAGTTACATTTCCAATCACTGTGTTTTTTGTTAAATATAAGACAATCTTAACAACTTTTCTTGAAATGATCCATTGCTGGAATATTAAATGTTTATATATTTTAGTTTTGTTAGTCACGCACAGGTATTATACTTACCAGCATGAGCGTCATTATTATAATTTTTTGCTAATTAGTGAATTGGAAATTAAAAAAAAAAAGGAATTGCGATATTTAAAGCAAAATAGTTGAGCTGTAAAAAATATATTAATAATCCTACTTAATATAGTTTGTATCTTTGTTAATGGATGACCTGAATTAAATACATCATCTGACAAAATAGAAATTAGAATACAGATTTAGAAAGATTTAAGAATATCTCATACACCTCATGCTCTTGTTGATCCATTTAACATTTATACTTTAAAGAACCCTTGATGCTGCTGTAGGTGAAATCTCTTTTCTTCAAGTCTCAAAGAATGAACTTGTTTTATTAATATTATGCTAATATATAATTAATATGGAAGGCAGTGAATTGCCTATTAACAGTATAATATCTCTAGATATCCCATAAATGTATTGTTCTCACTGTAAAAAAAAAAAAAAAAACTCTCTGCTGCTGTAGGTGAAATCTCATTCCCTTAAGTTTAAGTGGATGACTGTGTTCATTTAAAAAAAATAAAAATAACTGTGCCTCCAATAAAAATATTTTGCTTGAACTCTAGCTAATACGATAAATCAATTATTAATCAAGTGAATTTGTCTGTTATTCTTTATTTAAAGATGCATTTGTGTAAAGCTGTGAACGTGAGCATTAAAATAAATTAACATTATGCAACAATAGCTTATTAATGTTATATATATATATATATATATAATTTCTCTAAAAGCAGTTAAGTGGTTATCTACCTCCTCTCGAGCATTCCAGTACAAGCATCACAACATCTTTGTGAGTTTTATATAAATGTAACATTCATCCCCCAATCACATGTTACACCTACCTTTACTCAGTAACAACCAGCCCTGTTTGGGGGCACTTCCCAAGCAGGACAGTCCTTCTCCTAGGATGTTAACAAGTTGGCTTCAATGTCTGCCCATTGCATCAGTGTTAGAATGGACTGATGTCTCCTGCTCTTTCCTATTACTCAGTTAATAGCATAAACCTCTATGCCGTCACCAAATAACACTAACATAATGTTACCCTGAGACTACATTAATAGGTCCCTTTAATACAGGACCCATGGTGACAGGAAAGGACATGGAATCCCAACTTTGGGTCATTATGACAATTCTGAGCAGGTGATTCTTACTATCTCTCATCTTGTCTACAAAAGAACTGAGAAACACTCAACAGTCTTTGGTGAGACAGAGTCCTGGATATAAGTTATGCTACATGCGTAAATTATGGCCACCACCCACTACAACAGAGGTCCTTGTACCTACCTTTGCTCCCTGAGATGAATACACGATCCCTGTATATATTTAAATTAAAGCATGTATAAGGAATTATTTTATTTTTAAATTAGGTTGGCAAACTCAGCTGAAATCAGTACAAACCTGACCCAAGATCACTCTCTGCATGCCAACTGCTCATTCACAGAGATGGCAACTGTGCAGTTACAAAATGGTCAAAGTGTGAAATGTCTACTACATTGAGTCCATACTAATCACAGCTGTTCAGGGCAACCCATGAATCCAGATGTCATTGCTCTGTGAATGTGCTGCAATTGACCAGGTGAAAGAGGTCTTGGGTTAGATAGGTGTTGATTTTGACTGAAGATCAAGGACAACTGCATCAGCAATCCCAGGATTAGAGATGGACGGATGGATGAATGGATGACAGATAGATAGACAAACAGGCAGACAGACCGACTGACAGAGAAATACATATTATTCCAATCTATGCACTATATAGATAGTAAAATACAGAAAACAATTGAAACCTAATCACAGTTTTGGGGCAAAGTCCCTAACGGTGAAACACCTTCTTTATCTAACCACTGTCAATAAAGGATTCTATTGAACGTGAAATTCTTTCAAAGAAGGCAGTATATTATGAGAGCTCAGAAAGTTGCTGTGAGCTGGAAAACAAGTCAAATGCATGAGTCATCAGAAGTGAAACTGAAACTTAATTCCGTGTAACCAGCAGTCATTCCTTCTGCTCGATTTTAAGGTACGTCCAAGTATGAGTGTTGTATGTAAGTGTTAATGCAGTTATAATTGCATCACAAATCCCATTTTATGACAGATTATATAATTTGATTGTTTGGCTGTTTGTGATAAAGTAATACTGCTTTTAATTATTTTGCTCGAGGAAACAGTCTACGCTTTTTCTGTTGTTTATGTCTCAACACAGGGTCAGAGCACAGGGAGAGCCACACGTATGCTAACTCTGTTTAACAATGCAATTAAGTCATTCTTGGCAGAAAAAAAAGGTTAGAATACAACTCCCTTAAAAATATATTTGGAGGTGAAGAAGACTCTGCTCAAACAAGCTTACAATCTTTGAGAATTTGCGGGAGGGGGCTAGATAGTTATGTGTATATAAAGGAAGATACAATATATAAAAAAATAAGTCTTTTCCTAAAAAGATAGTGGGAGTAGGGGTTTATCTCCTAAATATCACTATGAAAAAACTGGAGTAAGGTTCATGAAGTGTTTTATGAACAATGCAAAACCAATTTTTCATAAAGGTAGAACATTGCCAAGAGCTAATATTCAAGTCGATATAGAAACAGTATGCAAGTTTAAAAGGACACTATAGGCATCCAGAACACTTCAGCACATTGAAGTGCTTTAGGTGCAATGTCCCTGTCCCTCTTGGTCCTGCAATGTAAATCATTTCAGTTTTAGAAAAACTGCAATGATTATATTGCAGAACTAAGAATGCCTCTAGTGACTGTCAATCAGACGTTATCTACATTATCTTATTATCATATTATTCGTATCTTTTTCTTTATTTTTTGTTTAATTTCTTTCTTCATCACTTGATTAGGTTTTTTTTTCACTACTTTTATTTAGTTATTCATTTTAGTGGCTTGTCCAGTGGCTGATATTGGGGCATTCAGTGGATGTTTCTGGACCTATATACATATATTGGTATTAGATTTGGTTAAGTGTAAGCAGTGGATATAGTATAAAATTGTTCTTTCTCTCCTTTTTTCCTCTGTACTGTTTTGGAGGACTGCAATAATTTTGGAGATGGTTTGTTTGTCTCCATGGTAACCAATTGCCGATAATATAAAAATTATTAACTCAGGACCAGCAATCAGCGATTGTTGGTCTGGTCCTTATGATCGACTGGTATACGGATATAAGTGGGAGATTTCCTAAGAATAGGACTTATCAAGTCCATGAATTATGCCATGGAGTGATTTTCTATGTCTGGTCTGCCCGGAAGCCTATAAATTCTCTACTACTTTCTGAGAGACTGAGGCACATCATTGTGATATCGGGTTACCTTGGCGGTGTGTGGGACATCTCAATGGCAACCCATGGTACTCAAATTTATGTACTGCAAACCTTGGATAAATCACCTTGAGATTTGATCACCTGGTGATATGATGACTGTGCCCTTGTCAGGATGAAAAAGTGGCACCACATGCAGAATTAAGTCAAACATGGGAAAAATAACTAAAAGTAAAAGATATATTACCAGGCCTTAGAATGGCTGGATTTAACACAAGCCTAGGTCAGGAATACAGAAAGGCTCAAATACGGAATTAACAAAGCAAAAAGGTCAGAGATACCAGAAATACGGAAAGTCAAGCCAAGTCAAGAATAACCAAATAACAGTAAACAGGAAGACGCTCTCAGATAACTAACACAGCATGGAAACCATGACAGGGCACTGTACAGCTGCAGGTTTGGGTTTAAATAACCGTGTAAACCTGCTACTTTCTAAACTGGGTCCCATGATCCCAAAACATGCATGCACGGCGAAAACGTGATGCCACAAGCACGTTCACGTCACTAGTGACATCATCGCAGGGGGCGCTATCATATAGCGCCGTCTTTCAGCGGCCCACACCCTTCCTGATGCTAAATCCTGTCGTTGTCACAGGAGCTGTGTGGAGAGAGCAACCTCTCCCTCCTTTGGTGTGAACGCACCAATCAGATGCGGTCACATTTTGGTGCCGATCACCATGACAGCGTGACCGTACTGATCAGGTGTGGCCACATTGCGGTGTCGATTGGGCACAGTGACAGCCCTCCCTTGATGAGTTTGGAATATATGAGAAACATTCATTCTAATTATTAATTCTAATTATATTTAAACTTCCTGGGTCTGATCTCTCTCTCTTAGGAATGGGATCGGGAACAAGGGATGGGCTACGTATCACCGCTTCATGTGACTAGACCATGTTATCTAAGGACTCAACCAATAGAATGGAGGGGAGGGATACTTAAATCACTGTTGTTCCTTTATTGCCCCCTAGCACTCCTTAGGATCTTAGTGATTAAAACTGGGTAAAAAAAAGGGTTAAAACGCATGTCGAGTTCGTTCACTACCCTTTTAGTAATAGACCCCTCTACGTTATTTATAGCGAGTTTTTTCAGGATTTACTCTTTTTTTTTGCTGGGGCTTTTTATATATATATATATATATATATATATACAGAGGAGTAACTAGAAATCACTGGGCCCCAGTGCGAAAATTGCCTTAGGCCCGCCCACCCCCTAGCCACAGCCCCTCCATGCACCTCATCCCCCCCCAGCCTCTCCATGCATCTCATTCCCCCCAGCCCCTCCATGTATGTGATTATCTCCGTCCCAGCCCACCCATATGTGTCATTCCCTCCGTCCCAGTAAGTAGTGTCTGTTTCTCTGTGTGTGTGTATGTGTGTGTGTAAAGGACGCGTTGTGTGTAGGGATGCAGTGTGGCGCTGCAGAGGCTCTCTGGCTTCAGCTCTGCCGGGTGAAGGCTCTTCCCGCGAGTCCCAGCACCATGTGTAATTGAGCGTTGCTGTGGTTACCACAGCAACTCTCGGAAAGCCTTGACCCAGCGAGGAGGTGAAGGCAGAGAGCCTCCTCTCCTTACTGCTACGCAAACTCTGCAAAGACCCAGGAGGGAGATCAAAAGAGGTAGCCTTCTCTGTGCACCCATTAACACTTCTGTGTGCTCAGCAATATGCCAACAACAGCAAGTGCCACAGACCCCACTCCATGCTAATAACCACTATCTATGGAAGCACTCTCGATTGGGGGCTACTCGGGGGAGCACCCAAAGAGAAACCTACACCTACATGGACCTACTTGTCACACTCGGGCCATACAGGCCTCCCTATCTCCTGTCCTGCTTATAAAAGCCACCCACGCTTCATGCTCATTATAACATCTTCACTTGCACATTAACATGATGACAGTACTGACATGCTATTGTCTGTTTTGTCTAATGGGGAAAAAAGTGTGGCTTCATCATAAGCCAAGTATATGTATCCAACTTTTTTGAAATAGTTTCCTTGTTTATACTCTCTTGGTCACCTTGGCCCAGTTGTTATTACATGCACTGCAAAAAAAAGAATTAAAAAAAAGAGGTAGCCTGGGCCCCTTACAAGTGAAGTGGCTGTAACCCCCAACTGGCCAATGGTCACAGGGATCAAACCTGCGGCCGGTCCCCCTGGAGTGAGGGGCCCAGTCGCAGCTGCGACCCCTGCGACCGTGGTAGGTACACCATTGTATATATAGATATATATATATTTCACTCTCATGCTGTTTATCTCTGTTATTGCCCTGGAAGGCTGGAGGAACATCAGTCGGCTGGCAAATATATTAATTCACTATAGATGTATTTAAAATAGAGAACACCCGACCCCTGGTGTATCCCTGGTTTAAGGGACCCCATGACACAAGTTTTCTTATTCTTTTTTTTTTTTTTAGCAGAATCTCTATTGATCATACTGGGAAAAGTTGTATATAATTTAGCTATCACTATTTTTTGTCTAGTGGAGCAGCTACATCTGGTGGATGTTTTTGGGTACAGCCAGATTGGATTTGCAATAGTGTGTGCAACAGATGTAGTTGATACTTACTGTTGCAATCTTTGAAGAAATACATTTGTAGTGTCTTTGAATTGTATGTGTTATTACCCAGACTAATAGTTCCTCACTGTTCCTAGGAATTGAGATGACGGTGGGAGGTTACAATTTAAATCATGCACATTTTTGGCAACACTGATTTTTTCTACAAATGTGTGTTTATCATTAACTATATGGTTATTGATTTTAAATAATTATTTGTCAATTACTCATTTTCTAATAGATTAAATTCCTATTCACTGATATTCTAATTATTTATTGTAGGGGTACTTTCCTTAACCAATTGTTTGTTAATTACTTTTTTTACCATTAGAATAAAATCTTACCAATACTTTTCTAAAATTGGAATAGTACTGTTAGGAAGGGGTATTATATAAGTGATTGTAAATATGTTAACAGATAATTAAAACAATTATCAATTTCATCTCGTGTGTGTTTACTCATTTTAAGATATATTGAATGACGTTATTTTTTATATTTAGCAACAACCACCATCACCACTTCTTATTTGCTCATTATCGGTCCTTTTGTGGACCTCATGTAGATTTTTTTTTTCTGTCTGTTCATGAATAGTGTTAGACAAGATTTATTTTCCCTAGTGTAATGAACACCAAATTTATCTAAATTGATTCCAGCTATAGACATCATAAGTTTACCCCAGCTAAATTGGGTGTAGATACAGGGAGCTGAGGTTTTCGATACTAAATTAACAATTGGGAAGACGATTTCTTATGTTTTTTGTTTGTGATTCATTTGTTGTAAACAGCAAACCACACAAAGATTGGGTTGATCAGGAAATGATCAATTGGGAAAAAAAATGTTTAGATTTTGTATGCCTTATAGATAGAGAATTGTACACAGTTATGCGTGAATTATCTGTTAGGTAAGTCCATACCTTTGACATCGGATATCCTTTTGAAAGAATCAAGGCACAGTAAAACAGTTAGTTTTAGGTATCAGTATATTTGTGCTGAGTAGGTATGTGAAGTCTAATACCCCTCATGAGTTTACAAATTAAAGGATGTTTACCTACCTTAAAAGAGTTGATAGTGGTGTGACTTGCCAAAACGACAGAATTAAATAAATTTATTGTTCAAAATGGTTTACCTAAGTCAGAAATATGTGACAAAAAATTTAGGAAATAGGAGAAAGGTTCATGTATGGGATCCAAATCTCATTCCATGCACATATGAACCAAAGTTTCCATAATTAGCTCTGGTACCTGGGGCCTATGCCTTTGACAAGAGTTTTACAGTTCATAAAGAAAATCTTGTACCAGAATCAAATGGCTCAACATCAGCCAGGCAACAAGAGCCAATTGATTGGATAGCACAAGAGAATGAGGTTTTCCCTAGGGTTTTAAAAGAATTCAATGAGATGTTGGTAGAATTCTCGCATACTCTACTATCCTGCTCATGATTTGAGGGAACCAGGGTTGAGCTGGCCACCAAACAGTTATTAAAACTAGAGCTGATTTCTGAATTGTACATGTATGTACCCTGCTAGATAGGGAAACTTTGGAGGTATGAGACAATGAGTCTGGGCTGCCCTGAAAGGCTCTGGTTAGAGCAGCTGCCAATCAACCTGATCTTTAAACAGGATAGCATGCCCCTATCTTTAGTGAAACTACTCAGCGATACATCATTTTTATTCCCTTTCTTAGCACTTACCCTTCCAGCAAACATTTATTTTTTCTCTAACTTTATAGGGTATTTTAAATTCACTTTCCTTCCTATATCTAAATGTCTATACATTTTTTAAATAGTTATAAGGCTCACTACATCTGATTCTCTGTCTGCAACTGGATGTGAGTTCCCCTCAGTCTGCTGCCATCTGTACAGGAAATGAATTGCATAACTTCCTTGTGTGATGTCATTGAACGGTGGTAAGATTTTGGCTGGATTGATCTTCACAAAACCTTACAGTATGCACTAATCACCAAACTATAGTGAACTGATAACACATTGCAAAATTCAGGTCAAAATAGCTGATTTTCAAAAGATTTAACAGCTCCGCAATGGTGTGGCTACTTGAGCCTAAATTTTGAAGTTTGGTTTTCAATTCGCTACAATTTAGTGCTTAGTAAATAAGCCCTATTGTGCAGAGAGACAGGATGCAGGGGGGTATATTATACTTTAACCTCAATCAAGGATATTGTTTGATGCTTGGAATGTCCCTTTGGAATAAATCTTTTTTATTTTTAATTCAAACTTTAGCAGTTTATTACCAGCCACAAAAGGAAGAGAAAAATAAACACAAAATAAACAGAGAATACAAGATCCATCTGTACATTTCAACAGGTAGCAGCCCAGATAGCCACGAGAACCCCATATCCCAAAGTAAATTGAGATGGGTGACCAGCAGGTTGGGTATGATGCCTCCCAGCACTAAGGACATCACAAGATGGTGCATTTCTATTATAGCACAGTTTACAGTAGAGATTTCAGTAAAAGATTCATAATCTACCTTCAGTATAAACAAACAAGAAAAAAAAATATCCTCAGCATATAAGTGTAGACAAAAGCCAAAAATCAGAACTAGCATAGGAGAGCTAAGAAAAAACATAAAAAAGGAGAGGGTGATGTGTAAGAGGGAGGACAGAAGAAATATGGAGAAGGGACTAAGGAGAGTAGCAAGGAGGCAAATGAGAAGAGAGAAAAGGTGCTTTCTAGATATAGAATCATTGTAACATTGTGGCTGAACCCTACTGAAAAAAAAGGATATCCACAGAAGGCATTTTTACACTGCCCCTAGGGACACGTCCTGTGGTCACTCCTCGGATGGCCACTGGAGGTGCTTCCTGGGGCAGTGCTGCCGTTCAGCGTCTACACGCTCTGTACGGAGATGCTGAATTTTCCTCATAGAGATGCATAGATTCAATGCATCTCTATGAGGAGGTGCTGATTGACCAAAACTGCATTTTCCCCCGCCCCATCCTGCCTCCTTGCGAATTTCAGCCAATTCAATGCTTTCTTATAGGAAAGCATTGGATTGGCAAAAAATCATAATATCTAATGAAGTCACCAAGGAGGCGGATCGGGGCGGACTGACAGAACCGGCGGACCCACGCAAAGCCGGAAATAAGGTACGTTTTAACCCCTTCTAAGCCCCCTAATCATCATTTTAACACTATAGGATCTAGAATACATGTTTGTGTCCATGACTCGATAGTGTTCCTTTAACAATCTAAGTGATGTAAATGTGCGCAACTTGTGAATACTCTGCACAGCTCATCCTCAAAAATGTGTCTGCTGATCTTTCCAGGCATGTGTTTTTACTCTGCAATGACAGACACATACGGACAGCAACATTTACCATAAGTTCTTACTCTTCAAAGCCTTGAGATCTGTTTACTAAACAGTGAGTTGTGATGAACGGACTTGCAAATTTGAGGCTAAAATAACAGTTTAAGTGAGGGATTGTTTACACTTTTGCAATCTTTTGCAACTTGACAGTCAAATAACTTCAAGTCACTATTGAATGAAGGAATCCTACCAAGTGTATTTGCTTGATTTTTTTTTGTTTGTTTGTTTGTTTTGTAAGTGTTGGTTCATTTGGAAATTTAAAAAAAGTTTGTTTTGTTTTAGCTTGCTTGATGAATTGAAATTAAATTTTTCCTATGGTTGTCCCTTTAAGTACCACATGAAGGTCTATGCAATGAAGGTCTATGCGATGCAGGACATTAATGCGCCTTGATGGCATACACGATCTTGCATTAAAAGTACCAGCAGGGCTTTATTCTTACTGGTACCAGGGAGTTCCAGGTATCATTTGATACCTGAGGGTTCCTTCTGTCAGCCAGAGCTACAATACGTAGCCTAGGACTTGCAGGTGCCCTGTGTGCAGTGCTCAAAGTGAGTGCTGCCAAAGTCCTTGAAGTGCTTTCAAATTATTTAGAGTGTAGAACGTCAAGAGGGTATAATGTTGGCTGACTCACATTCTGGTTTGGTGATGGTTTACTGCCAAAAACTGTACAGCAAGGGATTTTGCAAAAAGTACAAGAACTTCAAATGTGAGCTTCTTTGATTTTTAATTTTGTATATATATATTACTGTCTATAAAACTGTATATCTATTATTGTGTTTGTATTATTGTCTTCACTGACGTTGAGTACATTGACCTAATTGATATACTTATTTAATTACAGAACGAGTGCTTGACAATCTTATCACTGAAATACAGCACCACCTACCAAAGCATGGCAGACAAGAGCAACAGCTGTCTTCCTTACAACTCTACACCCAAAAAGAAGAAGGAAAGATTCAGTGACCATGAGCTCCATATTCTAGCAGATGAGGTCATGGCAAATGCTGATAAATTATTTGGGAAAAAAGCCAGCAATGTCCTGGGAAAGGCTACTATCTGGCAACAAATAGCTCAGAAAGTTAACAGAGAAGATGGCATGAACCGTACGGTGAATGACTGTAAAAAGCGGTGGAGTGACTACAAGAGGAAAATCATGCAAACACTTATTAAAATGAAACAACGTGAGCCTGGTAATATGGACACCATGGAAGAAATGTTAACTAAAAGGCAATTTAGTGTTGCTAAATTCTTCCAGATGGATCTAGAGATTAGAAAAAAAGAAACCCAACCATTGCATGATGAGTTGTCTTTCGATGGAAGTAAGTCCAGGAACACTAAATAGAATACAGACCAGTGATCATAAAAAGGACACTTCCCATATCATAAACATAAAACAGCAGTCATTATAAGTTGGTATTTGGATAAAGGGACGCTGTAGGCACTATAAGCATATCATCTCATTGAATTAATAATAGTGTCTAGAATCCCCTGGTGCTGTCCCTCCACTGGAGGTGTGGGTAAAGTTCCTTCTAGTTATACCAATTCATACCTGAAATGGGCACTGTGATAGGCTGAAAGTAGTCAGCTGATGCTCACAATCAAGATTTTGGGACATCTATGACTACATCTATGACTACATGTTTGGGTTGACGCCAACGAGGTGAGACGAAACCTGACCTCCCTGGTAACAAGGGAGTGGGAGCCGGAGCAGGACTACCAACACCTGCTCAGCTCAATTTGGTCCCAATCTAACCGGTAGGCAGATCCAGATCTGCCACGCTACAGCTGGCAAGACCTGGTTGAGGTACCCCTTGCTTCACTACTAGCTAACGAAGTAAGGGACTTCATAGACTGGTCCTGGGAAGATCTCCAGCCTGCAGTTGGAGATGGGACCGAGGTCTCTCCACCGGCCCTACAGGGATGCTGGGCAGCCGTCCCAGATCCCCAGCTACAGCCAGAGTTACTGGGAGTAGCGACAGTCAGTCTTACTCCCCAGTGACCGAGTATGTTATTGGGAGACGAGACAGTCGTTCTCTCTCCCCAGCGCCAATGTATCCTACAGGGAGTGGAGACAATAGGTCTCACTCCCCAGCAGCAGTGTGCAGTAAAGGGAGCGGAAGGTCTCTCCACTGGCCCTACAGGGATGCTGGGCAGCCGGCCCAGATCCCCAGCTACAGCCAGAGTTGCTGGGAGTAGCGACAGTCGGTCCTACTCCCCAGTGGCAGAGTGTGTTATTGGGAGAAGAGACAGTCGGTCTCTCTCCCCAGCGCAGACAGAGTCACAGGGAGAGGAGCGTATCGTGGAGTTACAGGGAGTGGAGACAGCCACTCTCCCTCCCCAGTGGCAGTCGGATATACCGGGAGAGGAGACAACTGATCCTTCTCCCCAACTACAGGGGGACAGCACCCCTGACCCCAATGGTGCAGATGGGACCGCGGTCTCTGCACCAGACTTACAGGGATATTGGATGACCGGTCCAGATCCCCAGCCAACCCCACAGGAATACCATGAGGAGGAGGTAGGTGATCCCTCCTCTCCACAGCCAATTCTGGGGTTAGTGGACCCACTGATCCCCTTCAAGCAAAAGAGCTGGCATCAGGGGGAAGAAATGTGACAAACTGAACCTCATCACAGGTGCTTGGAGGGGCCTGCTGACCAGCCTCTTGCCAAAAGACTATAGGCCAAGTCAACGACTGTAAAGACCCATATTTTATTCCCCCTGGTTCTGCACTTTACATAGAACCGAACGCTAGCTCCCTGGCGGCCGTTCGCATGGACCAAAACAGCAAATAGACTTCAGGGGGACTTAGCCACAAATGCCTTGGAACTATTTTCGGTATGAAGACTTTGCGGTTCTGAATCGGTCGCCAGTGGCACTTAGCCGCGATTCTATGGAACCGTTTTGGGCATGGAACCATGAGTGCGGTCGGTTAAAAACTATGACTTACAGGAAATTCCTGAACCCCTGAACTGATCTGGGTGATTTTTGGATATGTTGGTCCCAGATCAGGGCTATCAGGGGATGTAATATTTGTGGGGATATTATGTGTTTTGGGGTACTCTTGGGACTTATAGAAATGTGTGTTTTTTCTGCCTGGAGATAATTGGGTTAATACAGTATCTGACTCAATTATCTCCCAGGTAGAGGGGAGGGATTGCATGCTATGTGTGGGAGTGTCATGCATTGGAATACTGTTCTTATTGGTCTGTAAATATTTTGTAACTCAGTTCCCCACAAGGTCCATGTGGACATACCCCTTGCATGGGGATTGTCATATAAGGCCAAGTGTGACATCCTTTTTAAATCAGTTCCTCTTTATCCTCAACATACAGCCTCATCTCATGTGTGGAGGGGACAGATATATTCACTCTGGGGATTACTGTACTCCTTATACTCTCTGGAATTATAATAACTAGCTCGTATAAGAGCTGTTCCTGCTATACTCTCTGGAGTAGGAGAGGTTCACCCACTGGAAGCTGGATCCTGGTCTTGGGTCCAGGGTGGGTGGAGGACAGCGGTACATATGGTGTCGGTTGAAGTGCTTGGCGTCCTCAGTGAGCACTAGGAGCATCGATTGGCAGAGGCAGGCAGTCCATCACATTTAGTATCTTTTGTTGTCATTTATTATCTAAATTTATTATCTAAATAATGCATTAAAAATGTGAATTGACTGTATCCCAAAATGTCCAGACCATTTAAATTGGGAAGGTGACCACTCTTAAGAGGCACAAATACCCTATTAAAAGGGCATTTTTACATTACATATTCAAAGTCACAAAAAAACTGATCCAAATGTCATCTTTGACTTAACATTTCTCTAATTCATTCACCAAAACCTGCTTCCTGTATTTTGTGACGACCTGTCACTACAAAGAATTTTTAATATTATGTTTACTAAAAAATTATAACTAATTCATTTGATGTTGTGTAGTGTGCAAATTAAAGGTAGAAACCCACACCTCTTTTTTAGCAACTGGGTGCCTCCATCTTAGCTCGCTGTCAATCTTTGTTATAAGCATTATCATTTACACCAGGCAGCCAGCATTGATATAGCATATAGAGAAGTTATGGTGTTAGGAGAGATGTATAAGTAAATACTATTGCCGGCCCTTCCTATCAGTATGGAGATGACTGTGTGTTAGTAGTGTCCATGGCCGTAGAGAGATACCGGTCTGTGCCGAGGTCCATTCAGCCGATGCCGGTAGCTGAATGGATCCACGATGTGCGGCATACTGCTGGGCTGAGGAGGGGGACCACTGTGATTACATCATGCCTCTTCAGGGTTAATCCCCCTCCTGTATTCGGTAATGGATCCTCTGCTCCCTCTCGCATCTCGTTGCACGCTGCTCCGGGCTGACACTCTCTGGTGGTGGGCTGCTCTCTCAGACGAAGAGCCTCTTGTAGATTGCCGCTTGGGCACATGTCGGCAGAGTCGGGAGGCAATTTTTTTGCCCAGTCCTGTCGGCTTTAATCCCCAGTTCCTCTGTCTTACTGCAGGAGTTGTTCTGGTCTCGGGTGCCTGGACCTCCAGGCGAGGTAAGCGCTCCACAGGCATAGAATTTTTTCCAGAATTGAGCACAGATTCTGTCAAACCTTTGTAGGAACAGGTCCACTCGGTTATTCAGTTCCAGGTGTGCAGACTTCAAGGCAGTGAGCGTGTCGGTGGCCATTTTGGTGAGTAAGCCTTAAGCTGCAGGGTATGCTGAGTAGGGACGCAATCAGTCCAATAAGCACAGCAGTGGGGACCGGGATAACCCCCACCGGTCCAGAGTTGAGTGGGGGTAGCAGGCTCAGTTAAAATTCAAGATAGGCTCTGACAGAGGAGCGTCCGCCTCCTCTGCCCGACAGGCCCATGTAGGCCCCAAGCCAGTCCGGCGCAGTCCACGACAGCCTGGATCAGGAAAATTCGAACCAGCACTTCAGTATAGTGTTCTACAGGATTATAAGGGTTCTTTTTGCCAGGTTCGTACAGATTTGACAGGGTAGTCAATGCTTTTCCAGGTTTAAGCTAGGGAGCTCCAGCCATGTGCGTCCTGCCCGGTTGGCTGTCAGGCCCTGCCCCCTGTAAGAAATGTTTTAATTTAAATTTCTAGTTAGTTTACCCATGCCTTATCAAGTGGGTAATGCTTTTATTTTTCAGCTTCGTACTTGATATTACAAAAATCTCTTTATTTTGTTATAGAAACATGGACACTAGATGACCAAACACTCTCCATTTCTTCCATTGACTCAGAGGAGGATTTTGTCCCAGCTCCAAAGAAGAAGTCAGTCTCAATTTTGCTGTCTTCTTCAGGAGGTGATGCTCAGGATCAATCTATCTCACAGTCTAATGAACAAGTCCAGTCATTAGAACCAAACTCCAAGAGCCACAAATCTGTGCCACTAGAAGTATCCACAAATGTTAAACTTACTGTGCCAAATCCAGAGGGTGAAAACTCTGATGCTAAATTAGATAAAATAATCACATTCCAAAGGCAAAACAATGAGATCCTTCAAAGTATGCAAACTTGTATTTCTACCACTTTGGAGCTCCAGAAGAAAATGAATCGTCTATTGAAAAACAATTTCAAAGAGATACAAAAATCAATGAGTCTTGTTAAGAAGACGTCAAAAGAACATGAAAACCTTTTGGATTTCAGGTTGAAATCTCTCCACTCTACATTAGATGATCTGAAGGATACTCTTCATGAAAAACTCAGAGATAAAATGACTAGTGATGATTCTGATGAAGACCTTAGTTTGGGTCAAACAACATCGAAGCCAAGTAGCAACAAAAGGAAAGGTAGTGAAAATTCTTCCCAACCCTCACCAGCAAAAAAAAAGCAACAAAATGTTCTAGGATTATAGTTAAGTGTTCTTGCATAGCAAGACCACTTAATGTTATCTCACATATATATTATTATTAAGTGTTCTTGCATAGCAAGACCACTTAATGTTATCTCACATATATATTATTATTATTAAGTGTTCTTGCACTTGAAACAACTTAAATTATAGATTATATTTCTATATTTTTGTACAAATTACAGTTCAGCAAATAATTATGTTAGTGAATCATGTGCAATTTACATACAATATAAGGTGGAGTATCTTCTTGTTTGAAATATGTGGAAATAAACTCACAAAGCAAGAGCCTATAAAATGAGGCTCAGTCTTCCAGCATTGTGGGATTTACAGTTTGTTTTTATATTTCATTTGTGCACTTTATAAATAAAGCACTTTTTCATCATTTATACTTACCTGTGAGAGGACATCCCATTATTCATCACCTCCTGGCAGTATAAAGAAGGGAGTGGGAACCTAAATCCCACAATGCTAGAAGACTGAGCCTCATTTTATAGGCTCTTGCTTTGTGAGTTTATTTCCACATATTTCCCTATATTTATAGGAGATTTAGACAATATTGCACTATTATGTGTCTTTTTTTATCTTATCTCTAGGTCATTGTAATACTTATTTTAAACAAGAAGATACTCCACCTTATATTGTATGTGTATTCTGTTTGCTGTGAGGGCGAAGGGTACTCACTAAGGTGTATGAGAATCTCTTGGTTTATTTTCATATACAGGGAGTGCAGAATTATTAGGCAAATGAGTATTTTGACCACATCATCCTCTTTATGCATGTTGTCTTACTCCAAGCTGTATAGGCTCGAAAGCCTACTACCAATTAAGCATATTAGGTGATGTGCATCTCTGTAATGAGAAGGGGTGTGGTCTAATGACATCAACACCCTATATCAGGTGTGCATAATTATTAGGCAACTTCCTTTCCTTTGGCAAAATGGGTCAAAAGAAGGACTTGACAGGCTCAGAAAAGTCAAAAATAGTGAGATATCTTGCAGAGGGATGCAGCACTCTTAAAATTGCAAAGCTTCTGAAGCGTGATCATCGAACAATCAAGCGTTTCATTCAAAATAGTCAACAGGGTCGCAAGAAGCGTGTGGAAAAACCAAGGCGCAAAATAACTGCCCATGAACTGAGAAAAGTCAAGCGTGCAGCTGCCACGATGCCACTTGCCACCAGTTTGGCCATATTTCAGAGCTGCAACATCACTGGAGTGCCCAAAAGCACAAGGTGTGCAATACTCAGAGACATGGCCAAGGTAAGAAAGGCTGAAAGACGACCACCACTGAACAAGACACACAAGCTGAAACGTCAAGACTGGGCCAAGAAATATCTCAAGACTGATTTTTCTAAGGTTTTATGGACTGATGAAATGAGAGTGAGTCTTGATGGGCCAGATGGATGGGCCCGTGGCTGGATTGGTAAAGGGCAGAGAGCTCCAGTCCGACTCAGACGCCAGCAAGGTGGAGGTGGAGTACTGGTTTGGGCTGGTATCATCAAAGATGAGCTTGTGGGGCCTTTTCGGGTTGAGGATGGAGTCAAGCTCAACTCCCAGTCCTACTGCCAGTTCCTGGAAGACACCTTCTTCAAGCAGTGGTACAGGAAGAAGTCTGCATCCTTCAAGAAAAACATGATTTTCATGCAGGACAATGCTCCATCACACGCGTCCAAGTACTCCACAGCGTGGCTGGCAAGAAAGGGTATAAAAGAAGAAAATCTAATGACATGGCCTCTTTGTTCACCTGATCTGAACCCCATTGAGAACCTGTGGTCCATCATCAAATGTGAGATTTACAAGGAGGGAAAACAGTACACCTCTCTGAACAGTGTCTGGGAGGCTGTGGTTGCTGCTGCACGCAATGTTGATGGTGAACAGATCAAAACACTGACAGAATCCATGGATGGCAGGCTTTTGAGTGTCCTTGCAAAGAAAGGTGGCTATATTGGTCACTGATTTGTTTTTGTTTTGTTTTTGAATGTCAGAAATGTATATTTGTGAATGTTGAGATGTTATATTGGTTTCACTGGTAATAATAAATAATTGAAATGGGTATATATTTGTTTTTTGTTAAGTTGCCTAATAATTATGCACAGTAATAGTCACCTGCACACACAGATATCCCCCTAACATAGCTATAACTAAAAACAAACTAAAAACTACTTCCAAAAATATTCAGCTTTGATATTAATGAGTTTTTTGGGTTCATTGAGAACATGGTTGTTGTTCAATAATAAAATTAATCCTCAAAAATACAACTTGCCTAATAATTCTGCACTCCCTGTATGTGTGTTCCACTGACAATACTGTATTTCTTTGCAATCATGTGCAATTGTTGGAATACTACACTAAATAAATGCCTGTATGTAATGTAAGTTTATTTTATTTTATCAGTAGAAAATATAAAAACGTTAAACAATTCTGTTGACAGACTGATATAAATATTTTGTAGCCGCCTTTCTTATCTGTAGAACTAAAATATTTTCAAGAATGCTCACTGTCTCCTCTTTTTCATTAACTGCTCGTTTTATACTTAAAAAAAAATAATAATCTATAAACCTTTTCTAAAACGGTGTCTCTGTTCTAGCCCATCAAGCAGGTTACAATCTGCTATTAAGGAACAGTTAAACAAGTTTAAAAAGTATATTTATTTCCAGATAATTAATACAAAGCTTTCTTATTTTCAATCACTATCTGGTTAATCATAATGTGGACATTAATGCCTTAATTATTATTTTATCTTTAGAGAAACAGCATTAAGTTTGACATGTTTTGAAATGTGGGAAACAATATAGCTAGGTTCTGAAGTTAAAGGTGCACGTTAGGCCCTATAACCATTTTATCTAATTTAATTGGTTGTAGTTCCTGGAGTCCCCTGGCACTGCCCTTCAATTCAGTGTTAAACTATTTTCTACCAGTTTTACATTAAATATGGGGTCCTGGCTTGCCTTAACCTCATGCCAGTATCCTGCCTGTAACCTCACTTACCTATGTTCAGTGGGCACTCTGGAACATCCACTCTGTCTGCATCAAACTGTAATAAACAGCAATACATCCAGATAAGTTGGGCACACAGGAACAGAGGTGTTGAGGGCCCTGCTCAATGAGCTTACATGCTAGAGGGAGTAGGGTAAAATGACACAAAAAGGTAAGGATAGTATTAGACTTGTGAAAGTTGCAGAAGAGGAATCAGTCAGGAGCTATTAACAGTTTAATTGATACGCTTTTATGAAGAAGTGGGTTTTTAACGATTTTTTGAAGGAGTGGAGACTGGTTGAGCATCTAACGGAGGAGGGAAGCGACTTCCACAGGAACGGTGCAGCCCTCGAGAAATCTTGAAGGCGAGCATTGGAGGTGGGAGTACGGACAGAAGATAGACGTAAGTCTTCAGCAGATTGTAAGGGAGGATAGATAGGTGGGAGCAGCATTATGTAGTGATTTGAAAGCAAGAACCAGAATTTTAAATTGAGCCCTATATCTTACAGGAAGCCAACATGGGACTGGCATGACCTCTTCATCTCAAAAACCCCCACCCTACTAGTACTCACTGTGACCTGGCTGTCCAACTCTGATAGAGCTACCACTGCTTCTTTATGTTTAGTTAACCTACAATCCTCTCACTCTCCTAGACTTAAAGGACAACTGTCACCAGAATTATTTTTTTTGTTTTTTTTATAATAAGAATCCTTGCAGCAAGTAATGAAAAGATATGGAATTTTCTCAAACTAAAGTATATCTAGAAATACCTGAAAATCTGGCTCCTATTTTCATGGAACACAATTCATACACCTTCAGTCGGACTGAGGTAGAGTCACCGTAGAATCCCACCATTAGGCTCATGGTTCACTCACCTTGTTGTGGCATGGAATTGTCTTACACATATATCTTACTGTGTGCATAACGTTCTTTCGTAACTCCTTTTCACCCAGCTGTTTTCCAGTGCACTGTACACATCGAACCGTGTAGTCAACTGTTAATTGAAATATGATATCAAGTTCAAACTTTCCTATATAGAGAAGAGGGGTGACATTAAGTTCAGTATATCTGTACAAGGCATTTAGTTTACGGGGTTTAAAAAGTATGTTAAATGTTAACAGAAAAAAATATTATGGTCTATGCTGAGGAAAGGAGTTAAACATTATTTCACCTCATCACACGTCCTCTAGATGGCACTGTTCAATTTAACAAAAAAATACAAACTATTAAAAAACAAAAAACTGTAAAAAAAAGTCCAAAAGATAGCCTTGAATTAAATATTTGTATTAGGATAAAATTAAAATGATAAGTATGCATATCCAATTTAAAGTTACCTGCTGTACAATTCAATACAAATAGCCTACATTCATGTGCAAACAGAAGAGACATGTTCTTTATTGAATACATTTCTAAAATGATACAATACCACAAACAAAATATCCATCAAACATAGCAGAGTATGCATGATTACTTGTCATACAAAACATACAACCGTTTAAAAAAGTTAAATTACGGGGGAGCGTGGCCGACTGCGGAGCTGAACAGTCGCATATCTGTGGAGCTCTGCTTCGGCCCCACAGATCAAGAGTCATTACACAGAGAAATCCGCTCCAAAACCACACAGCTTACCTGCCAGCCGACAGCTGACAACATGGGGCGCAAACATAGGAAGCAAACCCACATGGAGCGACCCGCGGTACCTGACATCAGTCTTGCATTCCAGAGGCCTACACAGTCGCGGCCTGCCAAGATGGCGCCGGAGCCACAGAGAGAGCTGGAGACCTCTGACGAATCCCAAGAAGAGAGGGACTCCCAAACCTAACCACAACCCGATGATAACCCTCACAGGTCTGACTCGGAGGATGATGACTCTCCATCCACAAAAGGGGACATCAGAAGACTGCTGATAGACCTAAGACAGGTCTGGAAGGCCGATTTAAAGGAGACCCAAGCTGAAATAGGGGTCCTACAACAAAGAGTAGGGGAGGTGGAGGCCAGAGAAAAATCCAGAGACAACTAACTCCAAGACACCAAGCAGCAGCTGGACGCACTTGCTGAGCAGGTCCAGCGCCTACACGGAATGGTGGTATCACTTGAGTCCAGACACCGCCGCCGCAGCATACGCCTCAGAGGCATCCCTGAAACAGTGGGCGGAGAAGACCTACTGCCTTACCTCCTCAATGGCCCTCAGGTGTAACCCAGACACCCCACTGATACTATACACCTTCCAAGTGTGCAAATCGCCAGCAGCACCTGCAGGTGCCCCCAGAGACACGATAGCTACCACCAGAGAGCCGCCATGATGGCCAGTTCTAGACCACTGGGGTCAGTGAAATTTGAGGGATGCGAAGTGACCATGTACAGTGACCTTCCTTTTGCTGTACTGGCTGCAAGGAGACAACTGGCACCGGTCGCCAAGAGACTGAGAGTTACCAGTGGGGCACGGAGGGGTCACTGGTGGTGCAACAGGGCACCGACGTATTCACTCTGACCGCAGGGGAAGACCCAGAGACATTCCTCAAAAAGCTAGGCATGGTAGCCAACGGGCACAGCAACTGAACTGAGAAACGCAACATTTAGTTATCATAACCTTGTTATTTATATGTTTATAATTTCATATGGTTCTTAGGAGTTTTTTCATACTCTTAACTCACTACTCCACACGTATTAACCTAACTGACTTTACATTCACAGAGCAGGTCAGTAGCGGAAGCTAAAGTTACATAACCTCATTAAGCAGTGTTCTCCGTATAAATGTAGTAACAGGCAACAAAATAACTTGCAATGCTACTGTACAGATCTCACTGCAACCGTGATTATAGCTATGTTTGTAAACCCAACAATATGTACTTGTTCTTGTTATAACCTATACAATAACCCATACAATGGAAAATTTATACTGTGTGTACAAAACCCAATAAAATACAAATTTTAAAAAAAAAAGTTAAATTACTCTGTGCTGTTGCTAGAATAAAGGATACTATTTTCATATCACAATAAAATGCAAGGGAAAACAACAGCAGGATTTCCAAAACTACACTATCTAATCCTATAATATGCACTGCTCAAAACACAGACAATTGTGTCCAAATTAGTTATGGAACATCTTGTATAATCTGGAGGCCAATTAATTGTACTGTTTACTGACATGTAATCAAGCTATACAGAATTATACCACTAAAAAAAGTATCTTAGTTTTTTAAACATTATTGGGGAATGAATGCATAAAACGACATTATGCAGTCACAGTCTCTATATAAAACATATGTCTTTATGATAAGACTGTATTGGGCAATGATATTCAAATGAGTGTCTTTTCATTTACATTTTGTAGGAGCATGATCAGTGCACACACATACCCTAGACCAGGACCACTAGGGCCTTGCCTATGCAACCACTAAAGCTTATATTTATTGGTATCCCCAACAAATACAATACACACACATAGAGACTGCTGAATACACACGTAGACAGCTGAATACACATACAGACTGCTGAACACACACACATACTGCTGAATACACACACACATACTGCTGAATAATCACATACACAGACTGCTGAATACACACATACACACATACAGAGACTGCTGAGTACACATACAAACTGCTGAATATACACACACGGACTGCTGAATGCAGAAACACAGGCTGCTGAATACACACTCACAGGCTGCTGAATATACAAACACAGACTGCTAAATACATACACAGAGGCTGCTGAATACACACAGACTGCTGAATACATACACGCACAAACTGCTGAATAAACACACACACACACTGCTGAATAAACACACAGAGACTGCTGAATACAGACATAGACAGCTGAATACACATACAGACTGCTGAACACACACACATACTGCTGAATACAGGCACACACAGACAGACTGTAGTGAGGGGTGCAATGTGTGGGGGGGTCCAGTGTGTGTAGGGATTCATTGTGTGCAGAGGTGCTGTGTGTGGCGATGGTGCAGTGTGTGGAGGGTGCCGTGTGTAAAGGGGTTCAGTGTGTGTAGGGTTTCAGTGTGTGTGTGGAGTGTGCTGTGCATGTGAAAGAGTTTCAGTGTGTGTGAGTGGTGCAGTGTGTGTGTAGGGGTTTAGTGTGTGTGGGGGGGTGCAATGTGTGTGAGGGGTGCAGTGTGTGTAGGGGTTCAATGTGTGGGGAGGTGCAGTGTGTGGGGGGGTTTCAATGTATGTAGGGGGTCCTATGTGTGTAGGGGTTCATTGTGTGGGAGATGTAAATGTAGTGGTTCAGTATGTCAGGGTGCTGTGTGTGTGTGTGGGGGGGGGGTTCAGTGTGTGTAGGGGTTTAGTGTGTGTGGAAGGTGCAGTCTGTGTGTGGAGGGGTTCATAGTGTGAGGGGTGATGAGCCTGATTTTTTCATTTGTTTTTACTTTATACTCACAGGGGTGGTTTATATTACAGTATTATGTTATGTATTATTTATGATTTTTTTTCAGATTGTAAAATACATCAGTAGAACATTCTACATCTACTTTTCCAGGTTGTTATATGTCTTTTTATGTGTATTGTGTTTTCCCCATATTCTTTATTGTTTGTATTTTTTGGGTGTTGTTGTGAGGTACACCTGGGATATCACTTTTCCATGTATTATTATTTTGTCTCACATATTAGTGTTTATACATTGTTTTTCTACATAATACATGCACATAAACACTACAGCCATATGCACACAATTGCTACATTACCTATACACACTATGCCCCTTATACATAGACACTCTATACAGCCTCAAGCCACTCATATTACACCATGAACAGAACACAACTGAAACTTACCAATTTACACAAAACACCACAATCAGCTAACGCACGCAATCCCATAAGCAACATCCAAACACATGCACTACACACATTCCTTGGCCTTTTGTCCTCTAGAATTCCACTTACAGAAACACTAGAGACAAGTCACAAGCAAAAACAGTGCAAGCATGTAATTAAATTTGATTAAATACAGGGCCCTTTTACTCATGCAAGAGGCCATACGAGAGCTTATCAGCAGGTCTCTGCGCATGGTCTGTGTGGCGAAACCAACCTCGCCACTGTGAACTGGAGAAGCCTGGTTGCTCGCCTGCTCCCTTTGGACTATGGCCCTGCAGGTTAAACCGTTTATTTCCCCTGCAGAAAGGCTTATTTGTGTGATCTGAGTGCCATTCATCTAATAATGTGCACTCAGATCCCAGCTATCTGGGGATATGTGAAATGTCTGTGTGTTATGTGTAAAATGTGACTTTATGTATTTTAAAGTGTTTTGTGTCTTTTTGCAACCATGTGCTTAATGGAGTCTTGTGTCTGTCCTGGGAGATAATTGAATTACTCTCCAGGATAGAAGACTCTGAAACTGGTTTGGGCCAGAAAGCCATGCTTCATTTAGTCACAAAGGACTTTCCCTTAACTTTTGAACCCCTGGTCTGATTCGTGCCATTTTTTAATATGTTGTTCCCCTGAATGGATTGATTATGAAAATGTATGTTTTATGTTTGTGACATGTATATTTTAGAAGTTATAAATATTGTGTAAAAACTGTATTCCTCTGCCGGTGATAATGAGATTACCCATTGTGTTCAGTAATCATATCACCTGCAGAGGGGAGGATTTTGTGTGGGAGTGTCTGGGTGTATTGTACGGATTGATTGGTTGTTTTGTAACGCCCTGTGGGCTGTATTATGTTTGTGGATTGGGAATAAAAGAGACTGTATGTGACAGTACAGGGAGTTCCTGTTTTAACCCTCAAAGTGAAGTGTCGTCTCATTATTGGGGGAAGGATTTATTGTATGCTGTTCCAGTTTGACTGCTAGGAGAGTAAACCTATTCGTATGGTTCCTATTCAACTGTCTACAGCATTCATATGCTTGAGAGGATTCATATGCTTCTCCGGTTCGGTGGTTGTGGTGTCTGCTGCAGTGCTTGGAGTCCTCAGGAAGCGCTAGGAGCATCTTTCAACGGAGGTACCCAGTCGGGGTGCCAGGCGATCCGTTACAGTCTGGAAGAGCAGTGGACCAATATGCTCACTTTGAGAGGGGGCGTGCTTGTCATGGGTGATGACAAAATACCTCCTCTCTTGCGCCGCCTCCTGCTCACTGGGCCGCTGTGATTTAAGAATACCCAGGCCAAACTTTTTTCCTAGTCCGGCCCTGTTCATAGGTGACCATTTGTTGAGCAGATTCTGGGATAAAATGTCGCTTATGGTATAGTCTGTATACGTGCAGGTCTGCAAGGCAAAAGTGGCAGATGGCCAGCATTCCTTGTGACACAACTGGTAGCTCCAGCATGGGCTACAAAGTTATCTAACGTTCCTTCCTGGATGCAACAAGTGAGATTCTAAATTGCTGTTATAGATTTTCAGCATGCTGCAAATCCATCCATTTCTATCAGCTAAACCACACTGTTGATGAACGATGGTTACAGGGTGTTGGGATCAAACTCATAAAGGTTGAAAATAAAAAGTGTTTATTATCTTTTCCCTTAAAACCTTAATCTTAATAGAGCCATCTCGAATATATGTTGATACATATTTACAAGTTTCATTACATCTATATATATATACAAGAAAACTTGCAAAGAAAGTGTCCCAACTGGTTTTTCAAGACTCGTGTTTTTCTTTTGTGCTCATTAATTCATTAGGTTGAGCAGTTTCGACTTGCATGAATACAGAATTAGCACACTCCCACACAGCACTGTTCGGAATTTCTTCTGTCCTTAAATAGGTGTATCTATTAAAGTTACCACCAAGTGTTTAGAAGCATATCGATTTAAAAACAGAGCAAGAAAAACAAAAAGATAAAAGAGGACATTGGTGACCAAGCGTGATTACGATAGTGGGGTCAAAAAAGAACAAAGGGCTAGGTACAGATTTTAAGGAGAAATAACGTCCTCTCAGAGCCAGTTTACCTAAGTATACCATATTACAATGTCGATAATTAAAAGACATGTATCTGTATATTGGTTACGTTTGCATTCCCCCTACACAGGTAGTCTCTGCACGGTGGAATGTTACTGAAGTTTGCTATAGAAGAATGTAGTCCGTTTACAGTAGACACCTGAGGGCAGTAGACACACCCTATCAGCAGCGAAATAAGCTAGATATAGGAGTTTCTTTAAAGAAATCGAAACTTACTCCATTATACCTTTCAGCTTACTAGATTTTACCTGTCTACGCAGTTCCTCACAGCTTCATTTTCAGGTATCTATGTTTAATTTAAATTTTTGCTATATTTATGTTCGTATGAATATATGCCTAATATGTGAGAAATACTCAGCCTAATAAGGACATAGATTAGTTTGTCTGGAAGTATGTCACCCTTAACTAACTGATGAGACCCGAGGTGCATAAATTGCTATCTGGTTTGCTGGGACTTCTCCTCACTGGGTCTTCACTGGTTCTCACTTATGTTGAGATTTCCTTGGGCTTAAATTTCTGGATTGTTTTCTTCTTGTGAGTTTGAAAAGTCTGAAATGCTGAATAGCACAATATAGTATCCCAATAATGTAGGGGGTATTGTATTTACACAGAACAAATTATTTAAGCTGTAGTCTGTTTTCAGTCAGTGTCATTGAAACTTTGTGTTTGGTGTGCAATTACGTTCAAATTTACAATTTAGTAAAAGGGACTTTCATCAGAAACCACCTGATGGACAGTATGGCAACAGTTCTGCTACTGAAGTCATCATGTATCAAAAAGTCACATAATATCTAAAATGTTCTAGGGCTTGTTAAAATGTTCAGCTCTCCTGGGAGCCAATTCAATCCCTATTCATCTGTGTCCTTCTACTACCATGCCATTTCTTTTTAGTTTGGCTAATTAAATAAGCCTAAAATTAAAAAATTATTTCGGATTGCAAATAATTCACATTTTAATGAATAACCTTGTATGTCTGTTCGAGAAGAAACATTCAGCTAGAAGTCAGATTTTATTTGATTGAAACCTTTTCATTTATTTATTTATATTTAGTTTTTATACACTGATCAGCCACAACATTAAAACCACCTGCCTAATATTGTGTAGGTAACCCTCGTGCTGTCAAAACAGCTCTGATGCATCAAGGCATGGATTCCACAAAACCTCTCAATGTGTCCTGAGGTGTCTGGATCCAAGTCAGTAGCAGCAGATCCTTTATGTCCCGGAAGTTGTGAGGTGGGTCCTCCATTGGTCAGATTTGTTGTTCTAGCACATCCCACAGAGGCCAAGGCAACACCTTGAACTCTTTGTCATGTTCCTCAAACCACTCCTGAATGAGTTTTTGCAGTGTGGCAGGGTGCATTATCCTGCTAAAATTGGCCACTGCCATCAGGGAACACCATTGCCATGCAGGGTTGTACGTGGTCTGGAAAACTCTCTAGGTATGTGTTTTATGGAGGCTGTGAAAGCTGCCCAAAAATGTGTTTATTAAATGGACACTATAGGCACCCAGACCACTTTAGCTCATTGCACAACTTTTGGTAGGTGCTAACCATTGAATAACGGAAAAAATACCCCACCAAACTTGCTGTTTTGAAGATGCTTTGACCCATTCTTCAATCAATTTACTATTTGGGCCTTGTCAAAGTCACTCAGAATTTACTGGCCCATTTTTCTTCTGATTCCAACACATAAAATTCAAGAACTGACTGTTCACTTGCTGACATATTTATACCAGCCATTGACAGGTACCATTGTAATGTAATCAATGTATATCACTTCACCTATCAGTGATTTTAATGTTGTAACTGATCAGTGTTTGCGCATGCTTTACTTTATTCCACCATAGGTAAATCTATATAAATGCATTTTTGTTGTGCTGTATGTTTTTGTGACACTACTTGAACTTTCGGACAATTTCACTAACACACCGATAGAAATATTTAAAATTATTAGTAGAGCTTTAAGTGTCTAAAGTGCATGTTATCATTATTTTGTTTCCTTAACTTTTCTCTTTGTTAGCTCTGAAAGTATACCAAATGGCTAAGCAAAGTATGGAAGATCTGTCTGATCTAATGATTAAAAAGAGGAAGAAGAAGTTCAGTGACAAAGAGGACCAAGTACTGGTCAAGGAAATCCTATCCCATGTCGAGCAATTATATGGACCAAATGCCTCCAACTCCTTAAGGAAAACAGTTATCTGGCAAAATATTGTCACAAAGATTAACAAAGAAGGTGGAACAAACCGCACACTCATGGATTGCAAAAAGAGATGGAGTGACTACAAAAGGAAAATTAGACGTGTGCTAACGGAAAAAGCTCCTGATGTCAACATGGAAAAGATTCTAAATTCCACTCAATTAAGAGTAGCTAAATTTTTCCGGATGGATCAAGAGAACGAAAGCGACACTCGAAAATCAGGAAATGTCATACCTGATAATGAAGGCAAGTCTTTGACTGCATATGTTCTATCATACCTCCTACCCTACCCCTACCATAACCCTACTCCTAACCCAACCCTACCCTATCCCTACCTCTAACCCTACCCTTAAGCCTACTCCTAAACCAACCCTACCCTAAGCCTTCCTCTAACAGTACCCCTACCTTCCCCTAAACCAATCCTAACCCTACCCCTAAACCAACCCTACCCCTACTCCTAAACCAACCCTAAACCTACCCTGACCCTATCCTACCATAACCCTAACCCTACCCCTAAACAAGTTTATTTTCCTGGCACTATAGTTTACCTTTAATAAACACATAGAAACATAGAATGTAACGGCAGATAAGAACCATTCGGCCCATCTAGTCTGCCTAATTTTCTAATATTTTCATTAGTCAATGCCCTTATCTTATAGTTAGGAAAGCCTTATGCCTGCCCAATGCATGAATAAAACCACTTCACTGTGTTAACCTCTACCAATTCAGCTGGAAGGCTATTCCATGCATCCACTAGCCTCTCAGTAAGGTAATACTTCCTGATATTATTTTTAAACATTCGCCTCTCTAATTTAAGACTATGTCCTCTTGTTGTGGTAGTTTTTCTTCTTTTAAATATAGTCTCCTCCTTTACTGTGTTGATTCCCTTTACGTATTTAAATGTTTCTATCATTTCCCCCCTGTCTCGTCTTTCCTCCAAGCTATACATGTTAAGTTCCTTTAACCTTTCCTGGTAAGTTTTATCCTGTAATCCCTTCTCAGAACTCAATATCCTTCTGGAGATACAGTCTCCAGTACTGCGTACAATACTCCAAGTGAGGTCTCACCAGTGTTCTGTAAAATGGCATGAGCACTTCCCTCTTTCTGCTGCTAATACCTCTCCCTATACAACCAAGCATTCTGCTAGCATTTCCTGCTGCTCTATAACATTGTCTGCCTACCTTTAAGTCATCTGAAATAATCACCCCATACATCCCTTTCCTCAGATGTTGAGGTTAGGACATTTGAAGGAGAAAATCTACCATTTATTTGTTTTTCCTTCACTGAAAATGTTTCTCATTGTTTTCATTAAGTTTGGTGTATTAAAGGACCACTCCAAGCACCATATGCCCTACTGCGCTCTAGTTCCCTCCCAATGTAAGTAGTCAAATCACTTGCTAAAGGTTTGACAACTTACCTGGCTGCTGTAATGTTAATGGTGCTTGGAGTGTTCCTTTAACTGCATCTGCTCTAATACCCCCCCATTACATTTTTGATATATGGCTTATTTTTGGCACGTGACTCATTGGTGTTCTCATGGAAAAGCTTCCTTTTTCTTTCATTTTTACATTCCATATTTTCTATTTATCTGAGTGACGAAAATAGTTCACATAAAAGTAAGTCTTTATCTTATCAATATTGTTTTGAAAGTGTATAACATGTATGAATGCTGTATGATATTTCTTCTTTGTTTCAAAATATATTCTCTTTTTGCAAGCTGTATTTTGTCACAAAAGTTTTAGCTGGCCCACAGGTGAATAAAAAAAAAAAAAAAAAAAATTTATGTTTTTAAATTGAGGGATCTGCAATGGTTCCTATCACTATATTGCTCAGTGTTAAAAGATCCTATATAATTTTTGGCGCTATATGGACCTCATCACCCCTCATAGATCAGCTTTTACAAATAATTTTTTTAATGGTCTGCCTGTGTTAGACTGCAAGCACCACAGCTTGTACGGCAAACCTCCTCATATTGCGGGTGCCGGGATGAGACAGTAAGAAGGCAGAATTGTCGGGTGGCAGAGGACCAACCTCGGGATTTAACCGTTTAACTTCTAAAGGTAAGATGACACCCAGACATCCCTGTCCCTAACTTCAATGAGGTTGAGTGTGAGTGCGAGTGTTCCTTTATGTGTTAAGTTATATTAGAGCATTAGATTTGTTGAGAAGTAAATTCACTGAGCTGAACAATGTAAAAAGAAAGATTTCTTAGCTCATGTGTATCCTGTAAAAGTAATAATTGCAGACTTTTAAATTCTTTTTTTTTTTTTTTTTTAATTATAGGAAAACCGTTTCAGTCATTTGAGCACATCATTTCTGATCTGTCTGATGACTCAGAAGATGCTCCCTTGAATAGATCAGCCCCATTGTTGCATTCTTATGTTGGTAATGATGCTCAAGTTCAAACGGTCTCGCAATCTTATTTGGAGGACCAACTAAAAAGAGAGTCTGAATCCGGCAGCAACCCAAGTACCAGCTGCAAGCCTTCTTCACTTAAACGATCCAAAGACAGTGCACTGACTGTGCCAAAACAAGAGTTTAAACATTTAGATGATAAACTAGATAGCTTGATTACCATCCAAAAACAAAACAGTGAGATCTTGCGTCATTTTCAAACTAGTATTTCTATGATCCTTGAGCTCCAGAAAAAAACGAATCGCCTGCTGAAAAGCAACTTTAAAGAGATGCAGAACTCTCTAAGCCTCACACAGAAGATGTCAAAAGGCCAAGAAGAAATGTTGAACATCAGAATAAACACTGTGCATACCCAATTAAATGATTTAAAAGATACGCTTCATGCAAAATTTCAAAACTCAACAACTAGTGATGATTCTGATGAAGACTCTAACTCAGTACAAAAGTCAACCTATACTCCTGCATTCAAGAAATATAAAAGCGATGAGGGTGCAATTTTAATGTCTCCAGTGGGGAAAAAATGATGCTAAGCTCTATCATCTTAAATATATAGGAAACTATAGGCACAAAAACAACTTTAGCTTAATGAGGCAGTTTTGGTTTATAGATCATGCCCCTGGTGTCTCACTGCTCAATTCTTTGTACCATTTAGGAGTTATGTCACTTTGTTTATGCAGCCCTAATCACACCTCCTGTAACGAGTCATCTAATGTTTAAGCTTTCTATATTGCACATTATGTTTAATTTAGAATGTATTATCTTCTTCTTTGTTAATAGCCTTCTAGACCATACAGGTGCATCCCGTGTGTGATTAAAGTTCAATTTACAGAGCAGGAGATAGGAACTTCTAAAGCAAATTAACATCTGATTGAAAATGAAGCCATTTTTTTCATGGAGGCTGTATCAGTCACAGCTACGGGAGGTGTGGCTAGGGCTGCATGGACAAAAACAAAAGTGATCTAACTCCTAAATGGCAGAGAATTGAGCAGTGAAACTTCAGGTCCATAATTTATTATCTATTATCAGTAAGCTGAACCAAAGCTGACAGTGTTAGGAAAGACTAAACACAAACACCAATGACAAGCAAAAATAAACATACTAGTATTTTAGCATTAACAAACTTAACATATTGTTGTAATAAATAGATTTACAGATCTTTTCCATGTGCAAAACATTATCAGGGTTTATTGATAGGCTAAACCCATGTTTACTGAATTCCAGATCCAAACTGTGACCAATCACTAGAGAGGAGAATTTTGGGTTCTGCATCTCTACCTTATACTTTTCGCATGTATTTGTTACAATTTTTTTTTTTTTAAATCAGCACCAACTCTGCAAATTGAATAACAAAAAGCTAACTAAAATAGTGAAGCTGTAACTGTAGATAAGTTGGATTTTTTTTTACTAATGTATTTAAAGGACCACTTCAGCTTAATGAAGTGGTCTGGGTGCCAGGTCCAGCTAGGTTTAACCCTTTCTTCTATAAACATAGCAGTTTCAGAGAAACCGCTAGGTTTATATTAGGTTAATCCAGCCTGAAAATCACAGAGAGAAGACGCCAGCGTCCATAGGAAAGCATTCAGCCGAGGAGGAGGAGAGTCCCCCGCCCGGTGCTGTAGAAAGAGGTAAGTTTAACCCCTTCCTCCCCCTAGAGCCAGGGCAGGAGGGGGACCCTGAGTGTTGGGGGTCACCCTCAGGGTACTATCTTGCCAGGAAAACGAGTATGCTTTCCTGGCACTATAGCGGTCCTTTAAGATGAAATGCTGCCAGTTTCAAATTTACTGCAATTTCCTGTTTAGGGAATAAACCACTGCTGACTCAGTAGTCATTGCATTGTGGAATAAACTTTCATGCACATACCTCAGATGTTGTTATTGAGTTGCTGCTCACAACTCTACATTGTAGATTTGCATCATATATTAAAGTCAAATATACTGTTGTCATTTTATTTTTAAATAAAAATACTTTTACAAAACATTTGTGTCTGTTACCACTTACTATCAGTATAAGGAGCTGCTTGCAGTAATATATATTTATTAAGAATGAATGAGGAGAGAGCACTGGATTTTTCAAAGTTGTATTAATGTATTATTTAAGCAATCAACGTTTCGACCAAGGAGGTCTTTATCAAGAAAATAAATAAATAAAATATATATATTACATATAAATGAAACGTCAATACTCAAAGTAATGATGAAACCTTGTGTGTGTGTGTAAAATTCAGTACACCAGCTACTGTTAAGATACTGCATTTGGTTTTTTAACTTATTTAGTTTGCCCACTTTCAGATGTACCAACATCACACAAATGGATAACAACCAGATGGCAAAATATGTTGATTATGAATATTTTAATAATCCACAAAAGCAGCTGTTACAGAGCCAGACAGTGCTGCTGTTACAAAACATGTATTCACTCATATGAAATAAATGCTGTGCAGCTGCTTCAGAGAACGTTGAATAAAAGTTGTTTCAAACAGTCTTTGTTCCCTCCAGTTATGTTAATGTGTTCCTTTCTGTACCAATTGAGAAAACCGGTTGGTGATAGTCAGGGTCGTATCGATAAATCGGTCCACACAGCTAGACAAGCAGCTTTCAGTCCGTGAGTCCAACTTTGTTCCAGGCTTATCCATGCACTTGTCCCAGCACACATCCATAAAGGTATGGACCTGAAAAATATATATATTTATTTACATTCAAAGAAACATTTCAAAACATTATTTTAACAGGCTATTAAAGATCCATCTTCTTAACTACAGAAACAACTGCTGTGTGGATACCTTTAAAAGCAACCTGTTAAAAATAATATGGTGGCTGCATCTTTGCATTTTGCTAGTGGTATAGCTCAGAAATAGATTTCATTTTCTTCACGTGTTTTTCTATTCTAAATATACCACTGACTTCTTTAATGAAGGAAAAAGACTTCAAATCTGGCTTTCAGAAGAAGCAAAAAAAAAAAAAAAAAAAGTTACCTGCGCTCTCTCCCAAATCCCCATGTAGTAGGGATCGACCAATATTGATTTTTAGAGCCGATATCGATAACTTACCACTCCTCTGTACATTTACAATTTTGAAAAAATAAACTATTTCTACACAAAACTACTGTTAACTGAACACGTTTATTATGAAAAGTTTTTATTAAATGCACAAAATATACATGCCAGTCAGAATTGTTTATGTTTTCAAGAATATATGTGTGTGTAGTGGATGAAATGAGAGTATTTGATTAGTGAATGCAGTGTGTGTGTGTTTGCATTGAGGATGCAGTGTGTATATCATGAATGCAGTGTGTTTGTGTAGTGTGTATGTACATAATGAGTGCAGTGAGTGTTATGGCATTCCCTGGGGGGCCTGCGGCGGTCCTGGGGGGCCATCTTACTCTGACTTCCCTTCCCAGAAGCCTATTTTAATGTTTTATTGGTTGCATGGCAGTGTTATATACCTGGTCTAAAAACCTGTTAATCATAAAATAAAAACATTCCTACGCACTTCTGCCTCCCTACAGGATGTGCTTTTGGAAACCTATGCAAGGGTGCCCTTTAAAATATAATCTTCAGAACCGCATTGGGCAGTTAACATTACAACCTACAATAACGTAACTTACACATCACTCAAGTAGTGTTTATTTACTAAAGTGAGAATTCAAAGTGAATTTCAAATTTAAGGCTACAGCAGCTGCATTGAGCAGGGGCCTGATGAGAATCATGAGAGTTGTAGTTCTACAAAATCTGGGGATCTAACTTTTGGGCACCCCTGGTTTAAAACATGATGTATGAAAAAAGTAAGCAACTGCATTCAAAAGAAAATACCCTAAAACACTACATCGGGTAGATGCTCCTGATGGCATTCACTCTGTGTGTCTGTCTGTCTGTCGTGGTATGCATGCGTGTCTGTCTGTCGTGGTATGCATGCGTGTCTGTCTGTCTGTCGTGGTATGCTTGCGTGTCTGTCTGTCTGTCCTGGTATGCTTGCGTGTCTGTCTGTCTGTCTGTCCTGGTATGCTTGCGTGTCTGTCTGTCTGTCCGTCCTGGTATGCTTGCGTGTCTGTCTGTCTGTCCGCCCTGGTATGCTTGCGTGTCTGTCTGTCTGTCCGCCCTGGTATGCTTGCGTGTCTGTCTGTCTGTCCGCCCTGGTATGCTTGCGTGTCTGTCTGTCTGTCCGCCCTGGTATGCTTGCGTGTCTGTCTGTCTGTCCGCGCTGGTATGCTTGCGTGTCTGTCTGTCTGTCCGCGCTGTATGCGCTGTCTGGTATGCTTGCGTGTCTGTCTGTCTGTCCGCGCCCCTGGTATGCTAGCGTGTCTGTCATCTATCGCCTATGGTATGCTTGCGTGTCTGTCTATCTATCCGCCCTAGTATGCTTGCGTGTCTGTCTGTCTATCCGCCCTGGTATGCTAGTGTCTGTCCTGTCTATCCTGGCCCTGGTATGCTAGCATTGTCTGTCTGTCTGTCCTTCCCTGGGTAATAACTAGCGTGTCTGTCACATCACTTCCTAGGTATGCCCTAGTGTCTGTCTGTCATCCTAGGCATGCTTGCGTGTCTGTCTGTCCGCCCTGAGTATGTGCTAGCGTGTCTGTCTGTCCGCCCTGGTATGCTAGCGTGTCTGTCTGTCGCCTAGGCCATGCTTAGCGTGTCTGTCTGTATCCCGCCCTGGTATGCTAGCGTGTCTGTCTGTATCGCCCTATGGTATGCTTAGCATTGTCTATCCCGTCTGTCCTGGTATGCTTGCTTTGTCTGTCCGTCATGGAACCAACCTTCCAGCTGAAGTGGTAGGGTGCCACAGTAAAAGGAGTTTAAGCATGCGTGGGATAGGCATAAGGCTATCTAACTATAAGATAAGACTAGGGACTAATGAAAGTATTTAGAAAATTGGGCAGACTAGATGGGCCGAATGGTTCTTATCTGCCGTCACATTCTATGTTTCTATGTGTGTGTCTGCCTGTCATGGTTATGTTTAGGTGACCAGGCCCCATCATTCGCAAGGCAGTGGTATTTTTACTCCCCTTTTTTCCCCATGCCGTGCTGGTCTCCCCTGACTGGTCCCTGCCTCTATGGCTGAGATTATCGAGGTCGATGATGTTTTGCCATAGGATTGGCTGCAAAACGTTGTACAAATCAGCATCTCCTCATAGAGCTGCGCTAAATCAATGCTTCTCTATGGGGAACGTTCAGCACCTTCATGCTGCATGATGGGAGATGTAGTCAGCCTGTTACCATGGCTACCAGCAATGTCCTCTATCTCACCTGGGCTGTGAACTGCGCCTTCTGCTGCTCCACCGCAATCATCCTCCGTAACTCCGCCGCCTCGGCCGGGCTGGCGACCCCAGACAGGTCCACATCGGAATCAAAGTCAGCCATGAGCGAACTGCGCGACCTTCACCCTCCACAGCAACCACGCTGACACGCACGGCAGCAAACCAGCTCCGCTATTGGTCGACAAAAACCCGCAGCGAGGCTTGAATCGCAGAGCTCGCCGACTATTGGCTGCCGTTGCGTGCTAAGCCTCGTTCTCCTCTCCGCCAATCCTTTGCGCGCAGAGATTTGGCCGCGTCAGAGGGAGATTAACCAATCACAGCTGCGCTTACATGACATTCAGAGTCTCTGCAGCCATGCTTGTTTAAGGCATTGTGTAGCAGGTGTTACCAGCAGCAGGCTGCCCTGTGCTCTCACTCAATGTGTTCCTCATATCAATAAATAGTGACAGCTATTGGCCACTTACCTGTCTGGCTGGGAACCCTGCCACTGTGTGATTGGCTAATGTAAAGGGCAGCCAGACTCCTCCCTCTAGCTCTCAGTGTACTTCCAGGTTGCAGAGTGACCTTGCTGGGATACTGGGCAAGATGGCAGCTCTGCTGAGAGGGAGTGCCCTGTGCAGGGGAGGCAGGGGTGAGTGCCCAGTGCAGGGGAGGCAGGGGGTGAGTGCCCTGTGCAGGGGAGGCAGGGGGTGAGTGCCCTGTGCAGGGGAGGCAGGGGGTGAGTGCTCTGTGCAGGGGAGTGCCCTGTGCAGGGGAGGCAGGGGTGAGTGCCCAGTGCAGGGGAGGCAGGGGGTGAGTGCCCTGTGCAGGGGAGGCAGGGGGTGAGTGCCCTGTGCAGGGGAGGCAGGGGGTGAGTGCTCTGTGCAGGGGAGGCAGGGGGTGAGTGCCCAGTGCAGGGGAGGCAGGGGGTGAGTGCCCAGTGCAGGGGAGGCAGGGGGTGAGTGCAGTTAGAGGTTTAGTACAAGATAAGGAACCAGACTGCACAATCCAGAGCTTGGGGGTTTACTATATCTCTGTATGGCTAGTTTGTACCAATCTAATTTGTTCTAATATTTAGTTTTTTAGTCAAGATATTGGTTTGGTTTTGCTTTTCTGTTTTCAATTTCTTACAATCAGAGTTTATTGAATAACCCTGTAAATAAAAAAGAAAAATTGAAAGTTTCAGGCTAAAATAGTTGTATTGAGGGTTTACTCACTAAACACAGATTTGTAGTGAACCGAAAACAAAATTGCAAAATTTAGACAAAATGTCATCATAACCTCAGTTGTAAATGTTTGTCCTTGTTAGATGTTTGTTCTTACATTTTGCAAGTTGTTGTTCAGTCGCCTGCAATCTGCCGTTAAGTAAAATTAAAACCCTATACTTGGATAGTATTTGCAGTTTGGATGTTGTTGCATAAAGTTTGGAATTTTTCTGACAGTTCACACTTTAATGAATAGCCCTGTTGGTCTAGGACAGGTGCACTTGCTGTAGTGGTTATGGCACCAGCATGGCCGAGCACTTTCCCAAAGTTGTTTGCCAAATAGGTTTTTGAGCAGTCAGATACAAACTGAGGGTCTCCTTGGCAATACGCGTCTAGAACATTTTTGGTTTGCGTCACACCATTTAAAAATGATTTGACACATAATGGGGAAGGGCGCCGTCATGAGAACTACTACGGCAGGCCCCTTTAAGTAGTGTAGGACAGAGCTGTGGGCGCATGGGGGACCCTCAGTTTTTGTAAAACTGTTTGAAAATATAAATTTGAAATTGCATATTGCTTACCGCCACACTAACCATTTAATTTTCAATAAAATATAAAATTGCAGTAAATATTGCTATCATTTACCATGTGAGGTCATAAAACTAATCTAGAATTGTGTATCATTCATTTGCTTTGTGTGCAAAAAGAGGAAACATTTAAAAAGGTAACTTTTTTTTTTTTTTTTTTCTTATAGTTTTAACCCTCAAATCCCTGCTGATCAGACCTGTGGCCTTGCAGCAAGATCGTCTTGCACTTCAGATCTCTGAGATTCACACTACACCAAATCGTCAAGGTACATAGTTAATATTTGGTGAATTAACAAGAGCCACATAGACGTCCCATGTCTTATTAGTACAATCCTTGGGATAAATACAGAGCTGTCCTAAGATGACCAATTGCAGAATTAATCATGTATATTGATGAGAATTGATGTATAAAATATTAATGTGTGAAATTTGTACATACCATACTTCAATACAGGACTTTAAATGTGGAAGCAGCAGATACATTTGAGGATGCCTGTTGATTTGCATCCCCTAATGAAGTTTTGGAATTGGTGGATGGGAATAGTTAATGCTTTGTGTCACTCATGATTGGTGGATAAACCTTTAAGTCTCTGCTTCATTATTTGTCGTTGCTAACATGGGTAGGAGGCAGCTATATTTCTAGAGATGTGACTGTGTATGCAGAATGCTCTTGTTCAGTCTTCACCTTTCATGCAAGAACAAATAGCAGGTATATACTATGTGTGAATTTTTCAGCAGGCCAAGAAGATTTCATGTGCACAAGCCCATCCCCAGGTAGTTAGTGCCCCCTGCCAGGCAGCCTTCCCTTCAGCTTTTTTATGTCGCGTATAATTTCTCTTACTATACCCCCTTTTTGTGACAATGTGTCACTAGTTAGCTTTATAACGCCCAATTGGACACTATTTATGTTGTCCAACTCCATTTATTTTATTTAAAACCCTATTAAATATATTAAAATTTACCTCCTCCTTGCTTAGTTTCCAAGCCCTGTCTGTCATCATGCCATGTGTCATCCGTGGTGCAATCTCTCTTCCTTTGAGATGAGTGAAGTGAGGGGGAAGCTAATAATAATAATAATAATAATAATAATAAAAGACCATGTTGAAAATGGAGGGAGGGAAGGTGGGGACACTGAAGCTTGATCAAAACCAGGATTCTGTTGACTCAAAGTCCCATCAGCCACCAACGTGATAAGGCAGGTGTTTCTATTCTTGGATGGCATTTAAAGAGTACCATCATTAGTGATAACTTAGACTATAACTACTGTTTCAGGTTGGAAAGGTAATGGGTCAGAGAAGAGATTAGACTTTGGGTATCTTGAAAACTCCAACTTTTATCAAGCTTTTTAAATAGTTAGACAAAAAATGGGGGGATGGCACTGAAAGCTTACTTGCACTACAACTTCTGCAATGCGTTTTTTCAGTTTGGCTATTTTTACCTTAAATTTGAAATTCCCTTTGAATTCTCACTTTTGTAAGTAACCCTGCTAGTGTTCCTTGCATCAAGTTAGTCCATTCTTTAAGATCTGCAAATATCTTTTTATTGCCTTATTTTCATTACTCAATGTTTCCAGGGACTAATCATTTTGTTTTTCCAGAGATAACAAAAATTGATTTTTTTATTTTTTTTATTTTTTTTGTCACCTTCTTGTTTTCGTACACAAGGCATGTGACTGTGTAAAAGTTCAGACACCTCCTAGATTGTTTGCAATTTCACTCCTACCTTTTTTGCCTTTCTAGTTTAGCTTTATTAATCAAGTCTTTGTTAACAAACCTTGTCTCACATGTTCAATTTTTGTCTTGATCTTCATTCATTTCCTAATGCTTACTTCAATATTGTAATACCAGTGCTATTTAAAGGACACTATCAGCGCAAGAAAAACTGTGTCTTAATATAGTGACTTTGGTGCTTAGATACTAGAAATAAATAGATTGATATAACTATGAACACATATCAATAAATATTATTATTATTATTATTATTATTATTATTATTATTATTATTATTATTATTATTATAGCATCTGCCAGATAAGGAGCAACCTTTGGCAACAATCTTCAGAGACTTTAACAGGCTAAAATAAACTATTAATAAAAAAATAAAAAACATAGTGTTGATTGTATGCACAACAACTGTCATAGAAACATCTTGCACTTTCAAATAAAGAGAGCTAGAAAACCGCACTAGACAGGCACACCAGTCACTAGGACTCCTCTCCAAAATGCATGCAGCTGGAAAACATGGGTGATTGGCTAGGAGGTTGAAACCGAACCTTCCACTCCGCTGCCGAATAGCGTGTAACAAATCGTAGGTGAGAACAACTTCTGCTCTGACCGATTTTCACCGAACAAAGCTTTCTCGAGGGGTGTTGTATGAATGCGAATATACCTTTTGGTAAAGCCAATAAAAGAACAGCTTATATGGCAACAATGCACCCTCTATAGGTGACTGGAAAGTCCCTGTATGCTCAAAGACAGGTCCATACCACCAGCAGATCATTCATCTCCATGACTGAACATAACTGGAGAAACAAACGAAAACCTCATATTAACATAAATGCCATAATGTCTAAATCTTTTTTTCAATCCAAAGTGTCCCTTCCTTTTGAATCTGTGAACCCACATTGTTTCCCTCTGACTTACTTTCTGGACAATATTGCCTCCCCTAATGTCCATACCTACTATATCAATCCCTACACAGAAAATAATCTTTACAATTAAACACCTGGCACCACTGTGCTTAATACTTTTGGTCCCAATGTCCCTGTGGTGCTCAAGTATGCATTCCTATAGAGGTCTTAGTCTGGCCAACATGCTGAACACCACAATGATACTGGGACAAGTAAGACCACTGATAAAATGTATTCCCAGTGGTAAAGGTTGAGAGCTACTTCACTGATTTGATTTATTTTTAAAGTGGCACATTTTACATCGGCCACACTTATAGAAGCCAAGGGTACAGCAGGAAGCACTTCTAGTGGCTGTCTGGTAGACTGCTAAGGGAGACCAGGACAATGCACCCAAACCACTTAAATAAGATGAAGTGGTATTATTGCCTATAGCGTCCATTTAATATGGTTTGAGCATTATAACCCTCGGTGCTAAGGTAATTTTAAATAGTGCTGTTGCTGCCTTCTAAAATCTGGATATAAGCAATTATTTTCCCAATCTATTAAAATAATGGCATAACTTGCCGTTCTGGTTATAGTTTTTTGTTTATGATGGAATATTCTTTATTTTATTACTTATATAGTCTCCTTCATAGAATATGATGTAGCACACAAATATCATAAAAAAAAAAAAAAGACCTGCTCCAAAAGAAAAGTCCCTCAAAGTATAGTAAACAAATTAAGCCATTGTAGATATTGAAGCAGCAACATTTGTACATGAAATATTTTTTATAATCATATTTAGACCTTTGTTCTTAAAATGTAGTGCAGCAAAGAGGCAATTATTTATATTTGGGCACTTCAGACTATTTAACCCCTTGAAGGCCACAGATGCACGCATATGCATTGTATGCGTGCATTTGTGGCCTTCAAAGGGTTAAATAGTCTGAAGTGCCTAAATATAAATAATTTACGATATATATCTCTATATCACAATGAGATGCGATCACCTAATTGCACAATACAAACTTTAGTAATATTCAATTTACTGTAGCAAAAACTTGTAAAATCTGCATTTCAAATACAGAAGTATTGTCCATGCATGCAAAAAATAAGGTTTGTTATTGAAATTGTGTGTAGATCAATAATCTGATTCTAGTCTTTTTCATGTCTTTCAGGTGTATCGAAAGCTGCCTCCCATCACTGGACAAGTGAGCGAGCAGTGAGTTTGATTCTGTTAGGTCTCTTACCTGCAGCTTACATGTACCCGGGCGCTGCTGTGGATTATTCCCTGGCTGCGGCCCTCACACTTCATGGACACTGGTAAATACAGAAACTGTGCAGTGAGCTCATTGCACAATTGTGGAACTTTTTTTGGTTTGGTTTTGCTTTGTTTTGTTTTCTTCCCATGTTAATAAAAAACCCACTATATTGCACTAAAACAAGTTTAGCTTAAAGGAACGTTCCAAGCAGCATAGCCACTGCAGCAGTGCTCAATAAATTCAGTGGTTTGGTGCATAGATCAGGCTCCTGCAATGTCACTGTTAACCCCTTAAGGACACATGACGTGTGATGTGTCATGATTCCTTTTTATTCCAGAAGTTTGGTCCTGAAGGGGTTAAATCACTTTGTTTATATAGTCCTCCCCTGGCTAAGATTCACAACGCCTCCAGTGAACAAAGGTTGTTTTTTTTTGTTTTTTTTAATTGTCAGTCTGGTTTTCACTTTCAAAGTGTTCTTACAGTACAGTGTGTTCACTTTAACTTCTTATCTTCTGCTCTGTCACTTAAACTTTAATTGCACACAAGAGGCCGCTGCAGACTCTAGCAGGCAATTAACAGAGTAGGAGATAAGAACGTCTGGCGCTCAGCAGATTCACAGTTTCAGGTAGATAAGCTTTTTCCCTAGGCACCACCATGTATGAAGGCATGGCTCCTGGGTTGAACGGTTCACAAAAAATCCAAAGGCCTCAGAAAACATACAGTAGTTGTTCAGGAGCCTCCCCCTCCCCCCTCTAGCACCCAGCATGTTTTAAGGGACTTAACATTTGCCTTGATGAATTGCTAGTAATTTAAAAGTTTCTTAATAATCTTGTGTGTTTGGAGCACACAACTGACAGAGCTGCACACGGCTATTTACTGAAGTTTCAGTTGTCACATATTGAGAGTACATTTACACTTTAGATCCAAATGGTTGAATTGTAAAAATGCTCCATTTCGGCTATGTTTTCAATCTAACTAATCTGGTTTAAAATCTGAATTCCTTACAATTCACAGTTTAGTTACAAAATTGTTCATTAAACTCTTTAGGATTTTTAATTTTAACTTTGAAATGTTGGCTCTTAAAAAAGCTCTCCTTAAAGGGTTATTCCAAGAAACAGCGCTGAAGTTCTTGCCTCAACCAGATCCTTCCCCCTCTGACATCACTTCCCCTAGCTACTAGAGAATGGATGTAGAGGGAGGTGGACTGAGGGGAGAACACACTTTGATGGTGATATTACGCAAAAAGATCAGTAGTTTGCAATGGTAGTAATTTGTTTATACAAAACAAATCAATGTGCATGTGGTAACCGCAGTACCAAAATATAAATACAACAGACACCAGTGCATCTTTAATGCTAAAACTGTTGTGGTTCAAACAGTGATTCAAAATGATGCACATCAGCAATGGAAACACATCTGGTGCAGCTTAGTTAACATGGCTTTCCTTCTTAAAAAAACTGTTTTAGGAAGAGTATTACCAAGACGGACAATTAAGGAAAGGGAAAAAAGAAGAGAAAATCCCAATAATGAAAGAAAAATAGTAAAACTCAAAGTTTATTATAAATGATCTAAAATTATAACATAATGTCCATTAATAAAGGTCCAAATCGTAGTCCGATACATATGTAGGTGATGTCAGCCTAAATGAAGTGAGGTATCAAAATCCATGATAGAAGGACATGGAGAGTGTAATGTCACAGTAGGTAAAGCATGTCTTTTCTATTTAGAAACACACTTCGTAACTATCCTAATGTGCCAAATGGGAAACTGTAGGTTCTTCAATGCATCAAAACCAATTTATATAAAGTCACTAAAGGCTGAGTAGTAATAAAAACATTTTTTAAAAATGGTTTGTTCAGCAATCACTGAGAGAGGAACAAAATGAGTTTTACGGTGTCAATTTCTGCTGTGGAAAATTAATCTAAGGGGGACCTTACTTGAAAGGAAGCCTACAGGTGAAACAAGCGCCAGGGCTTTCTGAATAAACATCGGTGGCTGTTAGGTTCCCACCGGAGACTGTGATTTCAGTGTAAATCCATTCTGAACATTTCAGAGATTCCACAGTCCCAGATGTGTGTGTGTGTGTGTGTGTGTATATCTATATCGCTATCTGTATCGATCCCCTCTCCCTCTCCCTCGTGATTTTCAGTGAGAAGACGCCAGCGTCCATAGGAAAGCGTTTAGAATGCTTTCCTATGAGACTGGCTGAATGCGCACGTGGGGAATTATGGGGAAAAGAGGAGGAGTCTCCAGCACTGAGGGAGCCCGGTGCTGGAGAAACGTAAGCGTTTAACCCCCTTCCTCTCCATCCATCCTGGCGGGAGTGGGACACTTAGGGTGGGGGCACCCTCAGGGCACTATAGTGCCAGGAAAACGAGTGTTTTCCTGGAACTATAGTGGTCCTTTAATTAAAATATATTATACACACATACATACAGTTGCAAGAAAACGTATGTGAACCCTTTGGAATTATATGGTTTTCTGCAGTGGGCAGTGGTCCAACCTATTTGTGTATATCGGCTACTGTCTCTTTGTGTCCTGTCAAGTATTTAATTCCGTATCTTTAACTCTTGCAGATGCCTTACCTAAATCAATGGCTCTGGCTCTCAGCATACCGCTATGCAACACCCCTGTCCTTCTACTTGTACTTTGTGTTCGTGGGTGCTTTACCCTTTCGTACCTTATTTATTTCTTATCAGTAACTACCCACCTCTGAATCATTTCCTGCTGCAGTCAGCTACACCGATTGTCTTTCTGTCTGCGTGTGTGCTAAATCTCTTTTGGTATCTATTACTAACCACTGAGACTAGCATGACTTCACAACAGATCTAACCATTGAGCAGACATGTCAAATTACCCACCGTATCTCTGGCAGTTATCTGAAATGAACATTACTACTGCACACTTACTATATCATTGACAGTACAACAGACTAGAGAGTAATACTGAGGTAGTCTATGCTGACTCAGAACTGCTCATAACAATGTTTAAAAACATATAAATATTCTACAGCACAAACTTACACAGTAAAACTGTAATTTTCTTTTGTTTCTCACTGTGACTGCTGAACAAACATTTTTATTTTATTACTTCTATGCCTCAGCAGCATTTAGTAAACTTATTTGATTTTGATGCAATGACGATCCTATGGTTTCCCATTTGACACATCAGGATGTTTACTTAGTGCGTTTATAAATAACAAATACGTTCTTTACTACCCCTGCTGTACAAGTGTGACATTACACTCTCCATGCTCTTCTACCTTGAGGCGGACATCACCTACATGTAGCGGACTACGATTTGGACCTTTTTATTAATTGACATTAGGTTATAATTTTAGGTTAAGTTTTACTATTCTTCGTTTATTGGGAATTTTATTGGAATTATTTTTCTTTTGTCCCTCTTTTATTTTATTGTCAAGCAACTGCTTCTTTGTCATCATGACACAAGCTCACGACTTTCTCCTTTTCTTTGAATAACCAAAACAGACATTTCAGGACCTCTGTCCCTTTATCAGAGTATAATGCTCTTCATCACTTCATACTGAGCGGAGGGACAAACTCTTCACATTGGTTATCAGGATAGCTTGGAGTGGAATGTATGATATATGGAGACACATCTTATATTTCTGTGGTAATATAGAGGAACTACCATTTCTGTTTTGTTAACCGACACAGCAACTTTTAGATCCGTACAATCACCCAAGAAGGTGACGTCAGAGAAAAATTGCTATTTCAAGACAGTGCGGAGTGTGTGTGCTGGCTGCTTATTGTGACTGAACTTCTCTGAAAGTGACAATTCTCAAACCACCAGCCAAGTTAACTCTGCTGACAGTGAAAAGTGCAGCAAAAAAAAGAGGGCAAAGTACACTTCCACAGCTCAGCGTTCCTCAGCATTCAGGAACCGATCATGTCTTTGTTTCAAGATGCTCTGTACGTGGCCAATAATCTACATAAAAGTGCCACATTAGCACATGTACTTAATAGTGATGGATTCCGCTTGTTAGAGTTTTGATAGTCAAGTGAAATGTCATTGTTGGCTTTCATTGACGTTTTTGAAAGCTGCTTGAAGCCTTCTTGTGACCAGTATTGTAATTTTTACAAATTGATGCTTTGAATTTCTTGTGTTCTTTAATGATTTTAGTCTATTCAGATGTATAATCTTGTCCTTTTTTGTTTTACTTGCAGGGGCCTTGGACAGTTGGTGACCGATTACGTCCACGGAGACGCCAAGGTTAAGTTGGCCAATACTGGTCTCTTTGCACTTTCAGCCTTGACCTTTGCTGGCCTCTGCTACTTTAACTATAATGACGTGGGAATCTGCAAAGCGGTAGCGATGCTTTGGAGCCTCTGAGTAGATGGGAGATGATTGTATAAGATTACCTTCTAATGAAACATTTCTAAGAACTTCTCACAATGGAAATGATTGTTTAGCAGAAAGCTCAGTGTAACAGACCCGTGTAACGTCTTCCAAATACTGAAGGCTTTCTGCAGTTTCGCTTTAATGGCTGATCAATTTTTCACACCTCAGAATTGCTGTGTAAAAAGAAAAAAAACTTAATTTGAGGTCATTTGGCTTTAACCTAGCACTTGGGAGCAAATATTGTTGGTATAACAACTGAAATAAAATACATGACACATTTGTGCGATTTGATTTGTGGCTGTCTTTGTAATGACAAATTATCCCTACTGGTGATCGTAATGCCCATCCTTTAACACCAGTGTAAAAAAGGGGGGGGAGACATACCCATATATCACATACACATGTTCATAAACCAGCATTTTTAGAAATCTATAATGGGCACAGATTATAATAACAAAGAAACACTCCAAGCAACATATCCATTACAGCGTGCTGTTATAACTATGGTGTCGGGGCATCCCTGTTTCGCCCCCATTGAAAGTATTTAAACCGTTTTTGACTAAAATAGTTTGACTTGTGTGGGGTCTGCCAGGTACCACTTTCCCCTCTACGATGTGAGTAGATTGTCAAGTTTAGCTCTATGGCTGAGCGTGATCTGCACTCTGGTTAACAGCAGCTCTTGCTTCAGAGCTTTTGTCTCTGTCGGATATAGTGGCGTTGGGGAGCTGTGGACCCCAGGTAGGAAGCCAACGCATTCTAAATTAGTTGGCTACTTGCAGTGGTGCTCCAGGGCTTTCCTTGCATCATAACCACTGCAGTGCGTTTTGAGTGTTTCTTGAAAGAATCCAAATGTCTAGACAACAAAAAAATCACATGAAGATAATGTTAATATTATAACATTAAGTCACTAAGAAGACACGTCCTCCAGTAGATAATGAACATTACCAAAATTAACAGTAATGGTTGTTAGCTGTGGCTGCATATTTTTAAAACTCGATAGTATTGGGAGGTGAGAGTTTAAACTAGTATCCGACTCGTACAAAAATGCATATGGAGGAGAAGGGGCACAAGGTATCTGCAGCATATAATTTAATACAAACATAATTGTTACTCCAATTGCCATGATCACTTCTGCTATTACAAGTAGTCATGGTGTTCAGAGTCTGTATTTGCAACGTTTTTGCGTTTCTTTTGTGCCATGTCTAGTTGCACTATTTAGGCAGCACAGAACTTTATTTTAGCATTTATAGGGGTGGACCTCAAGAATAATGCCCAATTGGACATTACCAGTTTAAAAAAAATGAAGCAAAAGGGGTTGAAGTAACCCTTTAAAGGAACATTCCAAGCACTTAAACCACTTTAGCTTTCTGAACAGTTTAAGGGTTAACTTGCATGTCTGTGCATGGTTTTGGGTTTTTTTGGGGGGGGGGATGGGGAGTTTGTCTCGCAAAATCATCAATTTGATAGCAGCAATTTTGTCACACTTTCAGGGTTGTGGAACTGGAGTAGTGGTTTTTATTTTATTTTTTTATATTTTCAATTTACATACCAGCGTGTATGGTAAATAGCCATAGACACAGCCCTGCTTTTTCAGCTGCCTCTCTTGCTTTGAACTATAGTTTGAGATGACCATCAAGGAAACATTTGTTTGCAGGCATGATTTGCGAGCTGAACCAATTGAAAACTCAATTTGCAACTGTGCACCGTATTCACAATATGCCTCTCATAGACGTCTGTGTTAACTGTAATATTTTTTTTTCATACTCCCTAAAACTATGCAATAAATATTAAATGCGTGTTTGTTTTGTTTTTTAAACCTTTGCCTTAACATAAGTGGAAAAGGGCTTCTCAATTCCTTATTCCTAAAGGTTACAATTCTAGGAAATTTCCAAGAATAATGGTGTGGGAACAGAACTCTGAGAAAGCGCTGAGAAAGTTAACTTATTCTGAAATAGAGAAGTATATATTATGCTGAATCAAGAATAAAAAAAAAATCTAATCTGGTTTTTTTTTTTCTTCTCAAAAAAGTGACACAATCCTTATTCAGTGCTTGAAAAATGTAAAAAATAAATAAATATATATATATGTACACACACACCACACCACACTAAACTGTCAGAAGTATTGGCTAAAATGTGAATTGTAGGGAATACAACCTTTAATTTTACTTTTTATGGTCAAAGTAACTGCATTAGACAGCTGGCGTGAAGATGTTTTTCAGTTTGCTGAGTTTAGCTTATAATTTGAAATTCAGTATTAATTCACTTTGAATTCCTGTGACTAGTCAAGTTGGAGAATTTTTCTTAATCAGTTGTTGCTTATAGGACCACTATAGGCACCCAGACCACTTCAGCTCAATGAAGTGGTCTGGGTGCCAAGTCCATCTAGGGATAACCCTGCAGCTGTAAACATAGCAGTTTTAGATAAACTGCTATGTTTACATATGGGTTAATCCAGCCTCTAGTGGCTGTCTCATTGACGGCCACTAGAGGTGCTTCTCACTGTGAAAATCACAGTGAGAAGCTGCTGCCGTCCATAGGTTTCCTATGGACTGATTGAAGGCGCGCACGGCTCTTACCGCGCATGCACATTAGGCGGAAGAGGAAGGAGAGTCCCCAGCACGGAGGGAGCCCGGCGCTGGAGAAAGGTAAGCATTTAACCCCTTCCTTCCCTTCAGCCCAGCGGGAGAGGGACGCTGAAGGTGGGTGACCTATAGAGCCAGGAAAAGTTTGTTTTCCTGGCACTATAGTGGTCCTTTAAATGTTAGCCTCCTGGCACTGTTCCACCATTAAGTATTAAACCATTTTCAAGCAGTGTAACAATGAATGGGACTCCCTCACTTCCCATAGCTCCTACCAGCTTTCTTATACAACTATTTTGGGTGTTGAATCTGCAAAATACATCATTCTCTGTTTCAGAATACTTTAACTTTCTCCACGTCTGTATTTGATTCCCACATCAAGAATCTTTTGGGTTATTTGCAAAAGTTTGACTGCCACCTAGCTAGAAACACAAAAATCAATGCCATTCTAGGTAAGGATGGACGTAAGGATCTGCAAATCATTCACAAGCGTTCTCAGTCTCCGAATTTAGTAACACGTCTTCTATACTCTGGATTTTATCTCCTTCAAGCAAATAGTTAAAAAAAAAGATAAATCGTAATAATTGTTAACCCTTAAATTTCTGGCAATTGTATGAAGGGTTAAAAAGAGCCAAATCTACGGGTACCTCCTGGTTGATAGAGGGTCTAGAAATCCCTTTGGTTTTATTTTATTAATTTCTTTTTAAACTATTTTCCAGCTGTCTGTTTGCACTTCTAGTGGTAAAATACTTAAAGGATCACAATAGTGTCAGGAAAACAAATCGTTTTCCTGACACTATAGTACCCTGAGGGTGCCCCTCCCGTGGTGCTGAAGTGGTTAAAACCCCTTCAGTTACTCACCACCTTCCACCGCTGGGCTCCCTTACCTCTCCTCCCCCGCCGACGTCAGGTCACCCGTCTGACGTCAGCGGAGCGGAATGCGCATGTGTGGCAGTGCCGCGCGCACATTCAAAGTGACCATAGGACAGCATTTTTCAATGCTTTCCTATGGACGCTCTGCATGATGGAGGCATAAAATGCGCATCTAGTGGTTGTCCAGAAGACAGCCACTAGAGGCTAGCTTAACTCCAAATGTAAACTGCTATGTTTACAGCAGGCAGGGTTAACCCTAGAGGGACCGGCACCCAGACCACTTCATTGAGCTGTAGTGGTCTGGGTGACTATAGTGTCCCTTTAAAATTTCTGTATATCAGCTTGCACACAGATGGTGAATTTATTTTGTGAATGTGTCTCCTAGAAGAACAGATGAGATATGTGATAAGATATTCCATGCTTGAGACATATACAAATACTATAGTTTCTACTGGATTTGCTCCTTTGAATTGCTGGATTTGTAACAGACACCACATTTTAAAATCCATCATTAGACATTGAGAATTTGGTGAATTTAGCTAACGTGGAGTGAATGTAGACATTAGTGAAAAAAAAAAAATGTGAGTATATTTAATAATCATTTACAGTACGAAACTAATTTCATATCAGTACAGCAAATACTGCGAAAGGCTTTCAGAAAACATTAAAGGACCACTCTAGGCACCCAGACCACTTCACCTTAATGAAGTGGTCTGGGTGCCAGGTCCAGCTAGGGTTAACCCATTCTTTTATAAACATAGCAGTTTCAGAGAAACTGCTATGTTTATGAATGGGTTAAGCCTTCCCCCTAATCCTCTAGTGGCTGTCTCATTGACAGCCACTAGAGGCGCTTGCGTGCTTCTCACTGTGATTTTCACAGTGAGAGCACGCCAGCGTCTATAGGAAAGCATTATGAATGCTTTCCTATGTGACCGGCTGAATGCGCGCGCAGCTCTTGCCGCGCGTGCGCATACAGCCGACGGGGAGGAGAAGAGGAGGATTGGAGGAGGAGAGCTCTCCGCCCAGCGCTGGAAAAAGGTAAGTTTTACCCCTTTTCCCCTTTCCAGAGCCGGGCGGGAGGGGGTCCCTGAGGGTGGGGGCACCCTCAGGGCACTATAGTGCCAGGAAAACGAGTATGTTTTACTGGCACTATAGTGGTCCTTTAAATAACGTAGAAGTCTATCATGAAATATTATGCCTCTAACGAAGAACTCAGTTCTAATGATTATACAGTTAAAACAATTGCATGGAAAGCGCAAATAACTTTCATGTAAAAAGTACTGTATTTGACTTGTGTTTTTGATTTTTAAATAAAAATGCTGGGTTTTCCCGTCCTGCTGTTGCAATCTTTCCATTCAGTCTTGGTCCCACGCAAGTTCTTTTATGTCACTTAGTGGCATTTCTTTTTATCCTGTAACCGCAGCTGGTTCCCCTATTTACCACTATAATGTCTTAGAGCATAGAACTTAGCAGGGCTAACCACTGGCTTACAAACCGGGGTCACAGCTGCAACCGGGCCCGTAACTCCAGTGGGCCCAGCCCCCCTGTGGACCCCTGCAACCAGATACTCGCCGTCATGTTTTGCAGCGCCTGCAAACCGCCAGGCTGCACATGAAGGGCCACCATGCTGTTAGGGCTACCCAATGGATATGGATTTTCAGGGGGCCCGGTTAGCGTTGCGTTGCGGCGCTTTAACAGACCAACATCAGACAGAGCTAGGAGGAAGTGACTGCCCCAGTCACTCCTCCCAGCTATCAGAGAGCCGCGCGGGAGGAAGCAGAAGGAGGAAGGCATCTTAAAGTCTGAACATCTTTATCTATTTAGGGTTACCGCAGTACTTTATGTACTGAAAGAGTCGTAGCATAGCCTTTTTTATTGTTATTCGTCTGGGACAAAATGGCATCAACATATTATGCACTGAAAGTAAGTAAAAGGTTATTGCTTAAAGAAACATGTATGAAAAACTACATGTTCCATTTCTAACACCTTCTCAGTTTGCAATATCTCTTAAAGACAAAGTACACAGTTTGAGAAATACAATATTTGCATTTGCCCATGACAATCCTAAACCAAGCAGAGGTTACATTGAGTGCTTTTTTTTTTGGTACAAGTTCATTACTTTGCTTTTGTAATGAAACTCACAGCTAAAGTAGTTTCATTTATGGTGAAATTTTCCAATTTTGTTGAGCCCTTAAAATGCAAGGTACACTTACATTTACTTACCCAGTACTCCAGGGCAGGTCTTTCCTCCAGCAGAAAAATAGACATTTCCCCCCCCCAGTACATCGGTCGGTTCTTTTGCAGGATGCACAGGACACCTGGCAAGGAGATCAGGCTGACAATTGTTTTCACAGTTGGGAACAGAGTTGTGGAAACCCAAGTCGTTGTCTCTTGTGCATGCGCATATCACCGAAAATGCTTCTTTATACTAACCCAGTCATATTGACAGAGGCTGTAATGATGTATGATGTCATTCCTTGCAATGTTAGCCTACGTCTGTCAAGTCCATATATTGCATGTTGCCATATATGGCAAGATTTTCCAGTACTCCCTTCGCAAAGAGTACATTTATTACTTCTACATTGTCGTGATATAAAAGTTCTTAGCACATGGCTGTAGATAGGCTGCCATAAAATGTAAAGGAGAGTTCGGGGTATACTTTGGAGCTTCTCTGCAGCCTGCAATAGAGCAAATACTTTGTTTTAGCAAGGCAACTATGCTGCATGCTCACATCAGACATTATTTTCTGATTCAGTGTGAGTTTTGAGAAATCTACTGAGTTAGTAATGTTAAAGACATAGTATAACAGCACCACATATACAGCAGCAATAATCAAACATATTTTTATGGTTTGGAAGGGATCTGAGGAAGAATTTAATTTATTTTTTAATCATCTTATCTATAATAATTGGTAGGCATATGCATGGGGAAAATTTTCGGTTAGGTTCGGCATTCCGAAATTCGGGACTTCCGCAATTCGGCACTTGGACACTTCGGAACTTCGGCAACTTCGACACTTCTACACTGAGGAAATTAGGAATTTCAGGACTTTTGCACTTTGGGACTTCTCTTGCAGCCGCTTAATAGATAACTCCCTAATTCCCACAGTATTAGGGAATTATCTATCAAACGGCTGAAAGACCTAAATTGGTCTTTCAGCCAAATTTACTAAAACTAAGTAAAAATTACTTAGTATTAGTAAATTTTGCCCCTACTCGCTATACCGTGAGTAGGGGCATGTCTATTAAACAGCCTGTGGCTGCTGACTGTTAAAAAAAAATGTCCTGTGTAATTTGACTCATAACTTACTTTCAATCCACCAATCAGAGAGTTATGAGTCAAATTACACAGCGTGGGAAAATTCCAAAGAACTTTCCCACGCTGTGTAAAATGACACAGAGCACTCTGATTGGTGGATTTCAAGCCAACCAATCAGAGTGCTGTGACAGGTAAATGTAGAGCCTTACCTGTCAGTCTCTTCATTTACCTGTCAGAGCACTCTGATTGGATGGCTTAAACCCACCAATCAGAGTGCTCTGAACCTAATTGCAGGGCGGGGCAGGGCTTTATAAGCCTTCCCCCGCCCTGCAGAGCTCAGTCTGCGCGGAGCCCTCCATGGGTGAAGATGGATTATTTTTTTTATTTTATTTTTTTTAAGTGCGTCGGTTATTATGGATTTTTTATTTGGCCTTTTTTGTGGCTGAAAAAAGAAGATTTTAGGAGAAAGAAAACATCAAATGGTAAGTTTTATTTTATTTTTTTTACAGGTACTGTAAATGGTCCCCTTAATGGTCCCCCCCTCATTATTTTAGGGTGAGGGGGGTAGGTAGGGGTTAGTTTTTTTGGGAGGGGGTGACTAGGGGTTTGGGGACCCTTAGTCACCTGGGGAGGGGGGTTAATTTTTTATTTAAGGCCCCCACCCACAGGCTGCTCACTGTTTAATAGACATGCCCCTACTCGCGGTATAGCGAGTAGGGGTATAATTTACTAATACCAAGTAATCTTTACTTAGTATTAGTAAATTTGGCTGAAAGACCAATTTAGGTCTTTCAGCCTTTTAGTAGATAGCTCCCTAATACCGTGGGAATTAGGGAGATATCTACTTATTCATTCCTGTCATTCCATTGACTGGCTAAGTAACTTACATTTTTATATGTTACTTGATTGTTGTAAGTGTTGCAAATGCTTACAGTGAATCCTGGCTACGTTTGTATACTTTTTATTTAAAATTCTATACAGTGTAACATTCTTCATTCTTCCACTGGGTAAGTATATTAGTAGTGATGTACCGAGCGGTTCGCCAGCGAACAGTTCCTGGCGAACATAGCATGTTCGCGTTCGCCACGGCGGGCGAACATATGCGCGGTTTGACCCGCCCCCTATTCGTCATCATTGAGTAAACTTTTACCCTGTACCTCACAGTCAGCAGACACATTCCAGCCAATTAGCAGCACACCCTCCCTAGCAGACCCTCCCACCTCCTGGAAGGCATCCATTTTAGATTCATTCTCAAGCTGCATGCTTAGTAAGAGGAGGGAAAGTGTAGCTGCTGTTCATAAGATAGGGAAAAGCATAGCTAGGTTAGGGATAAGGGTATGCTTTTTTTTTTTTTCTATGTAATGTAAATGCACTTAGTTGTCTGCCACTGCTGCCAGCTTCTGTGTCAGGCTCACAGTGCATACTGTGCCCATTTCCCCAGTCAGTGCCACCACTTACATCTGGTGTCACAATAGCTTGGATTTAAAAACAAAAAACTTTTTTCACTGTTATAGATTGAATAGCAGTCAGTTGTCTGCCACTGCTGCCAGCTTCTGTGTCAGGCTCACAGTGCATACTGTGCCCATTTCCCCAGTCAGTGCCACCACTTACATCTGGTGTCACAATAGCTTGGATTTAAAAACAAAAAACTTTTTCACTGTTATAGATTGAATAGCAGTCAGTTGTCTGCACTGCTGCCAGCTTCTGTGTCAGGCTCACAGTGCATACTGTGCCCATTTCCCCAGTCAGTGCCACCACTTAGATCTGGTGTCACAATAGCTTGGATTTAAAAACAAAAACACTTTTTTCACTGTTATAGATTGAATAGCAGT